TTTTATTGATGTGTAACCATCTACACGTTTTCTTTACTCTTATTAAAACAGGCTGCATCATTCGTTTTTCTAATTCCTTTAATATATAAAAGACTTTTTTACTTAAAGATATGGATCGTTTAGAGTCAAAAGAAAATAAACTTTTTTTTTTGAGTGGGGGGCGCTGTGTGAGCTGACTTTATGTTTCTATAAATATCACAGGGGCGGTTAAGGACCTCATTCGTTTCATTAAAGGCGGCTCAAATTCAATCAGAGGATATGGCGTTTGTTTGAAAAGTTTTCTCTCAAAACATGGACGCCGACAAAGTCTTTAAGAGCCACTCTGTTATTTCTATTTCTTTAGAGGAGGTCCGTTTGGGAAGGATCACAGACAGAAACAAGTCCAAAAGATAATAATTTGAGGTTTTGGAGAGATGGTGGACATATTTTTAAGTCTGTAATGAAATTAAAATGATTGACAGATTTCAAATAGGCGAAGTAATTGAAAAAGTGGAATAAGGAACGAAAACAGCGAGTTTAAAATATTGTTCAAAGTTTATATCAAGGCTAAATATATCATTTCCTTTCATGTAGGTAACGATTGTGCTTGGAGCTATTTAGGTTTGGACAAATCCAAACAAGAAATTAATTATAAGACATATGCAAGTTTGTCAACTTGATGGATAACTTTTTTTGATTCTTCTATACAGTGCATTTTTATTTTTTAATATTCAAATTTAAGGTTTTATTTTCATTTTCTGTCCATGTGAAAACACCTCAGTAATTTTTCTGTTTTTTTTAAATCATATTTTGTAAATTTGGACTCTGCAGAAAAAAATGTTTTCGTTAAGGTGGATCAAAACGTCGCTTTAATGACTTATTTATTTGTTTCTTGGGATTGTTTTAACACTCTTTGGTGCATCTACACTTAGATATCCATCTCTGTACTGTTTTTCTCACTCCTCTCTTCCGACCATCATCCCATTAGGCCACCTATTCCTGCCTAAACGCGGCCTGTGCGTCATTACGCTCCTCACTCTGTGTGACACATCCGAGTCGCTTCAATTTGACCCTTTGACGTACATCTGAAGAAAAGGTAAAACAGGTGAGGCTATTTCATTCGGTTTCATTTCAATTGAAAACACACACACAGACTAAATGTTTGCCTTTAAGGCCTTTCACAAACACACGTGGAAAAACAATTACGCAGCATCTTTGATGACTGACTGACAGCACCGATGGGCGCTCTGCTCAAGAGCCGATGTGCACTATTTTTGCTTTCCTCGTGATAAAAAACTATTTAATTATGTAAAGAGCGAAAAGCATGCGTAATTAAAGAATTGTAAATACTTTTAAACATTTTTTTCGTGTAAAAGAAATTGAGACGTTGAGTGTACTCAGAAAGAGAAGTTTGTGTCACATGAGTGCGTGCGTACGTGTGCAGTGATGGTACGAGACAGAGAGGAAGATAAAGAAAGGAGGAGACATGGCATAGAGGTGTGTACTCAGGAGTGAATTGTGCATCTATTATAATCAAAACACAACCAAACAGCGATGATCGCACTCTCATCTGAGTCAATACACCACCTCACTTCACCTGGAATGATTGACAGCTCGCATGGGTGGCTGCGGTTACACAAGCACAACCACGTAACAAGTACACACTCACGCGCGCACATTTCATCCCCCTGGAGGCCTCCAATCATCTCTATTTCTCCAACTTCAGTCTCAACTAATTAATACAGCAAATATCAGCGCGTAAAGAAAACTATGGCGAAGCTAAATTTACGCATGTACGTCCCAAATACGGACGTGGCGAAAACTGTCAAAAGGGTGTTGATCAAAAATGTGCCCCCAGTACGGCCTGTTAATGCCCCCACCTCTCCCCCTCTCTCTCCTATACTTACACACGTACACACACAAGCGGGGGCGCAACACTCATCTTTTCTGACTCTGTGGTAAATATAGTTTGGTGCCATAACATATCCAGTCATCCAACAGAAGTTACACGAAGACATAGTTGTCAAACGCTCATTTTGAGCTCGAGCTACATGCACTCAATACACTCTGTGGGTGTCGTTTTCTTAAAGTAGCCTTTAAAATGCATCCAGGTTCAAATAAAAAGCTGATGTTTCCCTGGTGATGTCTTCCTGCATGAAAAGATAGAGTTAAAAAAGGAGAGAGAGAGGCGTTTTAGGGTGTGATTTGTGCGAGAAGAGAAAAACAAGTCGTTTTATGTCTGGGTGTTCTTATGACAAATTAAACGCACTCTGCACAAGTATTGTTTTGCTAATGTGAGCAGGTTTTACGCACGTGGTTCTCCATTCAGTCCACGCGTAAAGCAACTCTGATTCGACTGATACAGGACAGGTTAGCGTGAACTTATCACATAACCGCTAAGGTTTCCTCCTGACCTTTGGAGACCGAATGTGACCCCTGATAAACACCCCCTGAACCCTGCCTCGCAGGCCCATTGAGGCGGACTGGTGGAGTGTATACAGTATCCTCGCGGTACAGACAACAGTGCTGCCTACAAGGAGCTGGGAGAGGAAAGAAGAAAGAGCAAAAAAAAAAAAAGCTCTTCCTCCTTCTTCTTCGCGGATCAATATCAGCGCAGCTGGAGCCGAACAGGAACCGGCATCGACGCACTGTGGAGCTGACCTTTCCCACTCCACACAAGGCATCCCTTCCTGCGCCGGAGAGGTCAGCGGGCCGGCCAAGACAGGGGCCATTAAAAGGTGATTGCTTATGTTCACCAAGATGCAAACTAAACAATGATTCACACTGAATTTTGGCGGCAAACCCATCGTTCATAACTTCTTCTTTCTTTGTTTATTTCTCCTTTTTTTTACTTTAGCCATTAAAATTTAATGCTGCCTCCCTTTGGCGCGTGTGGAAATGTGCCAAAGGAGACTGAAAAAGAAAACAGACATCATTTTTAGTGGGTTCTAATAGATTACAGTTCCAGATATGCCTGCCTGGTTGTAATCATCATCGCCTTCCTGGATATCAACATTTTATTTGCATCTGTCAGCCAGTTCGTTTACGCAGGAGACGCACATTCGCTCAAAGTGCCACTTGCTGCTGTACAGTGAGAACTGGCCTGGCGTGCAGCGGATCTCTGGCATTGTAGAGAAGTCCTACTATGTGCTTACCATATTCTTGAACTCAGACAACAATAATAAAAGCAAACAAGAGACGCAGAAGATTGCACACTTTGCGCAGAAGCGGAATGTCTTACAAAACAACCCAAACACAGCTAAAAAAGTTGCCTTTCAAACATGTTTCTTTCTCTGTTTTAATCGTCCCTGCCTACTTACGACTGTTTTATTTACTCTCCAAAAATCAACAGAACTCAGAGTATGTATGACAACTATATACACAATGTTTCCCTGCTAGACAGTCGGTAAACATCACAAATAAAAATACCTCCAACTTCCTAAAAACAGCGAATCAAAACCAAAACACACAGCTAACCTTTCAGAGCAGAGATCACTGACAGGAGCTCTAAGCTGAGTCAAGTTCAAGTTCATCAACTCCTGAGCATTGGGGTGCCCAGTCTGCATGTGTATTCGTGTGTGTGTGTGTGTATGTGAGAGAGAGAGAGAGAAGGGGGAGGGGAGGGGTTGCGTTCACGGGCTGCAGATACATTCAGTTCTGTGAAAATATAAAGTGACAGGATATGATAAAGTGGAAAAGAGGAGGTTGCTGTTTTCAGTAAGAAAGCAGACTTGCAGGCATTGAGTTTGCATTAAGTGAGGGGTAATAGTGTTACATTTACAGAGGTTTTCATCTAAATATGCAGGTTCAAGATGAAAACAGATTATTTTCAACTCCCTAGTAGAGCTTTTATTATTCCTTTAAGAGCATTCACAGTGTAAAACAATAAAACTTGTATTTGCACTGTTGAATTAGCTCACTTTAACTCTTATTTTTCCAAGTACTTCTGCAGCCATAGTTTCTTTATGGCCTTAGGTATGTTCTGCAGATCTTAGGTTAAATGCCACCATGCATTATAGCCAAAGATGTCAAATTTAATCTGAGTTTTGCATTTAATTCAAATCAGTTTAAGACATTTTGTGCAGCTGTAAAATAAAAATCCCTGACCTATTCTTTTAAAAAGCCTCGAAAACAATCAACCTACTCCGACATCCTCCAAAGCAAGAGCGTGAAAAAGCAAAGCGATCTGTAGCACTTGCAACACCTTTTATTATATTTGTATGCAGTAAAATTCTTATCACAATAAGGAAGAAAACACCTCTTAAAACTTTGAACAAAAGCACAGAACGAAACAACTGCCCATGTTTAGCTCATCATTGTACATATTTATAGTAAAGAAACATTCTTTATAAATACTGTTTCATCTGTAGCAAGTAAATACCATAATTTAATTACAAATGGATAAATATGGCAGTTGATATTTACAAAAAAAGGAAGGAAGGGTGTAGTTACAGGAAAAAAAAATCCAACAGCACAATGTTTATTTCCTCACAATCTTCCAGATAGTATTTCACAAACTTGCAAAGCACAAAAACATCACAAGTTAAGCCCAGCAAACTAAAAATATACATTCACAAGCATAATATTGTGGTGTGTTGGAGTTAAATGTTAACTTTGGCACTCTTTCCAGTTTATAGATGTTTAGTATAGTACAATCAGTTTGCCTTAGGATCACAATATTCATCATTATAGTACAATTTTTATGGTAATATGTGCACTAAGAGTCCAGTTAGAGAAATAGCTACCATTGAAGGAACATCTATACACCAAAGACTGACAATCTAGCACGACCAATGGGAATGTGGGCTTTTAGGAATTATTTACAATATGAAACACACCTCTCTATTTTACAAACTCTCCTCTGATGGTAATCGCCTTCATCCCCGGTGAGCCAAAAATAAAAAAGGAAACAAATGTTTGTGTGTCTCCTGTCCCCCCTACCCCGAAATTAAAAAAAGCATCTCCTGCTGGATGGTCCAGTGCTGTGAAGTGAGTGTGTGTGGCTTCGATTCAGCTCAGTCCTACACATACCATTCACTGAAATTGGAAGATAGGCCACTGTGGCTGGTGGTGTTGTGCACAGCTGAGGCAGGGGACAGGGTGGTGTTGCTTTGGGTCTCGGTGGTTGGAGAGACCAGGCCCGGTGGTGTGGAGGACTCATAGCCGGAGCTTGCTGCTGGTGAGGAGTCTGATGCTGTTGGGGTTGATTCATGGACCTTTGCAGAACAAGAAATAACCACAATTAATTATCATGTTTACAAAAATCAACACCTGGAAATAATCTCATGTTTGCATCAAAGAGGCCAGAAGTAAAAATCCTGTGCAACAATATTTACCTTCATGTGTTTCCGTAAGGAGCTGGGATGTGTGTAGGACTTGTCACACATTTTGCACAGATATGGCTTGTCCGATGTGTGCACGTGCATGTGTTTCTTTCGGTCGCTGCTGTTTGCAAACCTCCTGTCACAGCCTTCAAACTCGCACTGGAACGGCTTCTCTCCTGCAGGCCAAAAAAAAATTTCCAAAAAGACAGAGTCAGATTTTGCAGAAAGAGGCGCCCCAGGCAAGAAGAACAAGGAGCTGTTCTAATAAATAAATATATATAAAAACCAGTGCGTAACATACAAACATGAAGTTGAGTGTGGAGATGTAATTCCTAAAATCTCACGGCTGCAAATTCAACACGATGCATTCAGTGGTTACAAATTTGTGAGCTAAACTTTAAGTCGTATTTTGCACAAGAGCAGGGGGGGGGGGGGGGGTTGCTCCATCTACTTTAGCCTATATAAATAATGCGCATAGTGATTTGGAGGGGGGCAGGGACACAGAGGGGACACAGGGCCGTCCTCAGTAGGCCCACAGAAGGCGAACCATTTGCTGGGAGACAATAAAAATCTAATTAGCACCTGACCAATTTCATGGCACGGCACCAGAACGTATTTCCCTAGAAAGAAGGTCCAAATGTGAGAGGCTTCTGATGGCCCTGTCTAGCACCTTGGATCCTATCAAAGGGGACGCATCAGATAACAAAAGGCATTCTTTACGCATAAACACTAGTGCTTGTGCGGAAATAGAAATAGAAATAGAAATAGATCTGAAAATAAATTCTAAAAGGCCACAGAGGGAAAAATATGAATGGAAAAAAAGGACTTGAGGGGGTTGTTAAACGCGCACTATCAAGATCATACAACATTAAACCGATTGATAAGATCTACTACCAGACTGGCTGCTCCACGGTGCACGCAACGCGCTCTAATTCCCCCCCTTTGACCTGTTTTTAAAGTTTATTCTGCGGAATAAATCCCACAAAGGCCTAATGAAATTGTTTTTGCGCAGATCAAGAGTGTTAAACGCAAAAAAAGGATTTACAAATGTTTCCAGTGTGGGTGGAATAATTCCGCCACTCCAAACTGGTTTCCTGTTCGTGCTGGATGTTATCCTAATTCTACTTTGTTTCCACAAATACTTCTCTACTTTAGCAGCCTGGAATAGCCTCTGATAATTAGATCCTTATTTGTGTTTGCTCTTGGCATCGCGTATGTTTACAGCAGCGAAATAAACGAACATGTAGGCTTAGTCACAACAACACCAGAGCTCGTACTATTAAAGGAAAATAAAACTCTTCTTTCATAATTACCTGTGTGTGTTCTTTTGTGGATCTTCAAGTTTTCTGACCGCGCGAACACCTTCCCGCAGCCGGGGAACGGGCACGGAAAAGGCTTCTCCCCGGTGTGCACCCGAATGTGGTTCACCAGTTTGTATTTCGCCTTGAACGGTTTGCTCTCCCGGGCGCAGTCCTCCCAGAAGCAGACGTGGTTGGTCTGCTCCGGTCCGCCGACGTGCTCCACGGAGACGTGCGTGACCAGCTCGTGCATGGTGCTAAAAGTTTTGTTGCAGCACTTCTTGGGATTGCTGAGCTGCTCGGGGTCGATCCACTTGCAGATGAGCTCCTGTTTGATGCACTGCTGCCTCATGTAGCGGAAAAAGGCACCGGGGTGGTGGTGGGCTGCCATATTCATCCCCATGTTCATATTCATGGAGCCGTACTGGTTGTGAAGCTGCGCGGCCGAGTACGGGTCGGTCCTCGGGCTGGAGACCTGGTGGTACTGGTCGGAGCGTCCAAAAACTTCTCCCGGTAGTCCGAGTCTCATTTGGCCGTTCAGGACGTTGGGGGAGCCGTGGGAGCCGTGCTGGTCGTGGATCCCCGGGAACAAAATGTGGCCTTGCGTGTCTGTGTGGGAGTGATGGAGGGATCCCGCCGTGGGGCCAAAAATAGTATGTTGGCCGCTCGCCGGAGAGGATTCTCCGAAGCCTCGGCTGCGAAAGAGAAAGTCCCTGGTAGAGTTGAAAGGAGAGCTCGCGTACGACGTGACATGGGCGGCGTGAGCCCCAAGAGCCGCAGCGGGGTAGCCCGGCGCCTGGGTGGTGAAGGCAGAGCTCTGTCCCGGGGAGAGATCATGGTTGAGCTTAAACGCACCCATGTGTGCGGAGTCCACAAAGCTGTTCTGTGCCAAACTCAAGTCTCTGTCCTGCATCTCGCTCGCTGAGTGATGCCTGGCGAAGGACCCCACTCCCAGTCCGGGAAACTGGTGACCAGCATCCAGTAACATAATGTCAGTCAGGAGGAAACGTTTGCTTCAAATCAGCTGCAGTAGGCAAGTTCAGAAAGAGAAGAAAAATCAAATGTTGGTGCTGGTGGGCAGCGGTTCAACTTCCAGCCTTGGAAACACCATATCAGGCGGGATTCAAAACGCAGCTCCGCTCATCAGGAAAGAAAAATTCAGCTCAGATTATCGAATTTACTTCTATTAACTTGTGCGTAAAAAAATCCAAATGTGACGAAGTGAAGACTTTCCCCGCGTCCTCTTCTCCCAGATTCGTTCTAATGCACCCAAAGAATTAAATAATTATCTTACTGGGTGTCCTCTGCGCGCACAGAGCGAGAGTTCGTTGGAGCATCTCAGAAATCGCTGCTCCGATTGGGTATGTATTTATGTCTCTGGCTCGCCTGTGTTTATCGCGGAGGGTCCCTGTTTCTCCGTGGACTGGCTCTACCTCCTCTTCCGCCCCCTTTAACTGGAGCCCGTGCATTCATTGCGCGCAGTCTCATTGGCCACTGCGCCTCATCAATCCCAGGTGCCCCTCCAATAGCAGGTAGCGCTCGGGCGACTTAATAGTCCAACGCCATTTTCGACTAATAATTACCGCCTACTTTTAGGAGAAGATTTAGGGGGGGATGTACGAGGGAGAGGATCACGACGAGAGAGGAGAGGACGTGGTTTTGTTGTTTATATTCTGTGGGTGCCAAGTTGTAGTGGGTATGAAAGATAAATATGTGGAATTTGATGTGAAGTTTAGAGATTTTTTAGATCAGGAGAGAAAGAAAAAGTAGACCAGGGAGGAGGATCGGAGAGGTGGTTGCTTGGTGTTTACTAAATGCAAATGTAAAGCAACAGCTTTGTGGATTTTTCATGTAATACAAAGAATGGACGCTCCCTCCTTTTTTTGTCATACCCTGCTTTTAAATATGAGCCAAAATGGTGTCAAAAATGGCACCAAAAGCGAAAAATGTTCTTTACGCACAGCTGCAAAATTGACAAGATTTTAAATTATTTCTGATCTTCATCACTCCTTGGACCCATTACACATTTGTTTAATACTTGTGCATATTTTTATCTATAGATGTTAAAAAAAATCTAAAATTTGTTGGGCAAAAACACGCCAGGAGATCTTGAAGTCCTCTGCCAAACACAATGTTCCATTTTCAGGACATTGTGTCCTGCAGTAGCACCTCTTCTTTTTCATTTTTAGAGATGGTGTAAGTCCAGAATTTTGGGCAATATTCTTTAGAAATTTCAGAAATATATCCTAAATTTTGGTCTTTGTATAAATCTTTTTCTGAATGAATAAATGGGTAAAATTCATCATCACCAGGTCTCCCGAAAATGATCCTCTACAGCTGAAACAGCATTTGTGGCTCCATATGGACTCCAGCGGTTTGTTCACTGCTTGTAGAACCACAACTGGGCCTTTAGTGGTGCTCACTCACACATACACACACATACACACACATATACACAGGCTGGTAACCGCTGTAGCGGTTGCTGCTGGTTCTTTTTTTTAATGCTTCCATATGTTGCTGGTTCTGCTTCTTCCTTGGTGGTTCTCACGTTCACCACAACAAATTAGGCGACATGTTCTGGTGGCAGAAGTTAACCATGAGTGACCTGTTAGGTCGAGTGTTGCTTCGACCAGACTAGGTTTCGGGCAGTATATATTGTCTTTTTAAGTTTTAATTAAGACGTTTTGTTGCTGTCTTTGGGAATATGTGCGCAGTCATGTTTTGTCGCAGCACACAAGAAACCTCTAGTTTTTACACACTCCTCTTCGTGATATTTCTTTTTTTGCACACTAAGCTTCAAACTGCCAGAGGGAAAGCAGTTCTAACAAAGATTTGCTCCATTTACTGGCAATTTTCCATGACAAGCATGCACTCAATCTGCGTTTCAAATGGGGACACACAGGCCACACTCCACAGCTGCTCATTCACGCACAAGTCAAAAGAAGTTTACTCACATTTCCACCAAACCAGACTCCCAAAATTCCTTTTCCACAACACGATTCATGGCCTGTTTCTGCACTCCGCTGCTCTCTCTCCCTAAAACGTGAAGAAATATCTATGTAAAAGGGAGGGAAAACGTTTTAACAAACTTTTTTTTCTTTTCCTGTAAGAGTGTGTCTCTTAGCTCAGAGTGGGACAGGCTGTGCGTTGTGTGTGCCATTCTTCCCAGTCCTATTGCAGCCCGCACCACAGGAAACTGCAGGAGCTGATCCAAGTTCAAAGTCACGTCTGCCGACCCCTATAAGAAGTTCTTTATTTCTGTGGAAAAGCACAAAACCTTCCCAGATAGGGAGGAAAGAGAAAGAAAATTAAAAAGAGGGAAAAATCTACCGGGTATAGGGGCACATGGCTGCGGGTTTTTTCCTCCTGAGAGGGGGTCTGGGCTATTGAAAATCCCCCAAAGACCACTATTTCAACAGGTTCCAGGAGCAGATATGCACACTGGGACAAAGCCAACAGATGTTTAAAATAAATCATAGAAGAATAAGGGAATAAAAAGTGATCTGAAGTTGGAAATATGACGCAAAGATGATCAGAAAGGTCTTAAAAGGGGCTTTACGTGTGCGTAACAAGGGGCCCAAACGCCTACGTCTCCTCTGTGTTATCTGACAATATCAATATGTTGACACACTGGAAAGTTACTTGTGTGGCTTCCGTGACCTTGTGTTTCATGGATGTTTGACCCCTGACCCGTTAAGACCACATATGTTGGCCCCTTGACTCCTCTTGGTAAAATAACCCTGTTTATGACAAAGCGTCTTTGTTTTAAAGGGAGCGAGGGAGGGAGAGATAGAGAGAGAAAGAGAGAGAGAGAGAGAGAGACAGAGAGAGAGGGAGTTTAAGGTGTCCCTTTCCTTCGTCTCTCAGGCATCGACAGCTTTAAGGTCATTGGGAAGATATAAGTCAATAAAAATTAACCCTTTCCTTCCAGGAAATCAAACTCAGCCTCCGTGTCTTCTTAAATTGTTAAATATTTGAAAATGCGTAAATTTGGCAGCCACTTTGACCAAGTGGTGTGACTTATTTTGCGCAAAATCCCACGTGCATGCTAGTGACAAATTCTCCAAAATTTAAACACTCACTCAGAGTGTGTTAGGTCTCTGTTAACGTGGTGTGTAATTTAATGTGGATGAATCAGGGGCCCCTGAACAAATCATAAACAGTGCACCCACTGCTCCTCTATGCTGCTTTATGGCTTTCCAGAAGCTTCCAATGGAGCTGGGCACATTTTATTTATTTAACTAAATCCCAGAGACTATAAACGCTATACACATGTGGCGAGGGCTGATTTTATTTCGACTTTTGACTAACTTTTAAATCGTGGTTTAAGGATAACAATGTCAGATTTTGCGCACAGAAGGTGAAAATATGTGCAAATAAATCAAGCAAAATTTACCAGTGGGTAAAAACTATATTTTCAAATGAGTTTCATAAAGCTTAATTAGTCGCATAATTAATTGTGTACATTTTTTAAAAACGTATTTTTAATATTTTTTGTGGTGTGACGTTGAAGCTTTCATTAGTGTCCGTGGCATGTTCATAAATCATTTGAGGGGCACGTGCAACAGGCCCCTAACGTGTACACCCTTCCCCTTTAACATGATGAAAATCAATTATAAACCTGTTCATGACTTTGTAGAGCTTCCTGGTAGTTATTTTCTTTACAGATTTATCACCGAGGTCAGGTTCTGTTAAAGTTACTCCAACTTTACGCACAGGTTAGGATGTCGTGATGCTCTGCTGTCACATCGATTGTGAAGGTGAGTGAATGAAGACATATCAGTGACAGATTCACGTCCTGCTGTCAACAGGAGGGACTCTTCAAATGGCGTGATCCGTCACACTGAACTTCAACACACCCTCACTTTGAAGAAAGTTTAGAAAAAGGTGGGAATATAATCAATGTCACATTTTACGAGAGCTGCCAAAATATTTTTTTTTTCTATTTTTACGCACATCCCTGTGTAACACCTTTGGAATCTGCATTTTTTTTTCTTAATGTACTCCAAGGGGAAAGTATTTGAGTGAATTTTTTTTTTATTAGGGCGAGATAAAAAAAAAATTCCTGAACAATAAAAAATGAAGTTGTGTTCATTGGTTTTCCAAAACTTAAGCATAAGAGGACAGACTGCACTCCAAATATATTTTTCTACCATTGAGAATTAAGTAATAAAGGAATGTAAATTTATTAACATGTTAAAAAATATATATTTTATACACATAAGTTTGTAAAATAAGTGTGAAAGGAATAAAAAAAGCTCAGAATTAGAGGAAACACCTTTAAAACAAACAACACTAGAAACGCAGACGCACATCAGATTTCTTGAATTGTTGATTTTAAAAGAGATCTGTTATTTTCTTTTCGGTAAACTATTTTGTGTAATTTAGCAGAGTTGCCTCTCATGTGTGGGCCTTTTCGTGTCAGTTTTTTATTTGTTTTGTCTTGTTTCTTTTTTATTTATTTAATTATATGATTGTTTCAAATGTGCTGTTTTTTGGAGCTGCATGCTTTACAGAGGACTCATGTGAATAAAAATGTTTCCACCATAAAACAATCAAACTTTACGCATCTGTTTTTGTGTCTTTGAACATAAACACACAGCCAAAATCTTTCAGCAGTCACATCAGCCATCCAGCAGCAGCCCTCTTTATTTTCTCTTTTTAAACTCAGCACTGCGACACCTGGTCAAACCAGAGCAGAGAGACGTAAACCCGCCTCCGTCACACTAACCGACTTGACGGTCATCCACATGGACCCGCACCGGTCAACACAGAGCCGCACAAACAGATCCGCCGCTAACTTTGTGAGTACAACTTTTTGGAGTCAACAGCGATAAAGAGAGTGAGGGGGCGGAACCCTGCTGAGCCCCTGCGCTGAACGACAGCCAATCGCTTCGTTCTCCTAACTGCCAGTCACCGAAATCCGTCCAATACCCGCAGTGCCATTTCTAAACTGTATTCCCCACTGTGTCCTCCAACTGTTGTATGTTCTGCCAATCGCTTGAGGACAGAGTGGGAAAAGGAGCAAGCAGAGTTAGACGCCGGACAAAAGAACTTATAGAGCCCTTATATACATATTTTCCTAATGTTTTAGAGCGGGTGGTGTGGTGGAAAAAGTAGTGCGCCGAGTGCGGATGGACTTGTCAGTGTAGTTATGGAGCCCCCTTTAAGCAAGAGGAACCCGGCGATAAGATTAGCGGATTTGGCAGCGACTCAACCCCTTCCTCATCAGAATATGACAGGCTTCCCGGGGCTAGGGGGGCATCACCCTCTCTCCCACCATGCCCACCTCCACCCTGGGGAGCTGGGCAACGACCCCGGAGTGGCACTCACTCCATTTGGACCCGAGCACATGGCACAGACAAATGCTCTCAAACTTAGCCCATCTCAGCACATTCAGAGCCATCCCGAAGCCCAGACCGCGGCATCTTTCACTTCTGCTCAGACCACAGTTGGTTTCCCCGTGGCTCACCCCCACTCAGGCTACTCAAGCAGCAGGGACTTCATCCTCAGGAGAGAACTCTCAGCCTCTGCTATGCATGCACTTGGCGACCAGCATAGTTCCGCCTCCTCCCCTCATCACCATGGCATGTTCATCTCCCCAACAGGTGCTTATGGGCACGCGGAAAGTGGGGCCCATTCACTTTTCACTGGACTTCACGACCAAGGGTCCCCAGGTGCCCACCACCATGCCCTCAACGGGCAGATGCGCCTGGGTATACCGGGGGACATCTACGGCAGGCCGGAGCACTTCGGGCACAGGCCGGAGCACTATGGACCTTCTTCTCTCCACAGCTACAACTCCATGAACCTCAATGTGAACATCGCTTCTGCTCCTCACGGAGCGGCGGGGGCGTTTTTGAGATACATGCGGCAGCCCATAAAGCAAGAGCTAATCTGCAAATGGATCGACCAGGAGCAGAGTCAGAAGAAGCCCTGCTCGAAAACTTACAGCACCATGCACGAGCTGGTCAACCACGTCACAGTGGAGCATGTCGGGGGACCGGAGCAGAGCACCCACGTCTGTTATTGGGAGGAATGTCCGCGAGAAGGGAAGGCTTTCAAAGCGAAGTACAAACTGATAAACCACATCCGAGTTCACACGGGAGAAAAGCCCTTCCCGTGTCCTTTCCCGGGCTGTGGAAAAGTGTTCGCTCGCTCAGAGAATTTAAAGATTCACAAGAGGACGCACACAGGTCAGTGCTTCAAAATGAGTCAAACTTTTACAAGGTAATCTGAAAAACCTCAGCCAGTCAGAGAGCATTATAATCTTTCCGAGTAGATCTTGTTTGCTATCAAAGAGACAGGCAGGGCGGTCGTGCGTAAATGCGCACACAAGCTGGCAGAAAAAGTTTTATTCAGTGACGCATTGGCACAGTGAGGAAACGTGTTTCATTTCCTTTCTGAAATTCAAACTCTTTTACTCGCTGAGACGGCTGCAGTAGGCGTGAGAGGATTAAGGCATATGATTTGTAAAACGTGCTTACGTACGTGCAGGACAGCGCTGGCACACGCGTAAATGTAATTATCCTCAGGCGTAGGACGGTTAGAAGCCGAAGATCAGTTTCTATATCTGCGAGGCTATGCTCATCGTTTTGTATGTGTTTAAATGAGCCACATGTGGTAGTTTTCAGCATGCACACTCTGTGAAAACATTCTGGGGTTGAGATTTGCGGGAAAACTTGTTTGTAGATCAACACGATCCCTCCGAAAAATACCGTGCAACCAAAACAAAATCACCGAGATGACATGCTCGTGAGAGGAGCAGCGTTTAAAGGTCAGGACGGTGAGTTTTTGCAAAACAACTTTTAGATGTGTTGCACGACCACAAGTGCTCATTTGGGGATCTACTTGCGTTCGTTTTTTAATTCATCATGAGACGCGTTTTGGCTGAGATAGAGGATTAAATATTGGCCTGATGCCATCTGCATCAGTAGGCCCCTACACCTCAGCGATGAAGTAAAATCCCAGGGGAAATAAATAAGTCATCCACTAACCTCTAAGTGACCAAAAAGTCAACCTGTTTATCAGTTATAATTTATTAAGCACTTTACAAATATATCTAAAATTTAAATGCAACATTTTCGACTTTGATTTGGAAAAGTCTTCATGTTTCCTGTGTAACTGTGCCAAAATGTGGACGTGTGTGATGAGTTCCAACCGCCACGGTATATAAACTGCTCCTGGTGGTCTCTAGAGAACCTCCCCTCCTTCCTCTCTCTCCCCCAAACATACACACATACATGTAACCATAAGGCCTTAAGGCATGTTACACGTGTTCACACAGGAAAATGCTTTGGACAAGTGGGTGTGGAGGAGTGTGGCTCTGTGGTGCATGTTTGGTGAATAAGCTGTGGTGGAGAAACAGCCCCAGAGGAGAAGTGCAAGCTGCTGCTCCTCCGAGAAGTTAATGAGAAATTCCACTTTGCGTGGGAGTTTTTAAAGTGAGAGAAGTTGTTAAGAAGGTTTTAGGAGGTGGATTAATTGCAGGTCTTTTATTTTGAAAGGCTGGAATGTAAATGATGTCCATAAGCGTTTTAATGGCAGTTGTTGAAGGCGGTGACATGTTTTGCACGTGACACTGACTGCATCTGTTTCTCGTTTCTTCAAAAGGGGAGAAACCTTTCAAGTGCGAGTTCGACGGCTGCGACAGAAAATTCGCCAACAGCAGCGACCGAAAGAAGCACTCCCACGTGCACACCAGCGACAAGCCTTACTACTGCAAAGTGCGCGGCTGTGACAAGTCCTACACGCACCCGAGCTCGCTGCGGAAGCACATGAAGGTGCACTGCAAGTCCCCGCCGCCCCCTTCCACCAACGTCACCTACATCTCCTCCACGAACCCCCTAGGGGACCCCCTTTCGCCCAACTCGGAGCCGCACAGGAACCGCTCCTCCAACCTCTCCCCCCAGGTCACCAACCTGAACGAGTGGTACGTGTGCCAGGGGACCGGGGGCCCCAACCACCTCCACACCCCCTCCAGCGATGTGCCAACGTCAGAATCAGACGACGAGGACTCTTTCAGGAACTCAGACCCGAGGACAATGCTCTGATAACCCTGTTTACAACCACGTGACTGTCAGACTTGTAGTTGACCCGGTAAAGTGAGCAGATCCATGCTGGCCCGAGCGCCTGGGGTATTGATCGGTTATTTTCACTGTAGTAATACTAAACGACTGTGCTAAACGCAGATCATTCGCTATTGCAGAGGGAGCAATGCAGGCCTAATTACAGGAGGAGGAATTTTTAAGAGGTGACCCCTGACCCCCCCAAAGCTGTGGCAGAAAACCACCAAAATAAAACCCAATTCTTTAAATGTTGATGAAACTATCAAAATAAAAGTCACATAAGAGAAGATGTGAGATCATTTAGCATTTTACTGGTGCAATGCAGGCTTGATCATAGGAGGAAGAATTTTTAAAAGGTGACCCTTGACCCCCTTAAACTGTCCACGAAAACCACCAAAATAAAACTTTAAATGTGGCCTAAAACTTTCAGTGTAACTAACTTAAGTATGGAGGCCCTAAGCAGACATGCATCCAACTATTCTTTTTATTGTTTTCCATGATAACCACTGATTCAGATTTTTCTGTACTTTTCCCCCACACTGGGTTAAAAAAGCAGATATTCCCATCTTGACTTATTGATACTTGTTGAGGTAACAAAGCTTATTTTCTCATACAACAGAATAATTTTCAAGACCCCCACCCAAAATAGACTGGGCAGTGTAATAGGCCAAAACGCAACCATGTTACCATTGTTTGCGCTTGCGATATAAGTGAAGCCCATTTTTACATTTATTTTGCGTTATGATCATATAATGTTAAATCAGGATCTCAAGAAAACTAGTCATAATTAAAAACCAAAACATTAAACAAAATGTAGGTAATAAGACTTACGTGTGTAAAGCGAAAATTGGATACTCCACTTTTCCTTCAGTGCAACACAGGCCTGGGGACAAGGTGACACCTTTCCTTCAATAAAATGGTGTTGAAATCTGTCAAAATAAAACACCTTTTTAAAATGTGACCAAAAACTGTCAAAATAAGGTAAACACTAGATCACTCAGTTTTTCAGGGTGCAGTGTTGGCCTTATTTAAAGGAAAAAGAATTTATTTAAAGTGACACCTCTCATTTTTTAAGACATGAGTTAAACCTGCCAAAATAAAACAGCGCTCATTGAATTTGTCAAAATAAAACTTAAATGTGAGCTAAATACAGATAGTCCACATTTCTATAGGGAACACGCAGGCCTGATTTTAGGGGGAAATTTATAAGAGGTGACCTCTGACCTTTTTCGTTGTAAGGCAGGAATAAAAACGCTTCTCCTGAAATGTTGCCTAAAACCGTTAAAATAAAATTTACACAAGAATTAGAATAAAAAAACTCTCTTTTCTCATAGGTTTAATATAGGCCTTGTATCATACATAAGAATTTATAAAGGGTTAGCACTGATCTTTTTAAAGGGGGTGGATGACAACTGATGAACTTTTTCTAAATTTGGGTGGAAAAATATCAAAATAAAAGTCCCATCTGTTTTTTAATTTTTTTCCTTTTTTGAACAGACACAATGAAGGCCTGATAACTGGATAGAGAAACATACTGGGTGAACCCTGCCCTTTCCAAAAATGTAGATATAGGGAAGTGTAACCACCAAAAGAAAGCACCTTTTTTCACAAATGTGGCTGTAAAAAGTGTCCAAAATTAGGACTCAATTTGAGGGGAAAAAATCAAAAAGACCAAAAAATTTTAACGTGGGACTTCTTCCAGATTAACCTCATGAAATTGAAAAATGTTTTCTTGTGCAGGGTTTAATTACCTGCAGGACTTAAGGCTGAAATGACATCTTTCATGTGACCTCCCATCATCCCCTTTGCAGTCTAATAACCCGCCTGCTATCAGTCTCTGTCATATCCCAGACATATGAGGAGACTAATGGTACCGCTTTAACCCCATGAATGGCAACAAATGTTAGAGGACAGAATGTGGAAGATTTTTTTTTTTTTTTTTCAATTAATTTTATGAGATTTTTTTTCTTTTTAAGTTGTGGTACAAACTTTGATAAGGAAAATAGAAAAAAAATAAGAAGGCGAACATTTTAGTGTCTTAAGGGTTCTCTTTAACCGTTTCAGATTTATACATTACCTGTGTTGGGATGGAATTTTGTAATATTTAAGAACTATTTAAGACTCTATTTTATGCAAAATACACAAGTGTAATGCTCGTTACAGAGTACGAGTATGTCCCCCGAGACCCTAAATGTCTACACTGACAGGCTTTGACCCTGGACCATTTGTATATATGTAATTGTACTGATGCTTGTGAATGTTGTGTAGTTTTAATTACAAGGAAAAAGAAATGTTGTTTTGTACATTGTAATTTATTTGCTGGTATCAGTGTCGTACTGGAATTACAGGAACACCAAAGAATAATAATATCAGTTTTGGTGAAGCATAATACCCTGCTGATGTTTGTTTTTGTTTTTCTAATTTTATGTTCAATTTTCCACCTTTTATTTTTTAATTTTGTAATTGTGGTCTGTAAAAGAAGCAAACATTGACTTGAATAGGCTGTGTAATGTGAAAAGTCTTTCTCGCATGCCTTTTTGTAGTGATCTGTCTTTCTGTTCCTGAGGTGCATGGTGCCGTTTCATGATGGATAAAAAAAAAAAGGAGACTCAGCTATGATTGTGCAGACCCTTGATGTTCAAAATTACATTTGCAATATAAATTTCATGCTAAAATTAATAAAAAAAAAACAGGACTTATATGGTTAATACTTCAAAGGTGTCACATTTGGATGATTTGTGAGCGGTGTAAAAGAAAGAAGAGTTGTGGGAGAATGAGAGAGCTGGTTACACAGATATTTTTGTTGCTTTTTTTGGACATGTGGTAGGAAATTATGATTCTTTTGCAACTAAACATAAATACCATCCTGACCTGAGAGATGAGAAAAGCAGGAGTGTCCACTTCCTGTGCAGACATGAGCAGAAAACATCAGCCTCTTATCTCAGAAATAGGCCTGTCGGGCCAAGGAGGCTTCTATAAACTAATCAGCGAGCTAATGGGAAAACTTATAGCCCCCTGATGGCGCTACCTCTGAAAGGCTCGACAGCACAAAGCAGCCGAGGCATGAATCATTCATGGGAAAAATAAAAGATAAAAAGATATGTGACAATGCGCAGGGCCTTGTATAGAGTGTAGAAAACAAGTTCCCCCTCTTATTTCCTCCATTAAAACGCACAATCTCACTTTCAAAGAGTTGCCTGTCCAGTCTATAGAATTAAAATTGACCAACGCAAGTCCTGCACCACTTCAAAGGCTGCAGCTTCACAGGGGAAGGCCGGCCGCTTTGACAGTCTTCATGGTGCGTTAGGATTTCTATGGCGATTGGAGAGCGAGACGCGCACATTTGGATGAGTCTGCATGGAGAAACACTAACTGCCACTAAATGAAGTCCAATCAAAGATCAGGATGCACCTTTTCCTCGACAATGTGTGCTTGCAACAAACACACTTGGCAGGTACATGACACACAAGTTACACACACTTGGCTGCACTTGTTTTGTGAGAAGTGCGCAGATGCAAAAGAGGTTAAAATTGCAAATTACGCATTTGGATGAAGAGAAGAAGAATTTCAAAAAAGGATTATTGGGGGAAAAAATAAAAAAATCATTATGATCATTATTATTTTGTTGAATCAATTCTAACACTGACCCGAGAGGATGTTGGGACAAAAGTGCAAACACAAAATCACCACAAAAGTGTAAAAAAAACTTAATTTTCTAACACAGTTTACAGGCTCAAAAAAGCACTTGAGCAGCATTTAGAGGCTTTAATAAAGAGGCAACAACTGCCCGTTTGTTCAGCTGTATTTTATGGGTTTGATCAATTTAACAGCTGTCCTTTAAGCATTTCTAAAAACACTTTCTGCTTCATTCAGAGCGGGCCTCTTCTCCTTGTACACGCAGACTTTTACAGGATAAAGACCAGAGGAGTAGCCTGCTCTTGTAAGGTCCTGTTTGGCAACAAGAGCTCAATGAATGTTACTAAATAAACACGATGAAAAATAACCAGAGACAGTTCCTCGGGTATTAAAAGGGAGGGAGACTTAATAAAAAGGAGTGAAGCAGTCACCCTTCAGTGAGAAACGCTTTGAAGTCCAACTTATTATCTGAGAAATACTTTTTGGTTGTCCTAACGACGCTGCTGAATGGGAAAGGCGCTCCTTTGTCAGCGATTTGTTCTCCTTTAGTGGGATGCCCGTGGAAATCACTTACATGGGCCACCTTAACACACTGCCTGCAAATCAGTAACCGGCGGAGTCAGACATGCAGACGCCACTTTGGAGAGGACAAAGCGAGAAGTCGCAGTGAAAACGCCGCAGCTTCTCAATTGCGCCCTTTAAAGGGGTTGAAAGATAATTTCTCAGACGAGCGTAGAGGCAAAACAAACGCACCCTTGTCAGACTTTACAAGCATTATCCATCTCCTGAATGCTGCGGGCACAATGCGCACGAAGATGGCTTGTGAAGTGATCATTTTGGGCACAAAAGTTAAGAGGCTCTGGGAGAAATGCAGGTCACTTGATCCGAGCACCTGCGCCTGGAGACGACAGTGCGCACGGATCTCCAGGGGCAGAAAAATGCCCAGATTTTGGTTTCAGTAAGAAAATAAACTGCTTTTTGGAAAATATATATTTTCCTTCAATTATTTGACTTTGATTTGGTGTCTTTGTGGGCAGGGGAGCAGGTGTATGAGAAGAAAGAGGACCCCCACTACCCTTCAGATATGAAATGTAGCAGAACAGCAGCACCTTGTGACAGCTTTCTCGCCCAACTCCAGAGTCAAACACACTTTTCATATTCTTAAAAAAAAACGAGAATTGTAAAAAGGAGGAAATCCAAAGCAAAGACTTCCAGAAAATGATTTTTAAAAAATAGAACATCAGAATAGATGGTGAATTATTTTATAAAGTACATCTATAGTTAGGTTCTCAGAAAAGGGCCATGTTTCTGAGGAGAAAAAATGTAGTTTCATACATTTTTCAGAGAGAAAAATAAGTTAGCCTAATTTTTTCAGCATACTTAATTGGGTTTTTTCAGTCGGTTATTTCCTGCCTCCTGTCCTGCTTAACTTTATGGAGGAAAAGCTGTGAAGTGTCCAATAAAGGAGACTTTTAATTTGTAAAATAAAAAAATACATAAACTGTAAAAAAAAAAAAAATGCACTTTTTGGAGTTATTTTCTCTGGGACTGATGAAGCAGTGTTTGACAAAATTATGTGTCCAATAACTTGGATGTGTACACACCTGCTTCTAAACTTTCTCACAGTGTGAAGTCTCTGTTCTCCACATTCTTCCCCGTCTTACAAACACACTCCTTTAACGGCCACATATTTGCGAACCAGGCACTTTGCCAACTTTTCCCCTCCACACTCCCTACCTGACTACTGTCTTAAGTTTCATGACTAAGTCAGAAACTACACTTCGGTTCCTACTGCAGCTTGTTTCAGCTAACTCGTGTCCATACTGGAGGAGAAGCTGCTTCCTGAGCTGTTTTTTTTTTTCTAACAGAAGCAAGAGCAAACTGTTTTTGTTTTTTGGTGTTTTTTTTTTTTTTGCAGCGCACGCTCTCCATCATGCAGCAGAAAAGTCAGCAGAAAGTTACAGCATTGACTTAAAACTTTTGAATTTTTCCTGCAAGGACTCTTTCCTCTCTGGTGCACGGATTGCGGAAACGAAAAGGGGGGGATCTGGACATTCCTCACCCGGGTTTGACGCTCGGACTCTCGGACATGAGCAGGGGGGAACACCGCTCCTCTCCAACCCAACTTCAGCAGCTGTGCCTTCACCTATTAGCCCCGGTGTCTCTCCCTAAGGAGCGCCAGAGTTAAACATCTGACAGTTTGCTCGCTGGGGGGCTCAACAACTGACCTGTGCTTGGTTTTTACTTTCATAGCAACTTCATTAAATCAATTACCTACTGGGCACGTCAGGTTTTTTGTATTTTTAATGACAAAATGTGTTTTTTTAATTCACATTCTCAGCCTCTCTTATAGGGAAACCCACAGACATGATGGTGCCTTGCTGGTTTAGATGCTTCTATAATTCAATATAATCATAACCTCTGCAGCGTGCGGGGGGACTGGTTCATTGCTGCTCTGACAGCAGGGTTGTTTCTCACCTTCTTTTTCAAGCTCAGTTGCATTACGCCAAAATGTCAGGGGACATATTTTCATTTTCTGAGGAAGTTTTCCTCCTTTAAGTTTCATTCAAAAAACAGAGAAGTATATATTTTCAAACTAAAGCACAACTAAACTTTGCTCCATGAAGAGATTTGCACTAATTTGACATTACAGTATAAAATTAATTTAGGCTTTTAATTTGAAAAAGGTGAGAGGAAGGGGGCAAACAAAAAAATTAAAAAGGATAAAGGACTGCTGAAACTTACTGTCAAGCCATCTTGTTGCAGGAGTTAGCATCAGAAGATTGCTTCTCCTTTTGTTTACAAATGTGCAAACTAACAGAATTTAAGCTTCATATATTTTTAGCCTAAATGACTTTAAATTTAACAATATAAGGTTTATTAAATCACATTTACATCAGAAGTGCTTCAGACTTTACTTTGAAAATCTCCCCTTCCCAAAATAGCAGATATTTCCCTAAGCTGTCCCACTCCATCAAGCAGATTTACTGTATTTTTGGTCCATTTGAAACAATCTGGTTACTATCCTTGTTTTTTCCTCTGTTGTCATGAGTATCACAGCCACTTTACAGGCTCTGTTCAGAGGAGCAGCCTGATACATCACTCAGAACCTGACATAATATCTGGTGGCTCAGTAACATCTGTGGGGGTAGAGACTTGGTGCCGGTCCAAAAAGCCCCATCCCAGGACTGGGAGCCACTCCAAGGCAGTAGGTGAGGAGAGCAAGGTCGTCCACGGACAACCGCATGAGCCGGGCCCCGCTACCTGGCCCTGGTACAGCCTAGCGGCCAGAGAAGTGGAAAGTAAAAAACGCAGATAAGCGTGCAGAGCATGCTGCACCGGTCGTCTCTTAGTGGATGACAGGGCTTTCCTAAAAGGCTCTAAATGCAGGATGTAGGCTTCAGCGTACTTGGAAACTGAGGCTGGAGGGGTGGAGGTGGGGGGAAATGGTGAACTGTATACTCTATCAAAGAGAAGCAGATGGACTTTTTAGTGTAGGTTATTTCTGATTTGTGCCTAGGGATGAGGCTGCTTACAAGGTACTTTACAGAGGACTAAAAGAAACAGATTCATTTCTGGCACCTGAGAAAGCTCCAGCACGACTCTGACCCCGCTTCAATTATTCTAAAATACTAATTTCCTTGTGTTAATAGGCTGTTTTTATAACAAAAACACCTCAAAATAAGATTTAAACTGCATTTTATGATCTACATTGAAGACAAATTAATATATATATATATATATATAACCTGGGATTATAATACCAGGATGTATATAAACATTTATCTTCGCCACAACCATCCCCATAAATCTAAATCTATCCATCTCCTTTCCATTTCACATATCTTTAAAGCTATCAGTGATTAGTCAAAATGATTCAAAAGCATAGCGCCAGTCCGCCCTTTTAATCCACTACTCCATCCCTTTGGCTCATCTTTCTCACCACCACCTCCTCCATTGTGGGCAAAGATTGGTATCAGCACCAGATTTGTGCAGAACCATCCCGCCTACAACATCAGAGGGGTGGGGGCTGAATGTGTCTGGTTTTATTGCAGAAAAGGTCAGTGTTTAGAAAGGAGGGAAATCACTCTATCACAGTTGGAAAGAAGGGGGTGGGAGGAAAGAAAGATGTCCAGGTGAGGAGAGATGGAACTCAAGAGTCAGTCTTCCAGTCTTGGTAATAGAAAAAGACAAGACATGCCATCAAGAGATAAAGCTTTGACTCTCGTTTGGGCTGTCTCCTCATGGTTTGGCTACTAAAGTCCATCTTTGGTGAGCTGGTGAAGCTGGTTACCAATCATCCTGAGCTTCCAGCCTCTCTGTAGGAGCTCTAATTCAATGTGATAAGCCAATGCACAGTAGAAGTCTCCAGTGTGGAGGCCACCAGTGTCCCTGAACATGCAGCGCCAAGACCTCCCTCTGACTTTGTGGAGGTGTCCGCGAACATCACAAGCCCCACACCCATTCTCTTTAACCAACCTGGGTTTGGAAGCGGCAGATATGGCTCTGGATGGGCAGAAGAAAATGTGGTGTCTTGATGTTTTCCAACTGACCAGGGATAAGCCAGAGCGGATATATGGCTGGATAGGCAATGAGATTGAGATATGGGGTCTCCATCTGACCAAGCTTCAAAGGAGACGTGGTGTTGGGCTTGCTGAGGCCCCAGATGAGGCTGAAAACAGAAATGATTGAATAGCAAGATGACCTATGGTTTAAATAATGTCCAGGAATCAGCTCTCCATCCACTTTTCCATTACTGACCTCGCTTTGTAGCAAAGAAAAGTGGCGTTCAAGAAAAACTGTTTAAGAAATAGAAGCTTGAAACGTGTTGAATCAGAGAAATGAAAGCCTTCCGCCTCATTGAAGGACATAAGCAGCACGATTATTAGCCTGAGCTCCTCTACGTGCTGTGAAGACACTGATGACAGCCATAATGTGTCTGCGTGTCCCACAGGACACTTAGCTCTGGACTGTCCCAATCACAAGACTAATTGTATAATTAGGCCAGCTCCGTTGGGGATGGGGCACCTTTTGGCCCTACGCAGACATTTGCCATGCTAAATGACAGTATATCGCACAAAACTATCAAAGCTTATCCATCTTTGTGACACTAAACCTTGAGAGATGGCAACATTTTTATTAACGTGACTGATAGTTTGGTGAAAGCTAAAAAAAACACAAGATGGACCTCTCTGGAAGGCTGGATTTCTCATCCCGGGTCATGAGATATGGAGGTTTTGTCACGGCTTATTGGCGTCAGACACATTCCTACATAATTAGCTTTATAACTATAGGTCTGTATTATTGATTTTTTATGTTGCTGTTTGTTTCTCCCACGTCTATCTCTCAGCGTCTCTGTATGTTTGTCTTTGTTGCAACTATTCCACCTTTTATGGAGATGGTGGTCCAGTATTTGGTCTGGTTCCATTCTAGTTTTCTGCCTGTTGCAAGAAAGCTTTCTTTACCACTCCCATCAAGTATTCAATCATGCCATTTATTATGTCTGCTTGTTTTCAGTTGGCAATCACTGGGGTCATTTATTTTGTTCTTACTTAACAGTGTTACACAAAAAGCTGCATGGTTGATACAAGGGCAGGGGCGGAGCCAGACTTTCATAATTGGAGTGGCTAAAGTAGGACACTCACTTTGCTTGGGTATGTATGCGTACACTCACATGCTGAACAGCATCTATTTACCCTTTATATCACCATTTAGCTTACTTAAAGCTGGGACAGTTTGGGTTTGTGCTAATCTTGGCGTACCTGACGTACTTGTAATAACTTGTAACTTTAAGACAAAAAAAAGAAAAAAAAAAACTATCCAACTTTTATTTTAACAGTGAGATATTTCACTTGTTGCGAATATTTTGCAATTGAAAGTATAAAAAAGAAAAGGCTGTTTACCAAGTCTGCTGTCAATTGTCGGATCAAATATCGTCTCGTTAAATAAAAATCACAATGTTTCTGATAATTTGATTCACCTTTGTATTGCATAGCCCCTATTCAACTTTACTTACAATAATACAGGATGCTATCTGTCATCTGAGCTTGTTTATGTAAGGGTAGTAGAGAATTACAGCATTATGGGCGTCACCATCTAGCATAGTTACAGTGCTAGCAAGTAGTGGCTGTGCTACAGTTTAGACACCATGCATGACTGCTATTTTGGGTCAAAAACAACAAAAATATTATCATTTCCTTTTACCAGCTAGCGATTCTAATGCTTACTAGCAAACGGGACAGTTTTTGATGGTTTATCTAAACTAAAAGCACATACTGTTTATCATGATTTAAAGTACCATCAGAATAAAAAGATGCTCTGTCTAAATGCAAAGACTGCTGCAAACAGTGTACGACAACACAGCCAAAATAGTTATTCTTTTAAACTTAAGTGCAACCTCTGATGATGTAAATATAGCCAATCATTAAGTATTTAGGGGTGGCCACTGGGATGGTCACTCAGATTTTAGAGGGGTCATGGCCACCCCTGGTGACCCTTTGGATCATGCCCTGTGAGAGGGAATTCTTTCTGGGGTAGAACTGCACAACAACTTTTTTTGCACTGAACACGACATAGAGAGAACTGTAATCGGCCATGTCTCAGTGGAAGAGTTCATATGTAGTTAAAGTCTGCAGCATCTCAGTTTAATGTTGACAGTTTACTAAAATGAAGCAGGTACCTTTCAGTTTGTGATGCTGAACTTATGAGAGTGAGTTGATTATATTATGGAAAATATTCAATTTTTAATCATTCTTTGCTCGATTTAATCATTTATTCTTTAGTCTTTTTATTATTAAGTCGTCTTTTACATTTTACAGCAAACGCCTGAATGGAAACTGATAGTTTTCCTGTGGGCTGTAAGAGAACCAGCCAGCAGATTATGTATTCATCAGTTCAGTGGGAGGCTGCAGAGTGGTGCTTTTCCATCACAAGTGAAATGGTCCTGAGGAGAAATGTAAGTGCCCCTCCTCTGTACGGACATTGAGAGTCCTTATTTCCCTACAACAGCCCCTCCTTAGATTTTCAGCATCACCATGCACATCATTATCGTTGTCAAAAGTTGCGCGCGGAGTATGAACTCTCGGTGACGGGGGCTGCCCGGAGGGGGAGCACAGAGAATAAGGGGGGAGGAGGAAGGAGGGAGGGTGACGCGCAGGTGTCGGCTGCTTCAATTCTGACCGGCCGTGGCGAGGTTAGGACACCTCTCCATCCAGGAGGGCCCCATAGGTGCCCTCATTACGCAGGCCCCCGTAGCACCGAGACGCGCGCGCATGGAGAGGAGAGGTGCGGCTCCTCTGCCTCTCCCACCTGGCCTCTGTCTGTCTGTCACAGCCCCTATAGGGAGAGCTCCTCATATGAATTATAATAAGCATAATAATAACAACCCCGTGGATGCAGCAGAATTTGGAATGAGTTATAATGGCGAATTAGGCAAGCATCGTTTCCTACAACAAGTCCGAGATGTCACCAAAACTGACTCATCACTTATAAAGTTAGACCTCCACGCGCTAATCTACCGCCAAGCTTTTCACTAATAACTCCATCCTTCCAAGAAGAGTCTGAATAATCGAAATGTTCTAACCTCCGTGGCGCAGTCACCGCTCCAGACCCTCTTCTCCGCATCTCATGACGCACGCCGGGGAAGTATGAAGTTTCTCCAAACTTCCCCGCTGCACACTGTGACCGAGATTCAAAGGGCAAGTGGTGCTTCATTAACCGTATCCCCGTTTACTTTAGATCCCCCCTGAGTCTGAGAGCGAGCGGATTAATGTCAATTACCTGTCATTTTGCAACACCTTCAATATGTCATGGCGGCTCGGGCTGAGTGGAATTAATGTCGCTTTTTCACCACTTTAAAAAATACAGCTGCTGCGCTAATTTTATTACTGCTCTTATTGACTGACTTTGTCGCAAAAGCGTGATTTAATATTCTTATATTCTAAGAGTTACGGTCATTTGCTTTGGTCTTTGAACGCAAGTCTAAAGATTAATCCGAAAAGGTTTTTTTCCCCCTTTTCTTTTTTTTTTTTTTTTTAAATAACTTGCAGTAGCTTGTGTGTGGGTGGATTTGACAGGGGTTGATTAAACTAAAGACTGGATGTCATCTTTTTTTCCCTCTAAATAAGTCTAATCAGCTTAAACAATTTTAAACAAACCACTTAATAACACTTACAATAACCTAAAATAGCGCGTAATTATTTACCAAACCCTCATTAGCTGCCTTTATGGATTACACCAAGTTCAAACTATTAAACAGGATAATTAAAACAGACGTGTTGTATGTATTAATGGAGTTTTGACAGTGTAGATTCCTCCCTAATGCAGACTAATAACTGTCACCAGCCCTCTATAGATGGGATTTCCCTCTAATAATGGGCTGCTATGCATGAAGCGCGCGCTAAACAAGAAGCCAGAGTCCTGCACAAAGAAAACACCATCAAGCTCGAGGACCAATGAGGGGTTTCTTTCACTTTTCAATCACTTCTCGTCGTGGCCCGGGATTAAGAGAGGGCTCTTGACTCTCGCTTTCACACAAAACCAAGAGTGCTTGTCAGCAACTCGAGACAGAAAAGGAAGAGAATAATACGTGAGTCCAGGGTTATCGTGTTTAATTGGATTAGGTGGTGTCATGTTGAAGTCTGGAGCATGACAAACAGACAGAGAGACGACTGGGACATTTGTATAAACCTGTGCCCTATTTGGGGGAACATTAAAACAAACAAATGCAATAATAGAGAGGTTTTATTTGTGTTTTCAGAAGTGGAAATGAATTCTAAGCGTCCCAGATCATTCATAAAAACGTTGTGCGTCGTGGTGCGCCTCCACAAAAAAGAAGTGAAACACGCTGAGGTGCAGGAGAGCTGGTTTATATTGTGGGGATTGTGTTGTTGTTGGCCGTGTGCTGCGCTCATCTGTGCGTCAAGCAGCGGCAGCAATAACAAGGTGCGCGCAGCTGTGCGTGCAGGTGCGCGGCCTCCACCTGCTCAACGGCACAGAGAGAGGGGGAGAAAAGAGACAGGAAGAGAGAGAGAGAGCGAGAGAAAAAGAGAGAGAAAGAGGGAGAGAGGGGAGAAAAGGAAGAGGCGGAGGCTGATCAAAAGCGTGATTTTAGATTGTTTAGGGAAGAGGGGAAATGTTTCAACGAATTTACATCAGTTTTATCAGCTTTAAAATGCGCAAAATGAGAATTAAAGATCCTAAATTTGACAAGTCTAAGAGAAATGAGATGGATATTTTTTGTCTTAAAGTTTGTTACATGAACTTCAAACCTTTTATGTGACATTACTGAAGTTTCAGATTAGCATTTTAGATGTAAAGCAGAATTGCATCCGCGAATAGAAGAAAAAAATCGCGATATTTAATCGTATCTAACGGTGCATTTATCGATACGCATATCGATTTCTGACAAATAAGACAATCAGAACATGGCTAGAAGGAGGATGAAAACATCATCCCACAAATATATTCTTATATCAGAGTTGTGTCTTTTCTGAATTAAATTTCTATCAGAGAGAGAGAGAGTTCAGAACTCATCTTCATTTGTCTCATTATTCCTTGACTAATTAGCTCCCAGACTGAGACAGGTGTGAGGTCTGATCCACGCTCGTGTCTGCGTGGCTGCAGACCTGCGTGTTTTATGAGCCGCTGACTCTCTCTTTTTCTCTCTCTCTCTCTCTTTTAAGCTGTCTGCGTCGCTGCGTAAACTTTCTATTGGTCTGTCTTGTCTGGTGCGTTCAGGGACAACAGAGAACAAACAAACACATAAACAAGATCATTAAAGAAGCGCCGCTCTTCAATTGATCAAAGGGGTCGAAAACGAGTCGGTTTATGACTCAGAGGTTGCAATCAGAGCTTTACCTTTCATCTACTTTTTAATTAAAAGAATTTCGGACTCAGTTTTGTTTGTTTTAATCTAAATCTGATGTGACACCCTCAAGAAATTCAGGCCGACTGATCTGTGCCGTGATCAAAAGCAGACCCGCAGCTTCAGAGTCACATCTGGCGACAGATGGACACTTGCTGGAAAAAAAAAAAAAAGAGACAAAAGTTGTAGGGACTTTTTGCCGCTATGTAACGACTCTCATTGCCATGTCACCCCTCTCCTTTTCCCTTCCCTCCCTCCTCCCCGACACCCTTCCTCAACTCCTGGCAACAGCAGACAAAGCGGGCGGGTTTTAGTGGTCTCCGCCGGGGCCGAGCAGCCTTTGATCTGAACCCGTTAAGGAGAAGGAGCCTGGGGGGAGTGAGACCCGGAGGAGGAGGTAAAGTCACCTTAACCTACATTTTAAACATTTTCTTTCTGAAGAATCTAACCACCCTGGTTGTGGTACAATTAATTTGCATACACACCCCTCTTGACTGAGAAGATGCTGCAGCCTAATGTACGTTTCCTTTCTGCTGATGTGCTGTTTGTCCTTACAGACCAGGTAAACAGGCCCCAGGCAGCCTGGACTTTCACAAAAGGGACCTCTAAGCGATTAAATCCGCAAGAAGGCATGAAGGGGCCTTCAAATGAACAGAGGCCTGCAGGTTTGGTGGGATACATGCATCAGAGAGAGAGAGGCATCCATGCTTATATTTAACATGGAAGGGTGCAGACACAGACGCACAAATTTGGTGCACAAAGAGGGAAAAATATCGCCAAAACTGGAGCTTGATGGGCAAAGAATTAAAAAATGAACAAAAGAATGTTAAAAAAATAAATTCTGTAAAAAAAAAAAATCAAATCATTTTGTCTTAATCTATGCACACAGGCCAAAAATGGAGTACAAAATTAAAGCTGACAGAAAAAAGAAAAAAAAATCTCAACATGGGATTTCTGCTCCTGATTCGTGCTTCGCCGCTCGTCCTGCCCCTCTGACAGGTTCACTCAGACACAGACAAAAGGTCTGCTCTTAAATGAAGTTAGTGATGGTCCACATGTGCCAGATCAGTCAGGCATCGCAGACAGGCCGGCGAGCTCTATTTCAGATCATGCAAAACGCACAGGGAAGAGGAAAATGAGGAGGAAGAGGAAGAAGATGGGGCTGCACATGCGCCTGTCTGCAGCAAGAAGGAATAAAATGACGAAACGAATGACTGGTTTGGAGAGTTTCATGAAGGGATAGCTCCCGACATTGCAGAATTAATACAGTGTGTGGTCTTGAACGCCTCATTGTCATTGCAGAAAAGGAGCATGTGAAGGAAACTGCATTAAAAAGTAGATTGGCATTATATGATCGTGCTTTGAATTTAATCAGCGTTTGAGGCCCTGTCGTTCAAGCTATTATGGCAGGAGTCTTATTTTGAAATTTCGTTAAAATGTGCTGTTTTCTTGGCAGGTAATTAATTTGCAAAAAAGTTTTGTGTAATTCTCGATGTTTGACAGTATTCTACTCACTAAAAAAACCTTATTAATACTATTTAAAAAAAATTTAATCCTGAAAATTAAAACCTCATTCCCTCTCAAAAAGTCCATATCAATTTATAGAAACATTTCTAAATATGAAGCTCAATGTTTCATGTTGCTCAGCCCTGAACCCCTCTGAGCTAATAGGTTTACTCTTCTCAAACTGTGCTGCAGCTACAATAACGAGGCATTTTATTGCTTCAGAATCATCTCTTTTTTTTGCTGCAATTACTTGGCCATATATTGTCATTAGAAGTCTATTAAAACATCAAGTCATTATTTGGGCATCCCCGGGAGGAGGGAATTAGAATAAAACCATCTCTGCCACACGGGTCCCATTTAGATTAATGGAAAAATATGTAAAACATTTCGTTTTAATTTTCCTCTGACGGTGTTTTGCATACATGCGCTGTCCCTCATCATTTATGAAAGCAATCTCCAGCAGCACATTAGCGGCCTGTGAAACACTGCTCGCAGCCTAATTGATTCCCGTCACTATTTTTGGTGAGGTTATAATCGTGTTAATTGTAATTTACTCTCTCAGGGAATAGAAAGGAGAGATGTGTTTAAAGAAGAAGCGGCGCGCGCGCTGAGGAGATTATATCAGCTGCACGCATAATAGAAACGTCATGTAGCATTACACAGAGGAGGAAGACACACGGAGGCATTCCTGCAATCAAAAGAGACGTCAACGAGATGCTGCGTGGGCTTTCACGCTGTATTATGTGAGCTGTGCGCCAAACTAACTTTATGACACGAAGTCGGTTGCACATTTCTGATATGGAGTCTATACATTTTCATTTTTGGCCAAACTTTATTACATCTGAGCAGTTAAAACAATCTGAATGAAATCACAAGTTTAAGTTGGCCTATATCTATCAGACTGAGGTGTGCTTGTTATTCTACACATACAGAATAAAGGGAAACCAGAACCATAATGGTAAGTAAATGTATGTCTAAAGCTTTGAAAGTCTAAAAAAAGAGTTACTTAAGGGAAGCTGGTGTTAATTCACAGTTAATTTTTTGCATATTTGCTTGTCTTTTTTTGTCAGGTAACTGAAGAATAAAAACCGTAGTGGACATAGTGCAAATATCAGATAACTAAAATGGAAAAAAAAGCATTTCTATCACAGAATCACTCAAAGGTCTGTTTTGTTTTGCCAAACTTGCCAAATTATTTCCTCATCCTCTTCTGAAGAGTTGCCCTTTTTGCCTCATCCCTGCATGAGTCCTTTTCTGATTCCTCCGCTCAGAGATGTTTCCTTCTTCCTCACTGTCTGTGTCTGTCTGCAGGACACCTGTTGGTGCAGAGCAGTCATGAGAAGCTGAGCAGACCGGCCTCCTTCAGCACTGAAGTCACCTGGTGAGCCTGTGTTCAAGTCTGAGTGCTGCACATTCACAGCAAAGGACTCTGTGGTCTATTGCGCTGCTTTGGACGGACAGTCCAAGTGGGTTTTAATTGAACGTTTGAGAGGAGAAATCTTTGAAACTACATATTCAGGCACTAAATGTTTGAATTCCTGGTGATCACAGTTAGATGCCAGAATCATAAGATCAATGTTTATGAAGCAAACCCTTTTTAAATTTGAGACACAGAAAAGTTTTAATACTTGGGAGTCAAAGTGGAAGGTGGTGTGGATTATTTTGAAATGTGTCTCTATTTTTTTTGCCTCCTAACGTCTGAAATGTTCACTTCTCTGCATAAAAATCCTTGCAAACCTAAAAACTACAACTTCAAAAATAAATATGTGAGTTATCATGAAGACTTTGTTGAACAAAACTGAGCAGGGCAAAATTCATGGCAGAGCATTTATATCAGTTTGCACAACATTGTGCAAGACAACTTAACCAAGACGGTAAATGTGCAAATAAAGAGAGGAGGTTTTGTATAACACACTAGGGTAAAAATGTCAAATAGCACCAGTATAATTTAAAAGTCTGCATGTTCAATTCTTCATGAAACATAGTAAGATTTCTCTTGCATCTTCTGTGCATTGTTTTTTAGATAAGACTGCAGCATCAAATCACATGCATGAACATTTAAAAAGTCACAAATTCGGACATTCCTGTTTAATGACACAGCACAAATCCAGATACATCCCCAAATCAGAGTGATCAGTCCAGGCTGCTCACAGTCTGCAAACCGACGAGTGGATGAAACATCCCTGAACCCACATTGATTTTAAAGTTCTGCAGCAGCTCCACCCAAACAATGTTTGTGGATTTATTTCATGAGAGGCAAACATAATTGCAGATTTGTAGAGTATAATAGTGGTAGTTGGCGAAAACAAACAAACAAGCTGGATGTGAATTACCGACAGGCACAAAAAGTGAGCCAGGGGTGAGAGAAGTATGTGGCTGAATGCCAACGAGACGGCTTACTGTTGGGGTCTTTGGCTGGGCGCAGGAGTGGTTTCGATCTTTTTTGTCTGGCCTGGCCCTGGCACCGACCGCCGTCCTGCCCCAGACACAATAGCTCATACAGTAGGAGAGAGAGAGGGAGGGAAAGAGAGAGGGAGTGAGGGATGAGTGGATGAGGGGCAGGGGAGGTGTGGTGCCTTTCATTACCATGGTCACCAATGGCACTATTAACCATTCAACACCCCCCCAATTATCCTCCCATCCGCAGTCAGAGAGACAAAGCCTCAGTCCTGGTCTGCTGGAGCAACATGGCCACTAATCTGTCTCACTTCAGCATCACACCCACTTCACTTCGCTGTCTGTGGAAGTCAGACCAGCTCAGACATTGCACACAAATGCATTGTACTCCCTCATTTATTGACTGTGTTTACAATTCGTCTTCAGAAAGTGCCCCAAACCACTAACCCCTCAGTGGGACGAGTACAGTTATTTAATCTGAATACTTACAAACGTGACCGCACTTTAAAAGGACTTCAAGAAACCTCTTCAGAGGTTAATTGTCTTGCTCCACTTAAGAATGTGAAGCTGTGCAAAAAAGGGATTTTTTTCTGTTGACGCCAAATAAAGGTGAATTGTCTTTTATGTAAAGTTTAGTATAAGTGGCACAGATCGAAGTGTTGGCATGGGAGGTGTTCAAGGAATCAAAACCTGTCCACATTTTCTGCCCTTTGGATAACATGGGAGAGGAATCCCCTATTTTTGTGTTTTTCAAATACAAAATACTACTTTGTGTCATCCTGGAAATGATTTGGAGGGTTTCAATCTTAGGTTTTCTTAATTTCTTCAAAAAAAATAGTGAATCTATTTTGTTTATGTTTTGGGGGGATGTGTTCATGCAGTATTTGTTGCAGGGGAAGAAATCATTTGAAAAGCAAAAGTGATAAAATAGGTGCGTGTCAGGAGTAAAAAGTTCCCACTCCAACATCAGAGGTGTAAAATGAGGTGTACAAAAAAGAGGTGTTCAAGAGAAAACATCTTTTATAAATTCTTGAAGATATTTTGTTTATTTAACGGAGGAGTCCCCTGTGCTGCTCTTCAATTTTTGTATTTGCTGCACTGTCCTCACAGTTTCATTTTTGTGGCATCTTTTGCAGGGGAAAGGGGCTGCAAATCTCAGTTTTTCTTAATTTTCTACTTAGTGTTTCACAAAATAGTAAATTACTGTTTACTGTAAAAATATACATAAATATTTGTTGCAATTTTCTCTGAATTTGTAGAAATACATAAAAGTTAAATCATAAAAATCAAACAAAAACGTCAGTGGAATAATTCAGTGTGAGGTTCCACTTTCCAACAACAGAGGGACAAACTGAGGCGTGAAAATGAGAGGCATTCGAGGAATCAACTTTTCTGAGACTATTCAGAGCTGTTTTCTAAATTTTGTTGATATGATGGGGAGTTTTCCAAGGTAGGGGTTCAATTTTTGTTGTCACTTTGTTTGATGTCGTGGACTCTGCTTTTGTGTTGTCATGTTGGTGTTTCTCTTTCAGTTTTAATTTTAGTGTCTTATTTTCATTTGTGTCATAAAAACAGTATTTTCCTGTTGTATCCAGATACACGTGCTGTCATCCTGAATGTTTGTAGCAGCTCAGCTTGTAGGAGTTTTAATCAAACGTTCATCATAAAATACAAACTTAACAGGTGAATCTCATGTCAGAGCAGTAGCTGAAAATTTAATGCAGAGTTTGTGTTGAATGAGAGATCAGTAGTGAAACAGTGCCGCAGCGTGTGCATGTATGCACTGTTTATTTTTCGTGCAGGTCATGGTGAGTCAAACGCCGCACGCCTTCTCCATCAAGACCACAGGCCCGCAGCTGCCACAGAGCGAGCTGCACGTCTTTACTAAGCAGACTGACACACAAAAAAGCTAAATGGTGGATTTACGCACTTCCATTTGGGTGTTATTTTTTTTTAAGTGAGTGAGACTTTGATGTTAGGGAGTCAGGGCCTGAGCGGGGGGGCCGAGGCCTGACTGGAGGACTGGGGCCTAATGAATAGATCCCACAACAGTGGCTTGTTGTGTTTGTTTACCCTTTTTTCGCCCAGCTGCCTGGACCGTGGAGATGGGAGAGCATTCATCATGACCTGGGACACAGACTGAAGAGTGACATGGTGGCGCACACACTCTGAGGAGAGTGCCAAGAAAGTGCCCACACAGGGACAGAAACTTTAGCTCACACTCCGAGATGCAGATATCTGCTGTTTCTGCTCGCTTTAAAGAACTGAAGACATCTGAAGGTGTGTTCTCACATAATCATCCCCTCCGGAAATGTCATGACAATCACATGAACTTAATAAAAACATTTCAAGAACTCCAACAAACTTTAACATTTAAACTACAATTTTCACCACAAGTGAGTTTTTAAGTCTTTAAAAGTGCCCTTTTTCCCGTTCATGAAACCTGCAACAGTTCCAGTGTCCTTTGACTTCTCTTGTCAGGGTCCAGTCATGTCGTTCCTCGCAGGTCTTCTCGCCGGTTGTGTCATTTCTGCGGCACCACGTCGGAGAGCGAAAGGATGTTCTGTGCCTGCTTCACAGAGGGCATGTCGATCATGCTGCCGCGGAAGGTGAACGCACCCTGAACAGGTTTTACAAAAACAAGGGAGGACAGGAGAACTATTAGAGCAGAGGTACACAGAAAATGTACTTTAGATGGTATTAGATTGTTAGGGGGAGGAGATTACTTTATACATCAATTAGATACAGAGAAAGTTTCTATTTGAATCCACAGGAAATAGCACTACAGACTAAGATATTAATTACAGTAAACGTTGCTGTAGGAGAAGAAAACCCCTCGTAGAAAACATTTTTAGTCAAGTCAATGCTCCAAAATCTCAGCTCAGAAGAACACAATGTATCTCTGGAGACAAAAATTACAACAACAAAAAAAAAAAAGAAAAAGAAAAAAAAACAAGCACATGTCGTGTTGAAAGACAAAGACACTGACCCTGCTTGCTTTTCAAACCCTCAGTCACTCGCACGCACACACACACACACACACACACACACACACACACACACACGGAAACACACACAGTGCGCTGCAGAGGGATGGGTAGGATATGAATCCCTCGGGCGATGCTTAGCAGGAGCGGCCCTGGCAGTGAGAGAGGTGTGGGCAGATTGTGTATTACCTCAGCAGATAGCCCACAGAGCTCAACACACAGGATCCAACCATGCACTAAATTAGGAACAATAATATTGTACACTTAATTGGCCCGACCCCCCCCAACCCTCCTCCTACACCAGGGGTGTACAGTACGTATTCTCTGGGAGCACAGAGGTGTGTCAGAGGGTACACAAAGGAGCCAGGCTGAGTCTTAAAGCAGGAGACGACTCCTAACAGCCCGACACACACTCACAGGATGTTGTGTCATCGTCCTGTTAGTTTGAGAAGTTGATAAAAATTCTCTGAGCTTGTGCAAAGTCTAGTAGCTTCTCTTAAAATTAGTCTCATTTTGAAAATCTATAATTTTTTTTTACATCAAATTTGTGGCTGTAGCTATCTGCAGAAAAAAGCAGGAAAATCTCAAAAAACTTTGAAAAGCACGATGGAGAGGAAGTGTTTTTGCATTTGCATTAAAAATGGACTTCAGTTCAACAATGTAAGCATGACTTCCTGTCAGTACATCTCTGACTAAATTCCTGAATTGTCACAGCGTGAGTAACCACGGTTAGCAGTGTGAAATAAAAACACAAACATCAAATCGAGACTTAAATTATTTTTTAACCTCGAAATAAGGTTGTTTAAATTTTGGCAGAGGATGCTGACATTACCTTCCCCTCCTTTTGGTGCTGGTCAAAAGCAGCGATGAGCTCTTTGGCCCACTCGACCCTCTCCGGACTGGGGGAGAACTCCTCCTGCACAGCCTGGATCTGCCCTGGGTGGATCACCTGCTTACCTGCACACACGAACAAACACACACACACACACACACACACACACACACACACACACACACACACACACACACACACACACACACACACACACACACACACACACACACACAATAAAAGAAAGGAAGGAGGAGGAAATATGCTAATGTTAACAGCAGGCTAGCTTTGGCTCCAAATAAAATTAAATTCAAGAGCTACTTGAGTCAAAAACAATGTTTTTACTTGTTGGCACAGAGCTATTAATAAATGAGTTTGTGCCAATTACCTGCCTGGATTATAACAACATCACTCTGTTTTTTCCTCCCTTCTTTCTTCTTCCATTATTTCTAATGGAAACTGATGGGAAAACAGTTTAACAGAACTGGCTGGAAAATTTTAAAAGACTGACAGCTGGCACTGTTTCCATGAGAGAGGAACGACACAGCAGAGAGGAGAGAAGAAAATACTGAAAAAAACATGGTGTGGGTGTGTTTATGTGTCAGCACGTCTTAACGGCACTGAGGCCAGAACAGGAGCAGAGGATGATGGGAATGATGAAATTTATCAAGTGTTTTGTACCTACACGCAGCCCCGCTGTCAAATGGAAACTTTGTGGAGTATTTAGTCAGATTTCATGAAACATACACAATCAAATTAATTGTTAAACAGCAGAAAACCACAAAAAAGAGATGATAGATAAATGTGGGCAAAGAGGAATATTTTAAACAATTTCTATAAAAGTTTTTATGGATCCGACCCTAAAAAAAATTCAGTGATGTGCAGGAAATCTGTGTTTTCTATTCCTGTAACGGTTCATTGTCAGTGGTCGAATCAGCACATCCAACTGAAACAGAAGCTTAACATGGAGTTAAAGCTCTGTCTGACACAGTCCTCACCCACCCACCCCTCATGAATCCCACTCCCTCTCTGTTAAATGTGGGCTAACGCCGCAGACATAATCCCGTGTACATTTGCAGATCAAACTTGTAGCGATAAGTTAAGGTTATGAAGCGTCTGCTTAGAACGGCGACTCAGCTGCAGACAGCAGGAACTCGACACTTCGGGGCTTAGCTGTGTCGCTGACAACAAATCCTTCAAGGTGGCCGAGCGGGCGGGCTGCACGGGCAAAAAAAAAAAAAAAAAAATTAGGGGAGAGGAAGGGAGGAAAGGAGGACAGGAGAAGAGAGGAGAGGAGAAGAGAGGAGAGGGGGAGGAGAGAACCCACTGCCTTCATCCAGCTCTGCTCACCCCAGTTAACCTCAGAGAGACACACACTGCAGTTACACAATCGACACGCTGTACTGTACATGAAGGCTGGGACAATTACTGAAGAGAGCACATAACTCGTTAAACTGAAACTTGTGATTACAGCAACATTACTTTTAAAGCCAATTAATGTGCGGACTAATTTTATAGTTAATTGTTTGGTTGATAAAATGTCTAAAAGTTAATAAAAACACAATTTAGTGGAAGAATTATCTTCACACTCTAACAAACCCTGACTGGAGCTGTGCAACATGTAGTACACTGTTTTAATCTGAGCTGCTGCACACTCCTTGAAATCAAATTTAAGACTTTTTCACTTTTTTATACTTGATCAAAGAAAATTGTTGTTGCACAACAGAGAAGAGGACAAATGGTGCAGGTGTAGTGTGGTATATTTACTGAGTATATTTGCATGTTTGGTATCATAATGTTTCCTTAACTCTGTACTTTTTTATCGAGGCCAAATTTCCTTGAACTTCTCTTTTTTTTTCTCTTCCCTCTTTTGTTTGGAGTTTTTGAAAGCACACATAATAAGCTGTGGCAAATATGATATTTTTCACCTGAACAAGCAAATCCACAAAAAAAGAAAAAATAAATAATTTTATATCAGGCTATCTGGACTGTGTAGGTCTGATAAAATAGTGTCCCATCTACAATCTATGCCTTAAAATTCATTAAAATAAGACTTTTTAGACTTTTAATGACCTTAGATTTTCAAAATTTGATTACAGACTTTTCAAGAACCTGCAGAAAACTTGTTAATGCAATATTGCGTTTGTGAATTTTGATTTTTTTCATTGTTCTGGATTTAAAATTTTTCTCATATTTCTCACAGGAGCCTGCGTTGTGCACATAGAAGTTCAAATAAAACCCTGCCCATGTCATTTATAAGGTGTCAAAAAGCATCAAATTCTGCAATAAAAACATTAAAACCAGCAAATAGTTGTTCTATTTTTCTCAAAATAAATCTCCAATAATGATCAGCTGATTATCAAAACATCAGTCAGCAAATTTTATTTCAGATGATGTAGCTGCAGGTTTACCAGCTGTGCATGGATGCATTTTGGAGGAGTTTGCAAGAGGATAAAATATTATATGTCTTAAAAGCATGAATACCTGTTTGTGTGTGTTTGTGTGTGTATTTTTGTGAATCTAGAGGCAGAGATTGAGTTATTATGTCGGAGCCTGCAGACTGCCCAGGGCCACACTGGAGATGTGTTTGGATGTGTGTGTGTGTGGAGAGTGTGTATTTGTACATTATTCTGTGTCCGTGAGCCACACTGTCTGCAAAAAACAAGTGTATTTTAGTTCTCCCTCTTCTCCTTTGCTGATATTATGAATCTGTTTTGATGCACCAAGCTGTGTGCGTGTTTTTACGATGTTTATGTGTGTGTGTGTTTTTGCCCGTATTTGCGTTCCTTTGAGAGGCAGAGTCTGCATTCTCTCCTCTGCCACCTGTTTACCTCTGGTCTGAAGACATAGCAGCATGTTTCCCCACTGAAATCTGCAGGCTAGAAAAAAGTGTGTTTCTATGTGTGTGTCTGTGTGTGTGTAGGACAACAGGAGAATGACAGAGCTCATAGACAGACAGAGTGACTCAGGTGCCCTCAGTTACAACCCATTGGTTCCCCTAAAATGCATCATTCATGCCCTTCAGCCAATCGTGGCCTGCCATGTGGTGCTGGCGCCTCATTGGAGGATTGCTATTTAGCAAAGTGCTCTCAGGCGAATGATGGGCAGGGTCCCTGGGATGGAAGTGAAATGTGGACCCTGAAAGCAGAGAATTTTGTGGAAGCGTGTCTCCATTTCTGTGAGGCAAACATTTTTCAGGAGGATCACTGAGGCTCAGCAGCAACATGTAGTTTCCAGCACATAAAACAAGGCGCTTGTAAAGCAGAGCCACTGCTCAATTAAATCCCCAAAATTAACGACTTTCCCTCTAAACAGATTTGATCCCTGAATTCTGCCTTCACACTGACTTGTCTACCATTACGAAGCACCGGGTGTATGTGTTTGACCAGTGTGTTCTGTGCTAATGGGTGCTGGTTACGGCTTAGGCACTGCCAAGGTCAATTACTGCACAGGTAGAGGCTTTTGGCCGCGCCATATTATTGCTTAAGCACACTCGGGCCAGTAATAGCTACTAACTAAGATTATACAGAGTGCCCACGGCTTGTAAGCCACTAATCCAGTGCTTTGACTGGTTCTGTTCCATATCAAATCAAACCATTTATTCCGTCAAGCCGCTGCTCCCCACCTTTAATCTGTTACCTCACACAAACCACACACCTCCAGTCTTCTCATCAATTTCTGATTGCCAAAAATCTATCAAAACACTATTGTGCTGCATCGTTATACTGACATATGCATTTATTAGGCAGATTCTTCACCCTTGGAGCATATCCAAAGCATCCAAGTGTTCAAAAGTTAATTGCAGAGTTGCAAAGAAACACTTATTTGGTGTGAATCCTTAAAAAAAGAAACATGACTAAGATTGAATCATTCCAATACAAACAGAAAATGAACACAGACGTGCTCACATGAATCACAGCGACAGAGAAAAGAGCCAGCAAATGAGGTCACCTGAAAAATAAGTTGTCATGTGAGATGGCAGGAAGCGCTGCTTTATGATGATTCATTGATGCGAGGTGCAGGTAAGGTGTGTTGAGGACTGAACAACATGAAGAGTGTGCTCAGGGTTTCTGTGAACTCTCGGTGCCAAAAAATGTTTCTGACCTCAAATTTCTTTATAGTGCAACAGCTTATTTTCTGTCGTATTTACTGTTGTCAAATTTGGAAAGATGGAAACATTAGATGTATAATAAATAAAACAGGAAGAATCCATGTCCACCACATGCCAGATTTTGAAATGATCACTCGTCAAGGGATGAAAATACCAGAGCAAATATAAGAGCTGCAGCGAAGGAATAATGAATGAATTTGGGGAAAAAAAGGGGGCTGCCCTGCCTTCTGTGTTTCTGTGGTCTGTTACATGCCGTCTGTAGGGCACAGACACACACACACACACACACACACACACATTCTGAAAGCAAGCGTTGCCTGGCTACAGACACACACAGAGCGCTGTAAAAGTAGAGGCTACCACTCTCTGCTAAATTTAATCACACTCTCAGGTACACACATGGACACAAAACCGTTTACCACTGGGTCACCAGAAATATCTTTTTCCCTTTTTTTTTTAAAGTAAAGTTTTCCACAAATTAGAAGCACATAAGGTGATTTAACCTGAGAGGAAATACCCACATTTAAAGCACGGTCACATGTTCATTTTAGGAGCAAACCTCATTACACTAAACAGTGCGTTACTGTCAAATGAGAATCAAGGTGATATCTAGAAATCTGCTGGTGCGCCCCAAAAAGAAGTGAAGGATAAATGATGGGCAAATGCAGAGCAACCAGTGAAGCACATGTTTGGACTTTTTTTTATACCCTATTTGAGGAGATGGTTCGATCAGGGATTTAGATATGAGGAACTCTACCTGTGAATCCCATGAGGGCTCCCTCTCTGGCCTGCTGCCTCAGTCCCTCCACGTCTTTGTAGTCGATGTACACCAGGTCGATCGCCTGCAGCCCAAACGCTTTGGTGGTCACAACCACCTTCTGCCTGGCATAAAGGAGCTCCCTGGCATCTTTGGTTCGCGTGGCACCTGGAGAACAACACAAGGGGTGCACATTGATGGGGGGTCATGTGAATTCATGCACGCACTATGAGGTGCAGAGGAGGTTGCATCCAGAACCAGGAGATTCACACTAGTAGACAACAAATGAAATAACCTTTTTCTCCTTTAAATGTATAAGTATAGAGATAAATCTGCTATTATTTTCTCAATCAGACTACCTCAGATGGTCAGGAAGTTCACTAGACTGCTGATAAAGACAGAAATATTCAGATGACTTGTAAATAATAGCCTTGTTAGATTAAATGTATCTTCACCTGATTCTATCAGAAGCTCACATCATCTCCTGTTTCAATAAAACAAAGAATAAATGCGGAAAAAAACAGACGTAATGATGTATTTTCAAACACTTTCCCTGCATTATTTTCATCAGCTACTCAAAATACTCGTGAGATATGCCATTCAGCTTCATGGATGGTTTCAAAAGGTAATACAACCTGATGTTCTCAATACTAGAACAAAAGGAAGGAAAATTACACATCTGAGCTGTAAAACATCCAGGAAAAGTGAAAAGGTGTCAGAGTTACCTATGCTGGCACAGAAGTCATCAGAGCCAAACACCACACCGTCGTGGTGGAGACCTGCTGCTGGAGCCAGGCGACGGATTTCCTCACACACCGCCTGGAGAGAACACATCACACCGAAGTGCATGCTGGCTTAAGTTATATAGAATTACTCTGCTGCATTTGTGTCAATATGTCAAACACTTTCTTCTTTATTCATATACATGTCAACTCAGTATGTCCACATTTGTCTGAAGGGTTCGCTCTTTATTTTCTTTATTTTCTCTTTTCAGAGTAAACACATTCAGACATCACTATACTACTTTATCTCAGTGAAATGTGCAAATGAATCCACTATGAGGGCTGCACAATTAATAATAAAGAAAGTGTTATGGCAGTGTGAGATTTTGCCAGAAACATTCCTGAAGATGTCACAATAGATAAGGAAATTAGTTTGCAGCACTTTCTAACTCAGCATATGTAAATATTAGCAATCAGATATCCTCTAATAAATTGGTGCTAATTCAAGGGTGGAAAATGGTTCTTTTAGGATGCTGTTTGAAACCAGGTGGGAAATGCGGGGAACACAGATACTACGTGAAAAGGAAGAGCAAAAATTGCAGCTTTTAGCTAATATCAGGGCTGCTGCTCTTTTCCCAAGACTTCTAGAGTATCTTACAGGACCTGTCCAGGACATTTTTGGTGAAAATCGATGCTACAACAGGAATATGTGCCCATATACTACCGTTATACTTAAGCTACTATCGCTTAAATGGTGCTACACAGCACTGCTACAAAAGTTACACTTTTTCTTTTTTCACGATAGTCTATTTTACCACAAAGTCGCAGCACCGCATTGGACAATGCCAACAAAGACAAAAAAACGTTCGTCAGTATTTAGTTGGTGTTTGACTCTCTTGTGTTTTAGCTGCCTTTCATTGTCAAACTCACTCAACAATGCCACAACACTCACTTGAAACCAGTGCCTTAAGCGCGAGCTCAATCTTTAAACCTTCACCCTTGCATGCCAAACAAGCTGGCGAGCATGTCAACTTTAGTAAATGAAACATGCTAACCAATGTCAAATTCCATTTTTTAAAACAACACGTGACAATATTCTATACACTTACTGTAAGCAGCTAGCTGTGACTCATAAGGTATTTTCAATATACAGTATAAAACATAGTACTTAGATTACTTGAACGCTCTCATTAAAGCTCTTGTGAGAAAATGTTGACACCTCTTGTAGACGAAGTAGTATCCCTTTCCTTTGCTGATTTTGTACTGTATATTTGTTGTGTTATTTCACAAAAGAGAATCCAGATAGTCAAATCTATCTCTCAGAATCTGTGCTGTGGAAAACATAAATCATGACTGCTTTTCGCAGGCTGCTGTCTTGACTGACACCTACCCTATGTTACCAATTTTCAACATAAAAATAAACAACATTTACATGATCAATCTTGTTGCTGATGGTGAGGATTACTCTTGAATGCCATTTAAAGACACCAGAATTAATTTCAGTCTGTTTCATACCTGTATAAAAACTCCTCACTGGAGCTTTAATTTATTAACACCACATTCTGTATTGTTATCATGTCATACAAGCCAATTTGGTATCAATCAATACAGGGAACTCAGGCTAGCATAGTTACTGTGCCTTTAAGACTGAGTGCTAAAGTCATGTTTTTTTAAGCCTATGACTCAGATTCAACAGATGTACCCTTCATCACTCTTTCTGTGACCGCGTTTTCTTATTGCCGTCCTATTATGGACTGTATTCTGATGTCTCAAGCTGCGTCTGTCACATTAATTATTATACTATGAAGTAAAGATGTGATTTTGTTTATTAAAAACCGAATAAACCTGCTCGATAGAAAAGCTATTCACTCTCAGGCAGGTCTCATATCTGCACCTGCTCTGTAAATGTCAAGCTAAAACAAACCCCTTTGCTAAGATTAAAGTGCCAGGCACAATAACACTTGCCTGACAGTGTACTTGAAAATCTGGAATGTGATTGTCTGAGGAGAAAAGAGTGAAACAATAAGAACATGTCTCATGCTTTTGTTGGCCCCCAAATTAATTTCACCACTAGCTGTGCCTCAGAGTTTTTTTTTCCTCTTGCTTGAAACAGGAGGTTCAGTCTGGGCAAAGATACAGGGTGTTCTCAAGAAAAGCTCACAGAGGCACCCCCTGCCATCAAAACACACACACATGCACACACTAACAACCACAAAACACAGACACAGAATCAGAGTGGAGGACCAAAAAAAAAAATAAAAAAAGACAAATCAAAAGAAGGAAGGACAGCTTGTTTCTCCCCAAATGCCCAAAACCGTGGCCCTTTTTCCCCGTGTAGCTGAAGGTCGTGCTGCACTGAAACAGGAAGTTCTTTGATGCTTGCCAAAATATCATTAAGAACTTTCCTACTATGATGATATTAAAACAGTTCTAATTAAAAAATGTCAGCATGTCTGGAGAGGGAAAGAGACACGCAGACGAACAAGAAAAAAAAAAAAAAAGAAATGGAGAAAAAAAAAAAGAGGCTCATTTTGAGAGACTGTCCGAGAGCTTTGAATCCCTTTCATTTTGGACATGTGGAGCGCCCGGCTCGCTGACGCACGCTTTAATCTGAAGTGAACATCGGACAAACAGAAAAATGTCTTACGCAGGCACTTTTTGGGAGGCGTTTGTTTGTAATTTACCTTAAAATTGAGCAGGCCCACAGCGGTTTCCACAAAGGTGACCAGGCGGATGGGTTCTGTCAGCGGCCGTCCTTTCAAGTTGTGCTGAAACCTGTCAACAAACTAAACACACAGGGGACAATCTTATGAACAACTCATTAACAACACCCACTGTTTCTGTTAAGAGGAAACAGCCTCAAACCTCATCAAATCTGAATCAAATCATTTCTTTGTTTAGTTTGTGCTACACTTTTATTCTGTGCTCAATATTTGCTGCTCAGTTGAAATCATTTGATTCTGCTTTATTCTATAAAATGTGAAAATTTACAAGGGGACATCATGTTCTTTTAAACTGTATTTCTGCTCAAAGTTGTGCATGTGCAGTAAAGCACAGACGCCACTTTATCAATAAGTTATGCACAAGAAAAACAGGAAAAACCCACACTGAGAAACTGAGTGTCAGTGAAACTAAAACTAAAAGCTGCAAAACCACATAAATGATATGTCACATCTTTCAAAATCCACTGTGGGATAAGACAGACAGACAGGAGAAAAAAAAAAGGAATCTTATCGAGCTAAAACTCACTTTTGATACGAATCTTGACACCTTTATTACCTGCACCGTTCCCATTTGAGTCCTTATTCAGAAACACATCTATGAGGGGTTCAAACAGCGGAGGGAGCCAGCGCAGGAGAGCAGCAACAAAAGCAGGTGAAATGAAATATTTTACATTATCACCAGGGTTCCCCCTTCGTCTGAAGTCTTCTTTCTCTACCTCCTTTAACAGGCTCTGCCCTACTACAGCATGCGTTCCCCTGAGAACGTGCACGCATGGAAATGTTCGCACACATGCACGGGCACATGCATACACCCGGTGAGCCAAAGAAGAAACAAAATACAGAAAAAAGGGGAGAAGAAACAAGATTTGGGATGTCTTTGAGTGTGTTTTACTCCTACATTATTCTGCTCTGCACCCCTTCCTTCCATAGCAGGGAACAGGGAGACTGGAGCAACAATCAGAGTGTGATGTGACACTTTGCTGAGGCCTTTATTCTGCACGACTCCTGCTAATATGCAAGCTCACCTAAGTAGGGCTTTAAAACCAAGTTTAATTCTTTGAAGACCAAAGCGTTTCAATTTTTTCCAACAGACCAGTTCACAGCTAGCCCTGGACTGCCAGTGGGGTTGCCCAAATTCCAAAATCTATCATCTGGAAACACACAAAAGCCCCCTCCGTCAGATATTTCCTTTCAAAGCCAGTTGAAAAAAAAAAAAAGAGGAGAGGGCGCAAAAGCTCAGAGGAGAAATCTGTCTAACCTCATGTCCCCCCCTTCCTCTCCTTTTTCTCGCTCCCTCTTTGACACACCAGGGAAAAGACAGATATAAATAACCTCAGGTACAGCAATGCTATTTTCCCAAATGAAGAGCAAAATAACCCCAGTGCTCACACTCACCACTCTTGCTCTCCCCAAAAAGAAAAAAAAAGAGAAAGAGAGGGCCTCCATTGAAGGATTTCAGAAAAAATAGGGGCAATTTTAATCATCTCTCCATTCAATCTCAGTTGGATAAATCATATCTGAGAGATTTGCATAAATACAAACCATCAAAGACTTTTCATCTTCAAAGAGGTTTTCAAGACCCAATAGGCTTTGTACTGTAATCATCTGAGGTCACAACCCTGTGGGAGCAAGGCTGCTATGGCAACATAAAAACTAACGCTGGGGGCTTAGCATAATATCCCTCCTCTTTCGCAAACACAGGAAGGGGTGGGGCTGGGGGGTCCGAGAGGAAAGTGTGAAAAGAGGGTGTAGATAAACCTATTTTGGTGACAGAGGAAACCAGATATGGGGAAACCTAGCTGATATTACAAACAGAGATTACACCAAGACAAGGCTACGGCAAGCAGGAAGGCTGTTTGGATTCAGCTGAAAGGAAACACGACGATATGAAGGGCCTCCGAACCTCTCTGATTACATGTTTCTGTCCGTCTGTATTCTCCACTGCAGCTATTATACACTTGGAAGGCCTGATTTCGCCGCATAAGAGCGGCTATAGTGCTCGCTCATTGTTCCTCAGGAGCGTACCGCAGCCATTAGCTGTCAATGGCTCTCAAAACTAGCACCCTTTAAGATGTTTGAATTGGAGAAAAATAAAAAAGAGAAAAAAAAAAGAAGAAATAACATCTCTTCTTGCCATTCAAAGCCACGCTACAAACAAGCCCTCTGACAATTTTCGCCACCCAATCATGAAAAGAGAAGGAGGGCGAGATGGAGCAAGAGAAAGGAGGCTATAGTGGGACAAGTTTCAATTAATTTTCTTCAAAAGGGGGCCAGATTAAATGTTTCCGGCCTGCTGAAGTGTTCATTTCACAGAGGGGAAGCGGAGAAAGGGATGAGGGGAGGGGACGGGAGGAGGAGTAGAGGAGGAGGAGCGGGACAGGGTGCGATTCTTTCGGTCCCACTGCACACCAAATAGTGCGGTGGGCAAAGAATGCACACGGCTCCGAATCTGTGTGAGAATTGTCCTCGGACAAAAGGAGGGAGTTACGCCTGTTAAAGCCCAATAAGGCCTGTCAGTCACACAAGAGCTGGGGGAAGAGGAGGAAGGCAGAGCTAAAGGTTTCCACACAAAGGGAAACAAGCAAGTCCATCTTTTAGAGACAAATCAGTCTGGAGGATCCTGCGCTGATATCAATAAAAAGGGAGAAAAATAAACAAGTGAGGGATTTACTGCGCTGCCTTACAAGAGGGGGGGAAATCAGACACATGCTTACAGCGCAGGCAGATGAATGCAAACACAGACGCAGAGGAAACACGCATGAAGAAGACAGGAAAAGTAGGAGGATGGCACTGGGATTAGATGAGCAAACATGAGTGAAACAAGGTCCAATCCAGAGCTGCAGAATTCACCCTGCTTCAGGATAACCTGCTGCTGCAGGAACACCCTGACAAATACAGCGTAAATCTGAAGTGCAAACAGATTTACAGTGCACTCGGGGTCTCTTTTGGCAACAAGGCTGAAGAATGGCAAGAAAATGTACATGAAAAGGCAAAGAAAGCTCCCAATGCCTCTTCTTTGGCGCATACTTAAAAATTTCCAATTCTAAAAACCTCTGGACACTGTGTAGAATGATATAAAAACAGAGTCTGATGGTGTGCAAATCATTTTAACTGGTGCAAAGAAAATATTTTAAGAGGTAAATGAGAGAAAAAATGTTTTTTTCTTTTAAAATATCTGCTATATATAACATATAATAACGTTTCAAAGTAGCTAGTAGTTGCATCATTCTTCGTATGAAAGCACCTTTTGAAGTGAAATGTTCTCCCAGCTTTGTCTCCTTATTTCATAATGCATCGAATGTTCTCAGTAGGTGACAAGTCAGGACTGCAGACAAGCCACTTCTGCCAGCATCTGGACTCTCCTACTACACAGTCAGTCCATGATTTTAAAAAAGGCTGTGAAATCAAGATTCGTCAGCCTGAAGGACAGATTTCCACTTTGTCTCAGCTCACCTTAAAGAAGGATGCAATAACATTATATATATATGATTTATGGTCTACATTTGGCTATTTTCTCTGGAAAAGTTTAAGTTTTTGCTTACGCACTCTCTCACAGGCTGGTGAACTCCTTTCCATCTTTACCTCTGAAAGACTCGGCCTCTCTCGAGTGCCTTTTATATCCTCAGTCATGTTGAAAATGAACCTTAATAGTTGGGAGATGTTCCTCCGGGGGTGTTTGTTTTAGCATTACACAACTTTTTAAAGTTTTCCTGTCCTGAATGTTTTGAAACATGTTGCATCAAACTCAAACTAAATACACTCTTCCATTAAAAAAAAACGATCTAACTCTTGTTGTAATGTTTTAGCAGTATTTAAAATTACTTTGAGGGTTTATAAACAATCAAAATCATCATTTCACAGTCTCTAGTCTTTTAGGAATGGGGGTTGTACTAAAACTTACTTTCTTACCCTTTTCTGGGAAAAGCAGCAGAGGTAGGAACAACCGCGCCAAGGCAAAGAATTAGTGAGCACCTGTCACCAATTATACTTGGAAGAAAAAAAGGCAGCAGGAAGTATATGTGTTCTAATTAAAAGCACTAGTTAAAAACTTCCTGCCCTCTCCGCAAGAACATGTACGAGAGTGTGTCATACATACAGAAACATCGACTAAATCAGCCAATTAGGAACGCTTAGGTAAGCGGCTTGCTCGTGTGAAAGTCTGAAGAGAGCAAAATGGTTGAAAATGAGGCAGATCTAAGCGAGAATCAGTTTTGAATTGGAAGTGAATAAAGCACCTTTGAACTGTTTTAAGACAGAAAAAAAGCGCAGGAGGCAGACAGTAACCTGTTTCCCCTCGCTAAGTTGAGCCATCTGGAGCTGGTCAGAAAGGCCTACATTAATGATGTCACTGTCTCCTGACCTTTGAGGACCTGACATCCGTACAGCGCCCCTTTATAGCAAGCCAAAGGGATGGAAGAGTCCAGACAAACAGTTCTTAACTAGGGCACAGCTACACTTCTTTGGGGACAAATTGCTAAAACACAATGAGGTAAAAATCATTTCAAACATATTAAGAGTGATAGTCCTCAGCCCTCTGGCATATTTTTATTCATTGAACCTGTCTTGCTGAGTCTTTAAAGTCTGATTATTGAATTAATTCCCAGACCTTATCCAGACTGTCTGCAGCAGTCTCCACTCAGTCCAGCCCTGGCAGAAGGCACCATTGTGTTATTACAGAAAACTATCAAGCTTCTGGAGCTAATCTGAAGAAATGTCATCCGCTTCTTGAGCAACAGCCAAGAAAAACACTCGGCCTGTCCCCGAGTCCTGCCAAGGGATCGATTCCCTCTTTTACTGGGACGTGGAAAAGTTTGTTATGATTGCTTTGAAGATTCCTGCGGTTTCTTCTTACAGCATGACTTTGTATAGGATCACCAGCATGTTTTTAAAAGACACCCCAAGGTAAAAGAGAGAACTGTCAGGGGTATTTCTGGTCTTGTTAAGCTTTTGGATGTGTTGCAACTTTGTGTTTCGTTGTGTTATTTCAGGATGTGATCACACTTGGTTCTTCTTAGTACTTTCTTTGGCTTGAAAAAACTACAGGACCTCTTACAAGGTGGCCAGTGTTTGTGACTTACCCACTGCACCTCCTGTGTGTCCTCCACTTTGGGCAACATGATGGCAGGAGGGAGGACTTCAGCCTGCAGGATGACCTGCAGATCAGCCTCGGCTAAACCGCTGGACACCGAGTTCACCCTCACACACTTCTCTGTCCGGCCCAGGTCCAGTTCTGCTAGCATCTTTGGGATGGTCTCCCTGGCTTCTGCCTGAACCAAAAAAAGAAGAAAAAAAACATGAAATCAGAAACAGAGTTTGACATTTTAAAATGAAAATGCTATAAAAGTTGCTAAGTTAGTTTGAGTGTCTATTTCCTAAAGAATAAAACAGAAAATTAAAGAAAGATGGGAAATATTTTCTCACTCAGATAAACACTTTTAGTGGATGCACGTTGGCTCTGCTCAACAAAAGCAGTGCTAAACTGGAAACTGCAATAAAAGTCCAATTTCCTTCAAGGAAATGTTGCCACATAAATGATATTGAAGGTTAAGTATGATAACAAGAACAAAAAGATGTTGCTTTAAGGACCCAAATTACATGAGATCAAAAAAGGTGATTGATAAATTATCCTTCAGTCTGAAGAAATAAAATCAACATATGGCTTTACAAAACACATCACTCTCATTTGGCTGCAGCACATCTATATAAAGTACAGTTTACTACAAAATCAGTATAACAGAGGCTGCACCCTTCTCTCAATGCAGGCTTTGTATGAGCCGAGGAGGAAGAGACATGAGGAGGATGGGAAAATCAAAGAGAAACCTACAGTCCAAACTTCTATCAGTAACACAGTAGCACACGCTGCTCTATTCAAACCAGATGCTGGGCCACGAGAACGGAGGGGAAGAGGGATGTAAAGGGGAGAAAAGTCTGGAGAGGGAGGCTCTCTGGGAGAAATGTGGTCTGAGTTAAAGCAGCGTGAGGAAACAGTAGCTTAGGAGTTGTCAGGTCAGATCAGAGGCCGGGGCCTTTAAGTGTCTCTGTGAGTGTACGTGTTTTCATGGAGATGTTTTACTGTGATTCTTTACCTGTAGCAACTCTGAAAACTTGGAAATTATCTAGGAAAAACTTTGATGATGAAGCACGTAACAGTCTTTTGTTAAGGTCTATAACAGTGGGTTAAAAAAGAGGAACTTTTATCAGTCAAAGCCCCTGTTAGGAACTATTAGTTTCTGTCCTTTCTGGTGCCCCCTGTTGACAAAGCAGCACCTCTTATTACTTCTCTGATTTTGTCCTCAGCAGAGTGTCATAGTGCTTGAGTCGAGGACTTGGACTCCGGTCTGACTCAAGGCCCAGATATCAGATATATCATCAGTCTTAAACAAATAGTCCCGCTTGCTTTTGATGTCCAAAGAAAGATACCAGCGTTAATTGTAGTCTGTTAAACTGCCATAAAAGAAAACTCAAATAATTTTTTTTCAAATCAACATCTGAGTTGAATATTATCTAAAGAGGCGGATCATTATGAGACAGATCATTGAAGTAATGTGCATGAAAGAGAAACTGGAGACAGATATAACATGGAGAGCCCATACATCACAATCTCTTGTAAAACCCAAAGTAAACCTGGCTTATGAGGACCTCTCAAGGGTCACGGGACAGCTTCAGAGACAAAACAGGCCTCGCTCTGATCTCCTGGAATGCAGAACTGTACTTGATATTACAAACGCCCCTCCAGTATCAATAAAATATGGTATCAAAGTACATATCAAAGATTTGCTCAGATTTAATAGGGGTCATGAGGGGGCTGGACTGCTGCGTGTCATCTGTGTCTGTCTTTGCTTCACTGGATGAGACAAGAGGGATTGTCACACCGTATGATGAGTGTGCTGTGATCTTTGACTCTTACTCAAGTTTTGCTGTAACCTCTCGGTAACTCTCCGTAACTGGCAGCTTTCACAAGCCCAGATAGACCCCTAACTGTATGGAGGTAACTTAAAACGGATGGAGCGATTTACGCAGCCATAATTCAGTGTTCATAAACCTGCTACTTGGTGGATAAAATTCTGTCTGTCCTCAGCCTGGTTCATGGTGGCTGGAGGAAAATTGATCTGTGAGAACTGCTTGCTGCCTCATGAGTGAGGAGTCACATTGATCCCTGACCAAACTAAATAAATAGCATTGTAGACATGATCAAAAAGCAGGGTTTACAACGTTCACAGATCAAATAGACAGCAGAGGGCTTAGTGTATCAGAATGAAACCAGACACTGCTCATTGCAAGGTTTGTCTCCATGCTTTCTTACTTTTTACTGAAACAAGACGCCAGGAAGAGCTCAGAAGATGGCCAGGTCACTCTGCACCACCCTTTCTTTTATCCATATCTCCCTCTAAAGTGAAAGAGAGATTATTCTGCCAGACACCTTGACCCCTATAGGCTTGGCTACTCCGAGCTTGAATAAAGCCCTTTGAAAAGCAGATATTTTACATTAATGGACAGCCATCCAACAAGTTGCTTCAAAGCTCCCTCCCCAATCACCTGGTGTCCCACGGAGAGCCCGCCCCGACGTCAGCTCCATCTCTTCTTTGATTCCCTCCATCGCGCTCATCATTAGAGGCTGACACACAGGCAGGCAGGCGGGCGAGCAGTCGGCCAGAGCAGGCAGGGCCGCCGAACGCACGGACGCACACGAGAAGCTTTTTCAAGTGCAGAGAGGCTGACCTTATAGAGAGCGAGGTCAGCTCCTTAACACACAGCCTGAGCCTCGACGCTGAGCATCCTACAGAGCGCTGTGCATACGTGACACAGCATGGCTACTGCCTTGTAGACACCACATCAAGACTGGAGCGTCCAAACCGATGTGTGTACAGTCCACAGCGGGACTGCTTTCCTCTCCAGCAGCAGATCATGGATGCCGAGCCATGCCGTCATGCAGCTTGAAACAAGCAACGTCAAACATCGCCTCTGGACAAACTCGGGGTGTAGACTTTTACACACTGTCCCCTCATTCAATTTGAATTGGATCACAGTGTGGTAGTAGTGAATGAACTGTTTGCACTACAAAGATATGAGGATGGATACATAAAAAGGTACCACATGTAGGCACTGAACTACTCAAGATTGGTGTTAGTCTGTGAAATGATCTGAGGAACACCAAAACCAAGTTCTTGATCTTGTCTCTGGATCGAGACCAGTTTTACTGAGCAGCAACCTTTGATGCTGGAAAACGAAGCCAAAAATGAAGTGCAAAATATGTGGTACCTCAAGTGTCCACATGAGGCAGGCTCAAAAAGTGAGAAAACCCTGTTAGAGCCTATACTGAAGGACTATTTTTATAGTAAAATTACACATATACAATGAGGTGTTTGGTCTCTGAACATCATTTTTATTGCGCATCTATTTTGATTACATGAAGGCCAAGAGTTTCACATAATTGGGGGCATGGCTGATTAGATGGGCAGGTATTGCAGCCATATGCCAGGCAGCAAGGTTTTGTTGGTTAGTCTAGAGTTACCATGTTTGGTGTCCATACTAGATGTATGCAAAGTATAGCATCACAAGGTAAACGTATATTGTCATAAACCTAGAAAATAGATGTAAACTGCTCAAAATGGTACCTAGCAAGAAAACGCAAGACTCACTAAAGTAATTGCACTTTCACAATCAGCTTATCTGCGCTTCCACCAAAACGGAACAACCTTCCTCCAACAGCATGTGAGGTGACACCCACGGAGGAGCAGGATAGTTGCTCTACTGATTGACCACAATAGAGGGGGCGGGGCCAAAACATCAAGCTCTGCCCTCAGCCGCCCCCCCGGAGAGGCAGCCAATCAGAAGAAAGTAAGTGCATAGGGAAGCGGGGGCTTAAAGAGACAGCGGCTAAAACGAAGTGTTTCAGACGGAGGCTGAAATAATGACATTTTAACACACCAGAGTGAAAAATTTGAGGCTTTTTTAAATCTGAAAATCATGTAAAGCTATAAAAGAGGTATCAGACAGGAAGTATTGAGTCTAATAAAATAAATAAGTTCTAGACACCACTGACCATCTTCTGACATTTTGAGAGTTTGTATTCATCAGGTCTTCTACTCTTATCGAAGCGGTTCTCTTAGTTTGTAGAAGTGATACACAGGTACAAACTTTTTTCTTCCAGGTGCTGTGAAGTTTAGTGATAATGTGACTGACCTGTGACTGCTAGCTTCACTTCTCTACAGAGCATTCTGGTTTTAATAATGATTAATGCTACGTTACACTGGAGTCACTGGACTTGCTCACAACTTGGTTAAGCCTAGAAAAGTCTACGTAGACTGTAACACTGCAGCATGGCATGCAATAAATATAGAACAAGACTTAAAGCATGGACAAGATTTCTTATGAAGCAACAATCTTTGGGGACACGTGTCTACAACCTTGAATAGAGGACTGTTGGCCTGAATTAATCTTGTACACATTATAAAAATTGCTACATTATCAAAAGTAGCTCAAATTTACAGTACACCCAAACTCACTGACACTGACACAGTGCATTCAAATAATATGGTGCTTTTTCTTTGGAAATGCAGGTATGTTCTTTTGTGTAAAAAGAGAGGGTAAATCATGAGTCACAATGACAGTACTTCTCGCTTTTCCATCTTTTTTTTTACTTTTTGAGAGCTGGCGTTTTGCACCCCGCTGTGCAACTCGCGCTGCCATTTAAAATGAGCTGTAGAGTATCTCAGGTGAAGGCTGCCTGCCTGAAGTGTGACTGTGTACACATTTGTTCATCCGCCTTTGTCAGAATGTGTGTGTGTGTGTGTGTGTGTGTGTGTGTGTGTGTGTGTGTGTGTGTGTGTGTGTGTGTGTGTGTGTGTGCTTGTTGGCAGGTTTCAAGTCATCCTGGATGGGGTTTGACAAGTGACACGCTGCACTCCAGAAAGCAGGAGTGAGATGACTGACTAATTCAGGCTGCACTGATAACTGAGACGTAGCAGCAGCAGATTTAGGCCTTCACTCTTGTCAGTCGGAGGCACACCGTGTTATCCGTATTCCTGTCAGGGCATTCAACAAGACATAACTAGCAGGATAGAAAAGGGGGGATTTGTAAATCATGTAACCTGCTTGTCATTGTTGGTCAAAACTGACAGCCTGAAGTGGAAAAACAGCTAGTTATTACACAGTATTTGTTCACTTTAATTGGCCATGAAAGACTCTCATTACAGCTCTTTGGTTACAGTTCATTACAAGTTGCATTGCCATGTTTGTGAGGGAATTAATTCCCAAGGCTTTGTCGCCATTTTGGAGGGTGAGATGAGAAGGTAAGGCTTGTCATTCAGCAGTTTTGTAAACATATAGAGAGTTGCGAGTGTTCTGCATCATTAAAATGATTTACTTAATTAGGCTCATTAGCGATTATGCATCAGTTTGTTTCCTAATGATTCATGTCTCATTTGCAACTCCCAGTACAGCTGTCTCCAGCAACAAAGTCAACCCAATTTACTGTTAGTCCAACTAACACAGGACTAATTATGCTTAACATTATGTCTCTCTTTCAGCTAACTAATGATTGATTTATTTAAGTATGTCATCAACTAACTCAAGACTTCATTAGTGAGCTTTAGTGCATGGAGGAGCTGGAGGGCATGCTCAAATCATAACTCTATCAGATTTATTAAATCTGGGCAGGCTAATGGGGGCTTTAGGGTGCTCTAAACAATGCTGAGTTTAGTTTGGTGGTGTTTGATGCTAAACTGAATGCAAATCCAAACAATGGAAAGAGGCACGAGAGAGGAAATTGAAGGATTCATATCATATATTGGGCAAGAAGTCAAAAGACTGCAATCTCACTTATAAATGCAACGGGTAATTTACATTATCAAGGAAAACTTAAACTAGAACTATTGATTTTTTCGTTTCATTTCACTTTTATTGCAAGACAGGGACTTAAACCCTAAAATACCAGAGCAATCTGCTCTGTAACAGACGAAGGTGCAAAGATGGTTTGCAAGTCTTTAAACTAAAAGCGCCATGGGTAATGAAATACTCAACAGACAAAAATTTAATTACTTTCCCATCTCAAAAGGTTGTACCTCTAAGGAGCCCATTGTCATTAATCCTAAGTTGTTCATGAGACTACCTTAAATTTTTAACAGAACTGGCTTTATGAACACCTGCTAAAAGTTAGAAGCGAGATGCGCTGGATACAGTACACCTGACTTAACACACAGCGCTCAGCAACCCCGAGTAACCCTTGAGACCGCTCAAAAAAGTCCCTAAAAGTGAGCAGCCGTTTAAGGTCTGCAGAGAGAACAGAGGAAATAAGAGCGTATCTGAAGAACATGTTCATTTTATGCACGCACAAAACTGATACACTACATGATGTTGACAAGAAGATCTAGGGATATTGTAAAGTGAGCAGTTTTCAACCTTCTCCCTTAGAGAAAGGTGAAAGAAGACTGCTGGTGCTGATGTGGATGACTGACACCTGGTGTTTCACTGGAGTAAGGTGAAGATCACGGAGTTGAGACTAAACTACACCCAATCATTTGTTCTTTGGTGCTCATATGTTGGTCAACCATTATGTGATGAATCCAATGAAAACTGGTTTAAATATATATATGTATAATGATATCTAAAAATCAGCATTAAAAACACTTTTCTGACCATCTTCAAAACAGTGGCCAGGGCTATTTTTCAACACCTACTCAACAGTAAAATGCTCACTCGGCTGTGTAAGCTGCTTATTGCTGTTACTAACCAGGAGCTTTCTGCTGTTGTGATTCAACACATCCTTGATGACTCAGACTAATAGATATACAAGTCTTTGTTCCCTATTTATCTTAAAGCTGCAGTTTTACCAGGTAAAGCATGACAGAATTTCCTAAACTGTACAACACTGAGTGGACGACACTGACAATAACTGAACAACAGACGAGATTTTCCTTAGGTACTGTTCTTTGGAAAATAAAGTTGACCTGGTAAGAGGAAGATGGTAATCTTTGGAAATATCAGTTTAATGCATATCATCAAAACTCTAAACGTTTCAAACAAAAGACATGAATGGGATTGTAATAACATTTCCTAGAGAGTCGCTTAGAAATGAGACAAAGCCAAACCATATGTCGGAGGCTGCTGCATCATAACAGAACAAAGCCATGATTACAAGAACCAAAGGCACAAACACGTGAAGAGAATTATTAAAAAATAAATAAATGAATACATGTAAAGACGGCTTCTCTTAAGCAAATCTGCTGCAGGGTTTTTCTAAGGCAGCAGAACTGACTCTGCAGATGTACAATGACAAAACCAGAAACCACTTATTCTCAACTTCATTTTACTCTCTCTACATGTGACTGAGGTACTGATCAAGTGAGGTAGGTGTAAAATCACAACAAGTAAACAGCAAAAACATGTCTAGAAGGATTGTAAAAAGCCAATCTAACTGCACTGTGACAACATCTTGCAACCAACATTACATTATGGTGATACTAAATTACGCTGATGCATGGGGTACCTCAGGGCTCAATCCTCTGACCTCTCTGTTTTTGATACACTTAAAATGATTCACCCAAGGTTTTTAATAATGCATTACCTTTGTTATCTGCTGATGACACTTGTCTTTCTACAAGCTATCCTTTATTTCCAGTTGGTTTCAGAGCAACCAAGTCTCACTCAATAGAAATGAATCTGATTTCATCACATTCTATAACAAAATCTTTTTATAAATATGCAACAGAAATCGCTAAATATTAAAAGATAATACTGAAATAATTTAAGACCACTACATCCAATTCTTATTACTCATTGTGGATGAAACATTAACAATAAATGTGTTGAAAAGCTGGCTGGTCTGATGATCTTGTGGTGCCAGTTAAAAATGGGATTAATGGAAATTTTACCCAGAATGCAAACTAAAGCGTTGCTCATTTTTCCCTTCTCCTGCACCAACATCTGCACCATTCCTTTCCACCTCCTCCTCCTACTCTTTCATGTTTTCCTCTCCTCCCTGCCTTCTCCATCATCACTCCTCCAACTGGGGTTACTCTCAAAGTGTTACGTTGCGAAGCCCACGTAGCACAGAACGGTGCGGGCTGCGGCTCCGCCAGTGAAAACACAAGAGTGTAACAGGATAACGAGAGAAGAAGAGAGGGCCTCTCTGTTCTCTGTGTCTCAGCATTTTCCGATCCCTCTCTCGACCTCAGTACTCGCCTGTAACCCAGGGTATCTTGGGAAGCTGGGATGTAACCTATGACTTGTACTGATATCCAGAAAAACAGTTTCACTTTTTGGATCCCACTATTTTTTATGTTCTCTGACAACAGACGAGCCTTTCCAATGAATGCTAATCGTAGCGCTGTCATCACTCGCATATGCACCCTGACCTCATGTTGGCCTATCATGGCCTCCCAAAGGACTCAAATCGATACCTGGCACATGACACATAACACACAACACATACACAGTGACAGTGGGTAAGGTTTGGAATCAAGGGACTTTCTGATCTGGCGGGGACAGGGTCTATTTTCTGGCTGAGCGGCTCACATCCCATTTGTGAGTCTTGGCAGCCTGACTGGGAGTTTCTTTCAAGTCTCCTGGGCCCTCAGAGATGTTGAGTACACAAGTATACGAACACACACACACCAGACACAAGAGCATGCATATACACGGCTGACACACACTAAATACAAATGTTCAGTATTCATAATTCAACGGGCTAACATTATTTCCCAGGAGCTCTTTCTGTCAAGAGTTTAGTCATTTGAATCCACTTAAATGGAGAGCAGATCTTTCAGTGTCCTCTGAAATAACACAGTGAGCATTGAGCGGAGGTCATGTATCAGTTGGCAGTTGGCTGCATAATTTATGTTAAGTTGCAAATCTCTGGTGTCAGACACAGTTCATGCATAGAGCATGGCTCATATATTGAATGTGACGCTAACAGAAAAAGGGTAATAGACTGTAATAATGTCATCCACTCTACCATGTGCCATCTATTCTTCGCTCAGCTGCTCCTACCGCCACCGCAAAGGTCTGGCTACAGATCAGTGGCCACTGGTGTGGAAAACAGCAAATGAATATATGAAAATAATGTGAAAATCTGTAGTTTGCCCAAAACACAAGGTTAAAAAGTCCAGAATAACAGATAAGTTTGTGATTTGACTTCCTCACGTATAAAATAAACATGCGCTTTTTAGTAACATAGCAGTCTCTGGGCAAGGGTCTGGCAATATGGAGGTATAAATGACCTATTTGGAGAAATCATGGCCTCTACAAGAAATGTATGTAGTTTTTGTAACGTCAGCTATTGATTCAGAGAAGATGTTTCAAGCCCATCAATGGGTGGCATCATGTTGGCAGAAATGCTGACCCAGTCTCAAAGTCTTATCTCTAATGTTATCCTTAGAGTAAATTAAATTCACAAATAAATGAATAGGCTACATATCCTTAACAGGTTGTTGAACCAAGCTGTAAATATTAAATTTGGCTCTAAAAGCAGGAATTTCAACATGGACCCTGTTCAGGATACTTGGCCTTTTAGAGCCAACCTCAAGCAAACATTCGAGGAACTGCAGCTGGGTTTTGAACATCCTTACTGGCCTTATTTTGAAACAGTGGTTTCCAATTGGTTTAAAATGTAATTATTGAAGGGATTTAGCAATTTTACAGAGTGGATCTTAACAAGTGGTCTTGTCACTCTTGTGTTAAGTTGCAAATCAAGCTTAACTGTATCCTTAAATGGGGAGACACTATAAATATTTGAAGATATAAATCTACTATTCCTTTTATCAAGTAGTTTCAGGAGCTTTGAAATATTCCTTTTGGAAATCAAGTGAGACCTTTACTTAAATGCTATTTAAGACAGTGGGTTTGCCGGTGACACAGTCTCTTATATTGGTAGACATCTGAGGGAGTATACTCTCTATTTCAAGCCTGCTTTTATTAAAAAAACTAGAGAATTTTCTGTCAAGTTTTATGGTGCAATACTTTCCCGTCATGTTAGGGTTATGGATTAGGTATCATTAAAGCTTATTTGCATTTCATAATAATGAACATTATGGGGGGTTTTCATGCAGTGAAAACATTTATTTTCCAGGTCGTAGTAACACCACTGTCCATTAAGTCAATTTTATCTCTAAATAAAATCACTTGTCTGTGATCTAACTCTTTAATTTTGCCAATTTAAATTACCATACAAGACACTTTCCACACTAGCCCTCATTAAACAAGTACATGTCAGTGTGTTTGTTGGATGTAATCTCATTAATTCACTCATAAGTCTAAAAAAACCCAGGAGTTAAAAGGTTTTGGTTTTCACGTGCTTCCAATAAATGGGTACAGAAAGGGCTGATCATATCAGCACAGGGTTTTTAGGATTGTTGATAGTAAATCATTTCATTTTAAGCACTAACAAGTGCTCCTACTCTGAACTGACTGATAGTGAAAGCAGGACACTGGTCCTCTGTCACGCTTGACTGATGTACAGTGAGCTGCTGACTATAACCATTTGTGTATGTGCCCGCCTGCCTGTGCCTACATTTGTGTGTGACTGTCTGTGTCTACATGTGCACGCCTCCCCATGTGCATGTTTGTGTTCTGCATTTCGTGTCTACTTGTGTGCGTTCGCAGGCGCGTGCTTGTGCACGAGAGGTGCTCCCCGTCGTGTCGGCCGCGCCACCATGCCATCTGGAGAGGAAATCGAGTGTGAAGTACAGTATAGTTTGGGACCAAGCTCCGTGGCAGCGGCTCAGCAGTTAGTTCATTAGTTCCAAACTTCCAGGGATTAGGAGAGAATCTCTGCGGCAGGGAGGCAGGGGCGGTCAGGGAGGATGGAGGGACCCATGTGGGGAAAGGAGAGGGAGAGGGGGAGCGAAACACCAGGAGGAAAACTGGACCATAGGGCACAAGGAGAGAGAGAACATGAGAGTGAGAGATAAACAATCTTAACCCCGAGGACCCTGGCAAAGGGGAGAGAGGGACAATGAAAGAACAAGACAGCGAGGGAGAAAGAGGAGGAGAGAGGACAGGTGTAGCCGTCAGTTCCGCTCCGGGGTTTCAACCTGCCCACCCTCTTCCTCCACCCCACTGATCATACAGATATGATGATATGTGTAAGAGTGTTAGAGCAGTCAGCCTTGTCTTCCCTCCCCTCTCTCCTCCTCCCTCTCTCTCTCCCCTCTGGGTCTGTGGTGACAGTTAGCAAGCTCTGGGAGGCTCCTACCCTTTACTCCTTCTCTCATCTCCCTGCCTCTTAAGCAGCCAGTGTTACTGCCAAGATGGAGCGCAGACATTTTTAGGAGTCAAAGCGGCAGGCAATTAAAGCAGGCACTCCTGGATTTCAATTTTCGGGGGAAGGGGGGCGGACTGACCTTCATAGCTTTCCTTTTTGTCATGAATATCTTTCTTTGTTTTAAGGTGAAGGTGACATATAATGAAAAGAATACATTAATGAACACATAATAGGAGGGTAGCTGTGGGCAGTAGCCCCATTTAAAGCCTATCCAAGCATACCCAGTAACTAACCTCGCACTTCACCTATTAAAACCCATTGTTAAAATGAATCCAAACAGGAGCTCCTGGTTGGTATTTAGTGAGCTCAGTCTCTGATTTCCCCTCAGAAAAAAAAAGACATGCGGTTCTAGACTATTGTTGAAGCCTGGCATCTCTTGGCACACACACAGAGCTGACTGTGTGGTTGTCATGGTGAATATAATCACAGCCACTGTATTCACTGTAGAAATTGACCAAGCTCACACCTTTTATAATGTAAAAGAAAATCTCTCATTCCATAAGTTGCCAAATATGCTCATATTCAAAATTATCATAATCAAAAGGACAGGAAATCAAGCTACTTTATAAAAATGAGACCACCACAATTTTACTGTCTGTAAATCTTCATCTAACTTAAGCCCCAATTCTTTCAGTCAAGTTTTAAATTTGCTGACACAAGCTAATTAAAATCAAAATACTCAACAGACCGATACGATACAATATGATACAATATGATACGATACAATACTGAGGATGGGAGAAAAAAAATCCAGTTATACAAGTATCGCAATTTCTTGTTTTACAATTTTAAAATTGATTTTTTTTGTTCAAAAAATTTTCAAATTTAAGAATAAATCTTAAAACTGACAATCATAATAATTCAACTGTTTCACTGGTTTTAAAAATGCAGACTAAAAATCAAGAAAATCGACAATATCGTAGAATTGCAGTTTAAATTGAATCAGCATTCAAAAAATCGTAGACGAATCAAATCGGGAGAAAAGAATATCGTCCCAGCCCTTTATGATTTGCTACAATAAGATGATTTGATACGATATGATACAATACGGCAACAAGGGGATGATGGGAAGGGAAGGAGATGAGTTTTGTGAGTTAGGACACAACATTGGAAGCACATTAGGGAAGCCGGGTGTAAAGTTAGCAGTATAATGGTAGACAGAGAGCCTTTATATCAATGTTACATGCGAATGTGAAAAAATCGCCTATTTTCTCGTCTCAATAACTGTCCCTCTTCACTTTTTTACCCTGTTGCATGTCAGTCTTCCCGGTCAACACCATGCACAACCTTTGCCCGCCTGACCCAGATCAACTTCCTGCTGTGTTCTCAAATCAGCTCAATCCAGACGGAAGAGACATTTTAAAAAGGAAAAAAAAAATAATAATACTGCAGGCGAATAAAAGTGATAATTGCCGGTAGTGTCTAATGACTTCTGTAAAATGAGTGGGTTGAGGAATGATACATGAGAACCAGAGGAGGATACTTTTGTTTAAATAAGATAGAGACATGTGCCTGTCACACGCTGACAACTCAAGAGTCCAGTGTCTGAATTCTTCTGAAGCCTGAATGGATGCTTCAGTGCTGCATTCCTTTCCACATAATAAAGACAGGAGCTCTGACATCCACCAACTCCATCACAGGGTCACATTTTTAGCCTGTCAGTCACACAGGCCATCATCTTATTGTCTCCTACAGGAACAGCCTCCAGCCATATCAATCATCTTTATTATCATGACTTAAAAAGCTTTGTTTGTTAACTTTTTACCCAGGCCCCCTTCTTTATCGCGCTCTCCAATCACAATTTCATGGGCAGTTCAGCTGGGCCAATGGGGAGCCAGTGTGGGCGGGAGGAGAATGCTTTTAACCTGCTGCATCTGGTGCTTTCCCGCTGCTCTCCCAGTGGGACGTGGTCACCTTGTTTTAAAGGGCTCCCATAGGGGGCCACCGCTGCCTTAATCCCATCATAATGGGGTGAAATGTGCTTGTTTTAAACATCTCACTTAGGTAGTTTTCCTTTCAGTGATTAAGACCGAGCACCTGTCTGATGGAAAAAGACAGAATAAAAATCCCGAACAGCTGTGCAGGAGTGTAAGTGACCCACAAAGGTGCATTTGATTCACACATCTGTGGATTTGTGTGTACCTTTTTGCTGAGGGCTACACCATCCTCGCAGTCTAAGACAGCGCAGTCAACATCCAGCGAGGCCAGCTTCCTCAATTTTCGCTCATCATTGCCGGGGCAGTAGAGAACGGCCCTGCGGGGTACGTAGCGCAGCGAGGGGCCTGCAGAGTGATGGTGATGACGCCATGCTTCGGTACACAACTGCCAGGCTGCGGGCAGGAGCCAGCCGCTCTCCCTGTCAACACAAATATATACAAACATAAGCACACGGTGGCACACAGCATATACATACTTTGTGTGCACACTCGCAATATACACAACCCCCAGACAGAACTAGCGTGAATCCACAAATACATGTCTGTGGTGCATACATTACTCATGAGCACACAGCATCCATACAGGGCTAAGGGCACTGAATAATTAAAAGTTGCTCCTGCATTCATCTTCATAATATCTATGCTGCTTTTACTATGTTTGTAGATGTGGAGGGAGGCCTCTCGTTGCTCCAGACCAGGGAGAAAGTCTGGAAGCGTTTCATTTCGGGGAGTTCTGTTTGCCCTTCAGCTGTCTATTGAAGTGGATGAGAGACGTTGACCTGAGCTTTGGCGCTCTTTGTTGGGAACAAACTTACCCAAACACAGAGCCACTCATATGCTAATGTTGCCACACTGCTGAATATGTAGGCAGGGCAGAAAGTGAAGGAGGAGGGGAGTCTATAGTGGTTGGAGCTGAGTCATGGAAAAGTCTAAGTTTGGGGGCAAAAACGATATATTTGTGTTTAATAAATCAAATTCTGATAGTCTGATTTGAAAGTTAGTCATTTTTTATATATTTTTTTAGAACTGTTAACTGCTGGATCAAAAATATTGATCAACGGTGCTCAAATGGTTATTGATTGCCTATAGTATGCTAGGTTGATTTTTGGAGTAAATAAAAAAATAAGTACTTCCAATACTACACCTTCAAATAAAGTCTTTTTTGCTGAAGTATATTCCTCATTCATACAATGACTAAATCCTCATGTTAGTTGCTACTGATTAGATGGACATTACAGTACATCTACATCTACAGTACAGTACACAACTATTTGCATATGTTGTGTACTGTCTTTGCCATTCCTAATTACTGTAAAATTTGTTGTATAAGACACACTTTTCGTAAGTGGCTGTTACTGAATAATTACAGAAGAACCTATTGAAACACTGCCAAACTTTACTGCAGTGCAGGATGCCATCCATCATCTGTGCTTGTTTACATTCAGATAGTCGAGTATTACAGCTGTACTGTAGCCATTAACCAGAGCCACAGCTCCAGCTAGAGGCAGGTGGCTGTCCTATTGCTCTAACATATGATCAGCATTTTTTGCCTTCAGTAATTAAAGTATTAACAATTAACCAATGAGCAGTTTTAGTGCCAACTAGCAAAGTTGGTCATGTTTAGTCATGTAATCTACTTGACACATACATTCCCAGTGTTGAGTGTTCACAAAGTCACAGAGTGAAACATGCTTGTATTCACCCTCATATCCAAACACACATGCATGTGCAAACCAACACAATTGTGTACACAAATAATCACTTTCCTGCACACGTTTCACAGTAATTATTTCTTTTGCCGATCTCTGAAACAATTAGCCCTGATGAACAGCTAAATGTTAAGGACAGATATAACTTATTACACATTCTCTCTTTGCCACTTGGTATCAGAAACCCTTCAAGGGATCATGTGTAGATAGTGTCCTTCTTTGCCTAAGGAAACAAGAGAAAGAAAAAAGGAAAAGAGGAGGGGGGGATTCCTTATTCTGTTCGAAAGGGGGGGTTGAATTATTCTCTTTGCTTGTCTTTTGCTCTCTAAAGGAGCTAAAGTCACTTCAATAGCCACTTAATCCTGTCTACTACATTTCCACACGCCCTCCAGTCCCAATCAGGCCTAATCTGCTCTGAGATGTAGCGGTCTGCGGCTGGTGGTAAAAAAACAATTCAGGTTGCTCGCAGTGTTTCAGTGCTTTAAGGTATATACTGTAGAGCCTTTTTCACACTGGGAACAGAATTCACAAAAGGCTTGGGAAGGAAATGTTGAAAAAGCTCATTGTTGCTTTGCAGACAAAAGGCAACAAGGTCTAATTTAGTATGGAAAAAAAAAAAGAAAAACTGATAAATTTGAATTAAAATACTGGGACAGAATGTTGGTGGGAGTGCTGAGAGGAGGGGGCAAGAGGGGGCCGTTGAAACCTAAATGAAATCTATTCTCTTCATGCTGCTCAGGGGAATATCTAAAATAGGAATATTCAGTACCCACAAAATATATCTTTAATATGATAAGTACAAAAGCAGGTCGTTTCAGAGTAGGTTTTATTAAGAAATAAAACAGGGGGTGGGGAAAGAGAGTCTACAACCATGGAGGGTGGTGAAAGTTTTGCACGGATAACCAGGAAAGACTAAACACACTAACTGTCCTCTCAAAATAGTGGCCTGATGAACTCCTTCTACTTTGAAGCTGCAGTGCCTTTGGGGGAGTCATTTTCCCACCGTGTCAGCAATATTTTTACTTTTCAACAGAAAACCACAACTTTGTAGTTTTGGAGCAGCATTACTTTCCTTTTGTCAATCATTACCCCATTTAAATTTTATCTAAATGACAGAGCAGAGTCGGTCTCCTCTTACTAATTCCAATGGAGCATTTGAGATTTTCCATTTGCTTGCCTTGGATCCATATTAATGTCCACAATGATACAATAGCTGTCATCCACTCTTGCAAATGCTCATGAGCATTGGGAAAACTAACGTTGTTTTTATTCACAGTGGTTGCCAAGACTTTGTGGAGAATTTTGAAAACTTTTACACCTCTAAAGAGGGATATCTTCTTTCTTTTTCACCTTTAAAACAACACAGTACAACATCATAACATCAGTCAATGACTGTTTTGGGTTTGATATGCCGTTAATGGGTGCTGGGAAAGATTTGTCAACAAATGCCAATATGATATTATGTCAAAATGCCGATCAATTAACCAGTATATATACCTAGACATGACACAACATCATTATATGGTATGCCATGGTTTAATGTTACATGCCATGATTTAGGACATGATCGGCTACAATATGACACCATCAGGGATTGAAAACTTATTGAAATAGTAAAAGTGCTGGCCAAAATTAGACACCAAGGTTTAGCCCACCCAAAAAAATGGGAAAAGGAACCAGTAGGGAACAGCAATCAGTCATAACAATCACAGATATATTTAATTAGAACTGGAGCAGCAAGGATTTTAGCACAGCCGTCAAATGTTATCATTTCTTTCATAACATACAATAAGCATCACTGCATTTACATACCCCCAATGTCTGGTAAACCTTTCGTCTTTATCAAATCAACATTTCGGTGTGATCCATTTATTTTATAGTCCCCCAAAGTACCATGTACACCTGTATTACCAGTTTATTCTCCATTTTTCTAACATGAAAGGTTATGATAACACAAGGCTGTGTGGCTAAATTAGCCGCTGTAAAGTGGTCAGACCCGGCCACAGTGACTATGTTTACTGGTCTGAGATCAGAGGTGAGTGTGTGTAAGTGGGTTTATATGGTGCTGGATGGGACTGGTTCTCATTAGCAGGGAGGTAGTTGTAGACCAAGGCCCAATGGCACCTAAAGGGGGGGAGGAGGAGGAGGAAGCGTGGGAGTAATGTAGTCAGGAGGTGGTGAAATCCGTCTTAAGACTAGATGTAAGCCCTCCAGTTGCTGCAGACGACCAACAGCACAGTCAGTCATATTTGGACCTGTTTTCTAAAGAGTCATTATCACTAAAAGCCAAAAGAAGAGATCTCAAGGCTCATTTTTTGTCTACAGTATGTGGCACTTCTCCCTGCTGGCTTGGCGGCATGCAGATTTGTGTCTGTCTTCTTCCAACACCAGAGAGAGTCTTGGACAAAGCAATGCACTGCCGTAGAACTATTAACTGATCTTCAATCCAACAGAGGGGACTCTGATGATCTGACACCCACTGTAAGCGTCTCACTACAATAAATCTACCTTGAACCAGGTATCCTTGAACTACACATCTTATCTTCAACACTTTCAGACAACACTGATGTACACTTTTACCCACATTGAGCTCCTCTTTCACGCCCCGGTTTCATCTGCTTATCTCTGAAATCCCCTATCATGTAATTCAGACAGGTGCACCAATTTTTCTCAAGGTAACAGGTAAAAGCATGTCATCAAGAAATGACAAACTAAGAAAGGATTATAAGAGGTCAAACTTATATACTTCAATTCGGAGAAACTTGCACCTGCATCATGCCTATTTCCAGTGTTCAATGATAAACATCTCAGCTGTTCCCTGATTTCAAGGATTTCTAGACTTAACACCATTATTGTTAAGATATGGAACATCTTCAAATTATAACAGTCCGCAACCACTTTCAGGAGAAAGCCATCTCTTTTTATAAGCGACTACCTATAAATGATATTTGATCAGGAGCTCAAAAGATCAGGCTTGCTGAACGGATCAAAACTACTTAAGATGAAAACAGCAGTTCCTGTTGTCAAATTCTGGTTTTCTTCCAGAAGTCAGTGTTTGTAACCATGATTATATTTGACCCTAAACTATAACAAAGTTTTAAGGCATTTGTCTTTTAGCATTTGTATTGCTCAATATTCCAGTGAGTTGTAATAAACCTAAAAGTGTGTTACTCAGATGCTTAGGAGACCATTGTCTTTGTTTGAGATGGCACTTAAACTGTCATGGTAAATACTGGGTCCCAGGTGAAGTAGGACGTGTTTATTGCTTGCGTTTGATTGGTCTTCAAATTCACCCTTTAAAAGGATACATCCCCTGAATTGGGCCACAGCCTATGACAACTTGCTACCTAACCTTAAAAAGCTGAAACAAAGCAGCAGAGTTACACTGATAGATAAAGTCAGAGCTGATAATGCTGTTTCAAGTAAAAATTTAGTCTGATGTGTTTGGTGTTACTTCTCAGTGTGTTTGATTTTAAATGAGCTGTGAGATTACATGCTTGTCTTCTTTGTCTTCTCAGACCATGTTATACTCCCTCTCTGAACACACTTTATTTTATGTTTGATCATCAAAATAAATCAGTTTTTGGTCTCCTATAAAAAACTTCTCTGAATTGGCAGTATAGGGTGTAATAGCCTTCCATCTTGACTTTGATGTGAAGATAAAGGAGCACAGTTACACATTGTTTACCAATGTGGCAAATTAATGTCTGTCAACAGAGCTGATATTTCCTAATATTGATATTCAGCAACACACATCAGTGCACCCCCACCAAGAAGTATCACATTCTTATCGTATTCTATCATATCGTATTCTGTCATATCGAATCACATCCAACTGTATTGTATAACCATAGCATGACTTTTGGTAGTCACTGACTACTGCAGACTGGACACACCCCACAAGAGCTGCAATTTTTGGAAATGCGTCGACCCAGTTGTCTAGCCATTGTAACTGTCAGATGTTCAGTCTTTAAAAGCCCCTATTTTTTCTGCTTCCAGCACATTAACTTTGAGGACAAAATGTTCACTTGCTCAACATATTCCACTGGTGTTAATCTTTCACTCTAAAACTCATGTGAGATGATTCCTTATCCAAAGTCAAAGATCTACACGATCACGCTCTCGTCATGTCTTATGCTGGAAGCAACATGTGCATGGATTGGTAAAGTCCTTAATGAATGTTTGACTTGACATATGACCTTAAGTGTGTCACAGTTGTTTGCAGTCTGGCAGTAAATATTATGCACTGATATTTGGTGGTAACTGCTCCATTATCATGTCACAATGATCACTATTTCCTGTCACTCTGCCGGCCTCCACCTGGCAGGGTAATAGCCTAATTCAGGTTGTAAAATTCATCCTAGCACATGAATCATTGCAGATAACAAGAGGCCGGCACCAAAACAGACCCTGACCACGGCCTCCCTTTCAATATGTAGATTTTCACAATTATCTCCAGCATGGCGGAGCAGACAGAAGCTGTGTCTAAAATGCACAAAATTAAAGATCTGTGTTTCGAGTCCATGATAATCAGCTGCTTCTTAATATGCAAACTACATTTGGAGGTCCGTGGTGCTCAAGATTCCAGATTAAATTAGGTGAAAATGAAGATGAATACAGAGTGGGGGGAAAAAAATCAATGTTCCTGAAGCATAAACAGGCTCCCAGTCTGCAGAAAGCTGTCGGCAGGTGGGAAATAAAATGGTCAAAAAGTCATCAATATTTACCTAGCTTTGTGTCCACCTGCCTCTCTGACACTTTTTTGTTTTCAGAATGAAGAGGAGAGCTGAAGCATTCCCCACACACGCTCCTCCGCCCAGCATGATGCAGTACGTGTGGGTTTTCTTTTTTTCCACACTGCCTCAGGTCTGAAGACACAATTGGATGGCAGAGAAATGCTGAAAAATTAACCAGAGACACCAAAGATATGGAGAGGAAAGAATCAAACACTTTTCCTCTACTTTTCTCTTCTCTGCCCCCTGCTTTTTGGCTTGCCCTCCAGCAAGTTGGAGCTCAGGATGAGCAATGTGCTCCCCTCTGGGCTCGACCAGCTGGGGGCTACAGTGTTTACTGGGGCCAGTCTCTCTGACAAAAGTTTACTGGGTCTGCAAACAGTTTGTGGATGATGGCTGAATTGACTGTACTGGGCGACTCTGTTGCCAAACCAACGATAATTTCATCATGTGCAATAAGGAGGGTTTCAACTCCTTACTGCACTAGAGATGCACTGATCCATTTTTTTCGGATCTAATCCGATACCGATACCTGGGCTGAGCATATCGGCCTACATCCAATATCAATCCAATACTACTGCTGAATGAATGAACTGTATACCTTGCCCTGTGAGTGAAGGCATCAGGCTTGACATTTGCCTTGTTAAAAAAAAAAAAAAAGGTAACAAATTAACACAGATATAAATTTACTTATTATAAAAATTAATTAAAGAAAAGAAAGACTGGATCGGAATGCTGGATCGGCGTCATTCATCAGATATCCAATCCAGGAAATTTGTCAATATCGGAGCTGATATCCAATCCAAATATCAAATCAGTGCATCCCTAATAAGCACCCTCAATCCACAATACTACAACACCTTTTACTGATATTGATCTTAACTATGACTCAAGATGCCTCTAATCTGGTTAAGCTTACTGGTAACATTCAGTATCTTGTTTTACATATTAGTGCCAGAGTTTCATAACCTGGCTATCAGCTTAAATGTGATTAGCTGCAGTTTTAGACTCAAGTAGTGTAACCTCCTCCCACAGCTCTACAGTTATGACTTGTATATATAATCTTCTTTCTGTCAGAGGATCTCAGTATACAAGGTAAAATTTTAGGGGCTTTCATTGCATGCTTTATACTTGTTGATTCCTTATATATTTCAGGCAGTACAGGAGGCAGAAACAGATATAAACAGCTGTCTATTAGGGGTGGGAGAAAAAAATCGATACAATATAGTATTGCGATATTTTGTCTGCTGATATATTGTATCATCTCATCCACCAAATATCGATTTTTTTAAGTAATATAAACTCAAGTCTATAGAAATGGGAAATTAAATTAATTGTTAGTCCAGTGAGGTTGGCAGAGGGGACATCATAAAGCAGGAAAAAGTTAGTACAACAAACATGGCAGCACTCGGGGAGGGACATTAGGAATGAAAGCAGAGCACAGATGAGATGGACATGACACAAGATGTGCTAAATGAAAATACGATACTGTGTAAATAAGACAAACACAAAGGAAGACAAATGCCATATCAGCGAAGCAATTAAAAAAAATAGTATAAATCCCAATATATGGTATCGCAATACTCACTGTATCACAAAATGTTTAAAATCGCAATAATATCAAATTGTGGCCCAAGTATCATGATAATATCGTATCGTGGGGCCACTAGTGATTCCCACCCCTACTGTTTAATATAGTTGTGCATGAAAAAAGTGGGGATTTTATTTTTAGACCATAACCCCAGCCCTCAAAACAAGGGGGCTAAGAGACATCCCTGCCATTGTTTAGCTCTGAAAAAAATCTATTCCCTCCTCTAAGGTCATTTCTGTTATTAAAGTAGACAAAAGAAACTTATGTGGCGTTTCTATTTGTTTTAATTGTAAGTCATTTGTTATCTTAAGCGTAGGTAAAAAATCAAAAATGCTGAGTCATGAAATCGAGGTACTGAAGAGGCACAAATTGAATCCGAACAGATCCGAGAGTCTACAGCCAAGATCTTACTCTGCTTGAACTTTAGTCATTTAATCAAACCTAGCATGACAGGCTTGGTGTAGAGCTTGGAGCATCCTTTCTTTAAAAGCTTCCTTCTTCTGCTTATATCACCACTGGACCCACATCTTCTTCTTCTCGCTTTAAAAAGCTAATTCAATGTCCCTCCACTATCAACAATACCCCTTCCTCCTCCTCCCATCCATGCCTTCTCCCCCTTTCCGGTCTCATTAGTTTGGGTTTTATGCCTTAATCTACACAATGAGGATGAAGTCATGGCGGTTATCTTCAGCAGCCAATGTCTGCCTACCTGTAATCCTTCTCAAAGTCCCCGGCTTTCTCCCAGCTCACAAATCGGCACACAATGCTTTTATGCAAGGCCTCAGCAGTAATGCCCGGGAATGACAGCGGACTTTTTTCTTGTCTTTCCTCATCCCTCAATATAAAACTTGTTAAATCCCACTTCTCCTTAGAAGAATGGATGTCTTTATCTCGGTCTCAGGACGGGGAAAAGTCAGAACGTAGAGGACACCAGACCTGTCTGTAACAGTTACAAGCTGGTACCAATGGAAGCTCTGTTTTTGCATTTTATAGACAACTGGACTGAAGTCTGTTGTTCTCATTGTGTAGCTCCTGCCAAACACAGTGTAAAGGTTAATTTTAATTTGAAATAACCAAACAAACATTACATCCTAGTAAAACGTGGACAGATTAATAAATAACAGAAAAAAATCAATGAATTTATCATTAAAAGTTAATTGAGAGGGGAGCTTGAAAAGGTCAAACAAGTCACTCCATTGGAGGAGGGCATAAGGGGGTTAGCTTTTAACTTAGCATTTTTATTGACTCTGGCAAAACAAAATGAGCGGGCTCTGTAGGATTGTGCACTCTGCATTGGCCATTCAGGCCTTCAGAGCCCCATTGTACTACTTTGAAGAGAATGAAAGGAAACCCCACTGGTGGAAATGCAGTGGAACAGCCCCACAACAGGCCACAACTGTTCCCTTATGCATGAAAGGCAGGGACATAAAAGACAAGATGGACTTCTGAGGTAGGGCCAAAAACAAAGGCAACAAAAGTGCTGATCACGAGGGGATGACACGACTCGTCTCAGCAGAAGGAGCAGGGAGAAAGGGAGAAGAGGACAATAGCACTCCCGGCCAAATGACATGTTGAAGAATTGAAAAATCCACACAAGAAGTGTCTTCTCAATTCACTAAACCCACAAGAGCTGGGTGACTGTCGGCTGGCCTTGGTCAGCCAGAGGGGGGTGGACTTTAACAGCCCACAGCTTTTCTCCTCCTAACTTTCTTTCCCAAATCTTGCCCTGTTTTGGCAAACAACTTGGCAAGGGCAGGGACTGACTGGGGTGATGGCTTTAGTGTACACACACCAAACCCAAACCAAACCAAACCTAATCAAAGCGTGGTGGGTTCCGCTCCCGCAGCTTCCGTTTTGATCTGTTGGCTGTCTGTGTGTCTGATCCGTTTCTGCTTGTGCTCTAAACACAATTATACCACTGCCTAACCTCCATGGAAACAGTCGGATGGACAAAAACATGTTTGCTCTCATACAAAAAGCATCCTTGTTTTTAGGGACACAGTGTAATGACCGCTGATATTTACGCCAATGTTTTAGAAGTCGAACCAAATAATGCTTCGTTAAGAAGAGCACTTCCTGCTGATTTTTTACCCTGTTGGGTTCTAGGCTGGGAACCACTTTTTTTTTCTCTCACTGTAGGATTTCTTTTTTTTTTTTTTACACACGAATAAGTAAACACACAAATCTGTAGGTCTGTTTATGGCTGTGACACCTTGATGGACATCTTAGCTTACTTTAAAATCGTTGTACGTCTTCTCCCATAACTTTCCTCACATCCAGGACAAGAACTGCCTGAGTTGGTAAAAAAACACCAGGTATCACCTTTACAGAAATGTGCTTTGAATGACTGCTAGATTGCCAAAAGCACCAATCCATGTCATTATTTATATTCTACAAAACAGTAGTTTAGACTATTACAAATATTACTGCTGTAACTGTCAAAGAAGCTAAAGAGAAATTATTTTAGGTAAATCATAAGATACTTGCAAACAAGACAAGCCAGAGCAGGAGCGACATAATACTGAGTTCAATCTAGCATGCAATCCCTTCTTTCCCATGATGCAGTTTAACACAATATTATTTCAATATGAAGATAACTAACTAAATTCACTGCCAGTAATGGGAGTCATTTCTTATTCCTACAATACAGTTTTGGCATCACCAGTGTGAATGTTTTTTGCAGTTTTAGTGGGGGACAAAAAAAGCCAAGCCCTACCAAAAATGAGCCAAAAAAAAAAAAAGTTTCAAACAATCACTTGTTTTTGAGTCATCTGAAATGTTGTCTCTGCAGCAGAGATGTATTGAGGAGAGCAGAGGTAGCCTCAGCAAGTAATACCACACAAAAAATAAGGTAACTCAAAACTGAATCAACTGATAACAGCACTCTCACACCCACTTTCTTGAGGTAACAGACACAGTATATTGTGGACTTCAGGTGTTTCTGGAGCAGTGTGTCAAGTTGTTGCTGTTGCAGATATACAACCAGCAGCCTGACACTGTTGTTGATAAAAGTCTGAGATTGTTTCACATACAGACTTCAGGCGTTCGCCAGGTGAGTATGCTTCATTTGGTGGTACAGTAGATGGATGTAGACTGATGAAAAAGGTTTAAAATGTATATACACAGGAGTGCTCTGGTTCACAGCAGAAAAAAAAGACAACTTAAGAGTCAGAACTGTTCTGTTCTCTGTTGTGATTTTAGTACCATTCTGTAGGTACATAAATCATGTAATTTAAAACACACAAAAAAAGCATTGTGAAAAAGTCAGGATTGTAATCAGATTCCTAGTGAGAAAAAATGGTGTGAGAAAACTCCAAGTTTTGTGGAGAAGATGGGCGTGAAAGAAACTGCTTGTGAATTTCATGCACTGCATCTCAAGAAAAACCTCTATCTGGTGAAATAAAGAACCTGCAGAGGCCTCTAAAGTAAGGACTTGTTGAAAGGCAAAAGCCAAACAGTGAACTCAACAGGTGAAGGCCCTCCTCCACACTAGCCCCAGGCCTATCCCACAATTCTTCACACATACCCACGGGCCCTTTCACTGGCCATCACCCTGTCTGATTAATGGATCGATGTGGTAATTGATTAGTGAGGAGGAGGTGGGAATAAGAACATAGGTCAAACGTCAATAATGTCCCTGTGACAAAAGGTGGAAGACGTAAAATGTACCAGTGATAGCCTGCAGCCAGACCTCTACCCATCAAAGCGCTGGCAGGGCAAACATAAAGGCCCCGGCCCATTCTCCAGCCTGCCCTGCCCTCCCTCCCCAATGCTCCTTTTCTCTTGGTAATGTTGTCTGTTAAAGTGACAGGAACCATTCTGGGAGCTGCTTGTCAGCTCACCTTCATAAAACAAGCCATAAAGCAGCAAATGACAGGCTTATATGGCTTCATTATTCTGGCCATGCAGGATCACAGCCCAGGGCTGAGGGTTTTAGGGGGTGTTGTGTTGGATGTGGAGAGGCGGGGAGAATCTTGGCAGGACGGCCTAGTTCTCGTGGAGGTTTGTTGTCCCAGCGGCTGTCACCATGTCCATGTTTGCACAGGATAGAGGACCACTTAACCCCCTTCAACCCTGTATTCTCTTGAAATCTAAAGCAGGACAAACACAGAAGTACAGCTCACTTTAGAGATCCTGTGACAGCTCAGATTTCTCTGTGCTTTTTTAATTTATGACTGTGTGCCCTGCTACACTTCTCAATCGCTGCTAAAGATAAATGATAATAACCCGAGCCCTCTTTCGAATATCCTCCATAATCAAGCACGTACCCTGACACTGTATCCGACAAGTTAAGAGTCTGGAGATGAGGCGAGCACGTCCAGATGGGGCATGCATCTGCGACAGTAAACCTTTGGCCGTGGTAGGGCTGGACGTGAGAGAGATTCTCATTTATTTCATGCAAATATCTTCGGCAGTTTCACAGCCTGACAGAGGGGGCTGAGAGGTGGTCAATATCTGAGGGTTGGGTCTCCAAAATATTTCCCCTGTTTTTCACAGTCAGCCAAGGGGGCCTGGCAAAGAAGTCAGCAGTTAATGCGTGCGTTTGTGCGTGCTTACCAGTCTATGACGCAAATAAAGCAAGGTCAGACTTTTCCAACAAAACTCATCACCGCAGCAGAAAATCATCAACTTCTTACATATTTAAATGTTGATTTTAAACTGTTAACAGAATACAAAAATTCATATAATGCGCAAACTGTAAAAAACCTGATAACTCTACATATAGAGAAAAGGGGACAGCTGGAAAATAGACATTTACAAAGGTGATGAACTCTGGCAAATGTCGATCCATATGGACATGCACAGCCTATCTCACAGCAGAAATGGCAACAAAAGCCTGTTAAACTTTATGGTGTTTGGTTTTGACATTAAGCGCACAAAGAGGCACAAAAGTGTTCATGAAATGAACTTGTTTTTCATCTAATATGAGGAAATCATTCAGGGGAAAAAAGCTCAATTTCATTGTTTTTTTGCCAAAAAGTTAAGATGAGGTTTTTTCTGTTTTAACATCGAACATGATGTCTAAATCCAACTTAACATAGGCTTTAAATGACTTCAAACAACAAAATCGAAATCTGGATTGTATATGGTGGGGAGCTCAACTAGTCCTCTCATTGGACACTCCCTGTTCACCAAAGAGAGCTTGAAAGACACCAGCTCTCACTCTGGTCTCTAGTGTGTTAACTTTTCTTAATCTCTGGAAGAGTTTGTGATGAAGAGGAGAAGAAAAAAAGAAAATTCAGCTCCAAATAAAGCCCTTTGGACGACAAACTGGTACCAGCAGCAGCTTGGTATGCAGTCTGCAAGAATTTTATACAAAACTACTGACAAACATAATCTTTTTTATCTATGAGATTGTCCTAGACATGGCAAAGAAACCAAATTATATCATGAAAGAATAGAGATTCTTCAATACAGGTAAAAAGTCTCAAGATAGACAGCGTATTGAATCCATATTGTCCGGCCCTTATTAGGCCTCTATTTGGCTTTTAAAGCTTCCACATGATCTATAAATAGACTGCTGATATTAGCAAGTCAAATACACAGCATAGAAAGCTTGCCGAACATCTGGTGTGCAAGCTTACTCTATTTTCACCAAAAGTAACTGTCCCTTTATGTGCTTATCTGTCATCCACTCAGTCCCAATTGTGCCCAGATCAGTCACTTATCTCTTTGGCAAAGCTGTGAGGCGGCGGTACAAGCGCCATCTCTGTGATCATTGTATAGTTAATTGTCACCTCCATCAACATTAGCACTCTCTTACATGCTAACCAGAGGGGGAGAAGAGGGGGAAGCTGACTGCACGCTCTATTCTGAGGCTGACACTTGTTCTCTGAGGGGCGGTTTTTTGGTGTCAGGATTACAGTGCACAGGAGAAAGGAGGGCGGAGGAGAGGTGGGGAGCTTTCTTCACAACTCATGTCACTGACGTCTGTGTGTAATGGCAGCTGAGGGAGGAAGAGAGGCAGAGAGACAGGGCGCCGGCGAGGATTGATTGGTGTTTACTTTTAAGCAGCCTCTCAACCAATGGCAAAAGCAACCAATGGGACCATCTTCTCACTGTGAAGTCACGTGACCAAAAACAGGTCACATGGATATAAACACACACACAAGGTTGGGAAGGGTTCAATGCATAGACAGTGATACACCAGCAGGCACACGCACACACAAATATATCCGTTACATACATTTGGCACTGGTCCAGATTGATTCAAATGTGTCGCCATTGAACCATATGGATACGCACATTCATGGCTAATCTAACAAACACTGCCGCACACACACACATATTCTGGCCGGCACACAGGCACACGTATCCGGACTGTAAAACAGCATTGCCATCTTGAGCCCCATGGATCAGTGGGGCCATCTGACACTGTGGAGCCTGAATGCATTAAGACCGGCAAGGTGGTCGCACTTTCCATCTCAGCTAGCACAGTTACATAACCCTCCATGATATGAATGTGTTAACAGAATTAGTTCTGCAGGTGAGGACACATGCATAATGGATAATGTTACTCCTGGATGTCACACTATCTTATTTAGTTAATTATTGAAAGTGGAACAGCTGATACGTGCAAAGCCAACTGCCATGTCAAACAGGATGCAATAAAACCTATGTGCCAATTATGAGGACACTGAAACTCGTTCCTAGTGCAACTCTGAAATTAAAATGAGGTTTAGCTTGAAATATTCAGCTTTAATTCAAAAACAAACAAATAAAAATATAATCCAAGGATGCTACAGTAGGCCCTTGACAATTGTGACGAGTGCTAGGCCCAAGTTTTCAGATCTGAAAGACTCAATAGCTGATCAGTTCACATAAAAATAAGAGATTAATCCACAGCAAAAACTGTTGTTGTTTCTTGTACAGTAAAGCAGAGAGATGACGGCTGACTGACTCTACAGGTGTCAAAGGAAGAAAATTAATAGAAACAGAAGGAGAGTTAGGGTGAAGGTGGGGTGGATGAAGGAAAAGAAGATGTATTGGTTGAGGAAGAAAGAGAAGGCAAAGGTTGGATGAGCATGGTTTCATGGGTACGAAACAAAAACCCGCACTAGGCGTTACAATCTGGGCTGGGCCGTGCCTGGGCGAGCCCTGGACATGGATGTGACTGGGACAGTAGATCAGATGGTACATCAGACTATTTGGATATTTGGCCTTCGATGTGTTATGTACTACGTCTGATCTCTCGCCCCCACCCATCCGCCCGCACCAGGCCCAGACACAAACACGCCCCCGTATCCCTCCTCGGACCTCGCCAAAAAGTCTGACAGATGGGTGTACTGGAAAGATCCACTCAGGAGACCAAAACATACTAAGGCGCTGTCTGTCTGACGTTTGGATTTGGAGAGGAACGACGACCAGAGAAAAACACAGGACCGAGGAAAAGGGACATCTGTGGCATTTGTCTTATTTCCCTCTCTGGTGGGACATGATGTGTCATGAGTGGGCTCTGAGTCTTTTGGATCATATTCCGTTTAATTAATGAACCCCCTCAAACACACACAAACACACTTAAACACACTCACACATACACAACATCCAAATTCCAGACCGCAGCTCCTCATCTCTCCCCTGTAAGTTGCCTGTGCCCCCAAGTGGTCGGAAGGGATAACTGCATCTGCTTTTGACTTGAGAAACAACAACTTTAGGGGAGGAAAAAGCATAAAAAAACTCACAACTTGACATGATTTGACTTTTAGACTCAATCTTTCAACATTTAGGGTGCATGTTCTTGTTTAAGAGGCTCCTCAGAGGAATGACTGTTTAATAAAAGGTTTCTCCCAAAATTTTGAGATTTGCTTTTATTTTTTAGAACATCTGAGAATGAAGGTATCCCTTACTGCAAATTTTAAAAAAAATTCTGGATGGCAAAATAAAATTTTAGTAAAAACAAACAATATGCTAAAAAAAAGGCTCCTTACGAGTATTCTCAAATCATTTTTTGCCACTCTTTTATTGTAGATTCATTAAAAATAAGAAATTGTTCTCATTAATGGCACCGCTTTTATTTCTGAACAAACAAAGGTATGTTCAAACCATCATTTGTTGTCACTTTGATGGTCAGACTTTCCAAAGAGGAATTTTAAAGCAATAAAGCTGATGCTCCCTAAAGTGTTGTAATGACATTCACTTCATTCTTTTAACCAACAGGGATGCCTTTTGCCCTCGACTTCTGCCCAGCCCCGAGCCTTTAATTAAGACTGGCTTAGACCCGATTGATCCTGACACACCAGGAAGTTTCTTAAAAATCTGACTGCCAAAACCATGGAAGTATTATATAGGCCACAACCCCCCATAGCAGCCCACGGCCCCTCCCCACACCCCACATAAAAAGGATTGTAGGCTGAAAGCCCCTCTGGTCAGTCCATGGGACCTTACATGATTGAGGTATGCCTACGTATTCTACATTAACCCTTAGATACCACAATCATTTACCCTATCTTTAACCTTTTTACCCCACAAGATCTTTCATTAAATGTTCTCACTTATATATTCATCAACGCCAGAGAATGGCCAATTGATTTTGTGCAAAGTTGGTTGTATGTTTGATCCTCACACCTATATTGTTTTCAGCATAAAAGCTCACAGGAACAGAACAGCAAACCATTGCATCTTGAAAAACGACACATTTCCTTTAGCCAAGGCGATGATGCAAATAGGAAGCTGGGACTAGTGCACTGCATGTGTTGCTCCCCACATGGGGAGAGTTCTTGTGCTCTCCACAACGCAGCCACTTATGAGTCAGACAGCCTCATGAACATGCATCATGTGCTGGTATTTAAAAAAACAAAGCTATATTACTTACAGAACACTGGCATGATTATTAAAATAAAAAAATATCAAAAAATGATCTTTATCTGTAGCCAAGTCAATGAAATGTTTTTGTTGTTGGCCCTGAGTCTTCACAGTGTGACATAACCTCCATCCAGGGCTCGTACGTGTCCAAGGGGAGGAGCGACCCTGGCCTGCTGGAGGAGGATTCAAACCAACCAGCCAAACTGATGTCTCTCGGGTGGACAAAGCAAAGGCCGTGCAATGTAATGCAACTGATTCGGTTAAACTGATACTGCCAGCATTTTCAAACCATACTACAGTGTTAGTTTTAAAAAAAAAAGTTGATCCCCGAAAAATTCCGGTATTAGGAGTGTATAAAATGATGATACACTTCTGTTTAGTATCATCCTGTGTCCTGATATTCCATCAATTTCCAAAATCAGCACCCTAAAATACAAGACTAAAAGCTGTTCGACAGTTTTCTTTTTGATCATTTTGCATAACATACTAAAAAAAGACCATGGTGTTAGTTTATCTGGTAACTGCTCTAAATAAAAATCCACATCCTGTCCCTACCGACTATCAAAAGTAAAGAAACAAACAGATATAAAACTTCCTCCTAACTAAATACCTTTTACCTACAGTATTCTCGTACAGCAGAGGGTCTAATGATGAACTGAGGATATCATAAATATTTATACTTAGAGTAAAATTTTTTATTGGATGAAACATTCAGAAACATAAACAAAGAGCCAACGAGAACGTGGAAAGTGACAGGCACAGAGAGCGAGACCTTACCCTTGGCCTATTCCTCTATTAAGGGAGTGGTGTGGGTGGGTGTGGGCGATAACCAATGCCCCTTCCTTCCTTTACTGGGAGGATCATGGAAACGCAATTGAACTTGTTTGGCACATACGCATTCCAGGACCGGATGAAATTGTGTATTAGGGCCCCCAATACTATGGCTACTTTTGACATTCAGATGTGGGTCCTCTCTACAGTCTTCTCTACAGTAAGATTCATGTTGTCAGAGCTTAGGTTTAACTTCTAAACCCTTTGCACAAATTTCATTGAATGTCACTGATATTTTTTTTCCTTTGCTCAGTTTCTAAATGGGGTGACAGGCGCAGTCCAAGAGTGAAACTGAATTTCTTTCTGAAATACAACCAATGATCCAATATTCATGGTTTGTAATAGATGCTATTTACTAACAGCTGACAAATGCAGTTGGTTGCCATCTGAGTAAGGGTTGCAGCACATATTAAGTCAGCAAACTCCAATAGTTTTGCAGCTATCTAAGTCTTAGACAACAATAGTCTCTTTAGTCGCATGGTTCCTTCACCTGTACCCTAAACTGTTAGAGGCTCAGTTAAAGTTTTCTCATATGGTTTCACAGCCTTCTAAAATCAATGAGCAGTCAGGAGACACAGCTGGGCCGAATAAGACTTACTCTATGTTTTCAACTCCTTTAAATGTTGCTTTTTTGACCAAATTCTACCAGACAGAGAAATTTTGCTTTAGTTTTCTTGTCAGAAAGAAAACAAAGGAAAGCGATGCTGCCCTTTTTGGTGCATTTAACACTGAAACTAATATTTAGGGATGCATGGTATTGGAATTTTGTTGATATCCAATATGGTGATGTTTCCAAACTCAACAGTGATATAGATAAATATATGCTGTCTGTCTTGGACATTTTATAAAGCAGACTGTGCTTGTTAGCACACATAATCTGTCATGGCCAGCTCATAATTAATGTGTACCTTTTAAAGCTGTTTGCACTAGTAATCAACAATTTTAAACTACTATTAACTAGGGATAGGGATGGATACTTGGGTAATCAAGTACTTGTTACCGTCATTACTCGACTCTACTCACTTTAGCAGAGCTAGCACCACCAGCTTTAAGTTAACATTCACATGCCTGTGCTGGTTACTACAGGTGTGGCATCAGTGCATCCACTTTCCCACAATCCACCAGTATTGATATGTAACTGGCCATGCCACACTTCAAAAAGGAGTACATTGATTCAGAATTATCTCGCGAAGTAAATCATCCGTTGCAACAACACAATCCACAAGTCACACTTTTTATGTCCATATCAAACAACCTGAGTTGAGAACATGTCGGGGGGTCCACTCTTCTGTACTAACTGTAGGACCTTGAGGCTGAACTGAGAGGTCACATTGACAGTACTCTCACTGAAGATTCCTGAGAACAGGAGCTACGTCTAAGCCAAGAGCCAGGAGTTCAGTAACACTGAACTGCTGCTGGAATCCAGGTATCAATAGGAGGCATCAGGTACAGGAAGTCATTAAGAAGATTCCATACAGAGGTTTCCTGAACACCGTGCAGAATGGGTGTTGGCATATTGTTGCTGGAAATGTCTGTGGACTGACATAGGGCATGACAGTTGACACGCTGCAAACTGTTTTGATTGGAACGGAGCCTAATGACCAAAGTGTCCATAAAATGTTATGATCGATTCCTCGAATCCACAAAAAAATAGGATGTTTCCCTATAAAAGGTGATTAGGATTTACACCCAAAAGAAAACAGCTGTAGAGACTCTTAAACTTTACAGAGATACCAAGAATGAATGAAGATAATAGCCGAAACTTAAAGTTCATGGGGGTAAATGTATCTGAGTTTTCTCTCCTGTTTGGCGGCTGCCAGCTGGCTCAGTCTCTCTTTAGAGGTCCTGCAGTAAAGCTGGACTTCAAAAGGACCTTATCACTGTCACATTCTCTCGGAAGAGATCACAGTAATGGAGACCGGATGCACAAGCTTACACTAGGTTAGGCTAACACAAGGAGGAGTGTAGAAATGCTTTGAATGTTGGCTTGTAAAGGGAAGAGCTCCTGAATAGGCCTCCTGACCTTCCCACTACACTTCCTTCCCGAGAAGTAAAAGGAATGCTGTGTCAGGTTTTAGAAATTAGTTGGGACGTGCTTTTAAGCTTTTCCTCAGAAGTTCACTGTCTAATCAAAGCTTTATATGTTCCCACGGGTTTCTCTGATGCCATGAAGTTTGAACTTTTTCATCAAATTAAAGTACTTTTTTGGATGTAATGTGTACAGCAAAATGAGAGCAGCAAAACAAGTGAAGTGTAACTATTCTGAATTATGGCACTTGTGACTATTTTCCCTATCAATATCAAAATCCTAGAGTTTCATGTAATTTTGTAATCTTTACTGTTTAGGGGTCAATAAAGGCATAGAAAATAGACACCAAATCATCAGACTCTGACATAAAGTTCATTAACATATGATGCATCTGTATATTACACAGTTAAGATCTGTTTCTTTCCAAAGAATCTGATAAATTATTATCAGGGCTTAGCATTAACTTTGGAGAGCTTTGCAGCGATAACACTAAACACACGTCACTCTTGAATAGTGGTGCAACGGATCATCATTGATCCGTGATCCGTTCGGATCGACGTATTCGGTTCGGCACACATGTGATCCGCGGATCGATTTCTGAAAGCGGAGAAAGGAGGAGCTCGAACGCCCCGCGACACTTAAATCCCCTGTATGGCAGCATTTTGGCTTCCCTGTCAATTATGATGAAGAAGGAAAGAGGTCAGTGTACAAAACTGCGACGGAGTGTAGGCACTGTGGCATAAGAAAGCCATATGACAGTGGAAACACATCGAGCATGTTCACGCATTTGAAGCGACATCACCCGGGTGTTTTACTGACAGGTGTTGTGCCGTAGATTGCACCCCTGCCGTAGAACGCACCCCCTGCATCCCCTCCAACCGTTAGCTTCTTAAAGTGGAGATAATGATCTCATATTTGATATGAATAGCCTGAATTAAATTATTAAAGGCAAACGCTGTTGAATACATCCAACGTAAGGAAAACTTGTATTATTTCGCCTTGTTATGTACTTTCAACCGCGCTCCCGTTAGGGGGTGCACTATACGGCAGGGGTGCATTCTTTGGCATAACACCTGAGATAAAACGAAAGCTGCCGAACAACCGCTCATCACCGCAGCGTTTAAGCAGCCTCTTCCTGCGCAATCCGATCAAGCTAAAGCTTTCACAAACTCTATCGGTGTGTTTATAGCTGCAGACATGAGGCCGTATTCAGTTGTGCAAAACGAGGGCTTTAAAAACATGCTGAAAGTGCTTGAGCCACGTTACGACATCCCATCGCGCACACACTTCATTTTTGGTTCATTGTTACATTTTAAAGGAAGGAGATATGCCTGTATATTGTACTTTAAGTTGTTTTTCATTAATAATTATGTTAAAAAGAAGATATTATGCCCTGTGCACTACTTTTATATATTTTATTTGTCTTGTTTTTTTTTCTTTTTGCTGATCCGAAAAATGATCCGATCCGTGACTCTTGATCCGAGGAACGATCCGATCCGTGAGTTTTGTGATCCGTTGCACCACTACTCTTGAATGTCATCATAACACTGTGACTAATGACAGGCCTCATTTAAAAATGTTAGAATACTAAATTTAGCCAAGAAGAAAACAATGGGAAGTGTGTCTCTCTGATGACTTTTGACCAACACTGCATATCCCAGGACAGCGAGCTGAGCTGCCTGAACATCAGCTCACCTAGCATCAGTTATTCTATCTTTAACTGACTTAAAGGTTTTTGTATTATCTAATCCCTATGGTGTCTTCCATGTTTTAGAACAACAAAGAAACAGGAAATTGTAAAACATTAAAATAAATCAGAAATACTACGCTCAGTGAGGGGGCTGATAGCTGAGCTGCACTGACATCAGCTAAGGTTTCCTTGGCGCGCAGTCTTTTTGGTGAGTGTTTTTTGTTCAGCAGATAATCTTATACTGGCTTGACAAAAAACTGAATTATTTAAGTGAGGGGGTTGATAGCTGAGCTGCTACTATCGCAACTGATGTTATGTTCCATTATTGGTTACAACTTCCTCATCTTTTAAGGATAAGGAGTGCGGCAAGAGATGTGCTAACTGTTTTAAAACTAAACAAAACACAGAAAAGAAAGCCAGACCAGTTGTGGTGTGATGAGCATAAAGATGGAGGATATACTCAAGTCTGCAGAGGGATTTTCATTGGTCTGTTGAGGGTGAACTTCATCACGATCGCCACTGCTTATTTTATTGACAGTGAGAGGGGGAAAGTTTGACTAAAGGCTGCAGAGGATTGGAAGTCGTCTGAAAAAAGACCAGATACAGTCATGCAAGTTAGCGAAAAAACAAGTCTATGTTTGAAGTTTGTGATCAGGTTTGAATACATAAGCTAGTCATGATTGCTCAGCATAGTAATGTATTCAACAAACTAACAAAAAAACTGACTGAATGGGACAGAAAATGCAAAGCCTATGATTGTAAAAATTTCGGCTTTGATTTCAAATCATATTCATTCTTGCTGAGACAACCATTCAAATCTGCTCTGAGGGGACTACCTAGGCCACAGGCTACATCTGATTAATAAGGCAGCAAATCTACAGCTCAGAACCTGAACAGCATCCACACTACTCAAGTATTTAACTTAGGCTCCTGCAGACATTATTAATAAAGACTCTTTCACCCCAACAAATGAAATCTGGACTCTTTCAGAGACTCTAAATGGAGCTTATATTAGACAAATAAAAGTGGACTCAAATCACGTCATGTATTCTTCCTACATCTCTCCTTTTCCTACTCGCCTCCACCTTTGCTACGGCTACCTCCGTCTAATGCAAGGTCCCCACTTTGACTGTGGCTTCATCCTGTATTTTCCAATTATCACCTTTTAAAGGCCAGCTGGGTGCATTCCAAACCATCAGGGGGCAATTCCATTTGCATTGCTCTGAGACAAAGTCATGCCCAAGTACTTTCATGCTAAAGTTCATAACACACTAAAAGGCTGCAGCTTATACTCTACAATTCCTCAAGATTTAAACAGAGGAACAATGTCGTCGCTGTTGTTGTCGTTTTTCTCTTGAGAAATTACATGATCAGGAAAAACTGAAAGGGAAGAGAACTTGAGAGTCTGAGAACTTCTCAGGCCAAGTTTGTTCCAGAAACTTGAGCAGCAGCCAGTCTCAAACTTTTTCAGCTCAGACTGATCAATGCAACTCTCCTGTGAGTGTTTGGCTCTGTTTACAATTACAGCTCATTATGCTAATTTTATTCTTCTTTTTCCATTAACTTGATTTTTAGGGCAGCTTCAGGAATATTTTACATCTGTTTTATTTTGTGCCTGTTCATATTCACTGCAATCAAAAAGGTCTTTCACTCCTTTGAAATGGTCATTACATAGACGCGTGTGTATGTGTGTGCGTGTGTGTTGTTTGGAGGGGGGAAAAGGGAGGGATGTAACTGTTCCATTTGCTTTGCACATTAATGAATGCCTTCTCCGCCTGCCTTTAGGCTCTCTTTCTTAATGCTGGATCTGTTCACTGGTGTAAACCTGTGTTTGATTTCTTCTCTCCTCTCCTTCTCAGACTGCATATAGCAGCATTTAGCTGTGAATTAATTTTCATGTTTGGATATACCCTGCTGAGGTGTGATGCCGGTGGCGCATAATCAAAATCTGCAACACTACATATGGGTGGAAAGGCCTTGTGGGTATTTTCACAGTGCAGATCTGTAGCAGGGCGGGGAGGCTAAAAAAGAAAGAGGGGTCAATGGGCAAGAGACAAAATAGGAGTCAGTGAGAGGACAATGGGACATAAACACAAAAGAATAAATCTATTGTCTTATAGAGGCAGAGGATAACTTTGGCTGAGTGGTGTGCAGCTGTGTGTGTGTTTGTGATAATGCGCATGCCTTTTGCTATGGGACAAGACACGCACCCTCACCGCAGCTCAAACACCAGCAGCCCTTAACACGGTGTGTCTAATGCTCCTATTTAGTGTTTGGGGTGCAGCGGCGCGTGGCCTGAGGTTTTTGGGAGGGGAGCATGGATCGCACCTAGCCTGACAGCTGTGGCCCAAACTGGAGACAAAAGCCTGAGGAAGTACCGCATCATCGAAGATGGGACAAAAAAAAAGCCATGCCAATTTGCTTGTGGTCTGGCTGATACTGCTGTCTCTTCCAGCGCATGAAGTCCACTTTTCATGCTCAAAATGGCAAAACGGAGCGAGCTGAAACGGGGGTATCTTAAAACGAATTCCACGTTAAAGGATAAAGGACAAGGTTTGATGTCGTCCGTGTAGATCAAACGCTGAAACACAAACTACAAATCCAAAACAGACTTCATTTCAAACAAACAAACAGAAAGAAAATAGGCTACCTTTTGTGCACCACTCTTTTCTTTGGAGTTTATTTGTAATCCTTTGATAGGAGGGAGTCTCTTTGTCAATCGGGATACATCAAAGATAAGCCAACTTACCATGCTGCTTGTGTTTGTGTGTCTGAGTGTGCATGTCTGTATTCTAGCCTTTAACATCACAGCGAGGCATGCTTTTAATCTATTGATTTAATAAGCTTAGGTAGCAGGCTGTTGGCTAAACAAATGAACCAGTAGTGAGGTGACACACACACTAAAAAAAATGAGGTTTACAGTAGATGACAAGCTATTCCTCTGTGGAAAACAATGCTTTTTTAAAAAACATTTAATTTTCCACACACAGGGGGGACACACATGAGAATAACACATGAAGAACAGCTAATGCAAAACCACAGTTCTTCAGTGAGGGGAGGATCAGATTAAAAAACAAAATTAAACCAACGTGCATTAAACTCCTAGGGTATATTTCATAAACACTAACCCTTTATGATCATACGCAGAGGTGCCTCCATTCATAGCTTCCGCTAATAGAAGCATAAGAGATAATTATTACTTGTTTGTTGCCAAATCAGCTATTAGGTGATAATTAGGCCTCAGTGAGAATTAGAACTCTTTCAAATGCTTTGTTTGATCTGAACATGTGTTCCCAGATGGATGTCTGAATATTCTGCATTCATTAGTCGTGGAAATAAAAAGGCCAATCAAGCCCTCGCAAAACTGGGTCTGAGGGTTTCATATGCAGTTTTTCCTCCTCAAAACAAATACAAAACAGCACCCTGAAAATCCTGCAATTGTGTTTGATCGGAGTTCTAACTGGGTGCTACACGTGGAGGCCCAGCGAGGTAGATGAAACACCGGTAAAAGTGATCTGCTGCTCATTTGTCACTCACAAGAAGGTGGCGCAGTCATTACTGGTGTCTGTATCAATGAGCAGGTCTGCTGTGAAATGGAAAACTAAATATTTAGAATAAAGCTTCACAGAAAAATAGGAAAACCATCCAACCCTGGCATAAAAAGAACTTCCTCTATTACGCCCCTGTGTCCACACACACACATTCAAAAGACGTCAGGGGATTTAAAAGGCTCAGAAATATCCACTGGTTTAAATTAGACCATCAAACAGCCAGCTGCTGATTTGTTTCCTCTCTGTGTGTGTGAGTGTGTGTGTTGAGGTTTGAGGGACAGGGCTGAGCAGGTTTCTGACCTCCTATGGGTGCAGCAGAGTGAGTGCAACGGTATCACTTCACTAAAACAACAATGTGGGTGAAGGTTCCACTACAAAAGAGGACCACAAACACACCCACATAAGCTAACAGTAAACCAGCATCCTCGCGTTTCTGGTAATAACTCGTGTTTTATTTAAAGTTTTATTCAAAAAGCATTTTTATCTAGTTCTAGACAACATTATCTTGGCTAAAAATGTGACACCTGAGCTGAACTGAAAACCACAGCTGCATTTCTACTATGTGGTCTGGTCCAGCTTGGTGCAAGATCATTTGCGTTTCCTTCATCAAAAGTTGGGAAAGGTCCCAAAATAACCGATCAGTGATGTCCTACTTTTACACACAGTATTCTTACTTCCTTACTATTATGAATTAGGCAAATGTCACCACTTTTAACACTACCACTGCCTATGGTTTCAGTTGCCATCAAGATGCACCCACAAGCTCTTCTGCTGTGGCACGGATTGCAGAACAAGATCTCCTCCTATATTTCTCACCTCCAAAGACCAGCCTGAGACAAAGACTAATGTTTCTCCACAATGTCAACACGCAAAGGGTGGAATATTGACCGTCCTACTATGTAGTCCATCATGTTAGTTAAGTCGCATGACAAACTTATGGTTTTAATCAATTCAGCAAAGACAGTGACCTTTGAAAAGACATAAAGACTGTGTGGTCTGACATCAGCAGTATTAGTCCTGTAACAGAAGATCAAACAGGACTTGACACATGAAGGTTGGGGCTTTCTGACTGGCTGTGATTCACTGGCTGTTTCCCCAATCTCTAAAATATTCTCAAAAATCTGTCTTTCCTACTCCTGCTCCAACATCACACTTTCCATACTCTTGAATATTGATCTTGTCTGCCTAGCATACATGCGTGAGTGGGTGACATCACCCAAACAGGAGCTAACCCTCCACAGTGAGAGTGTCTGTGTCCTTAGAGGACATTACAGCAGGCTTTATCTTGTTGTGCCAGACAGTTCAGTAGTAAAAACCCTGGCAGAGGGCCTCGTAGTAAACTCTGATGGAACCACAGCGCTGAAGCCGTCCTGGCACGCGGATATGGGTCATTCTAGGCTGTCCTCTCCCTCACCCCGACACCAGAGCCCAAACCCTGATGAGATTAGCCGGCCAGCCAGGCGCTCAGTGGTGGTAAAACACAAACACCACTGATTACGTGGACATTTAAGTCAGATCCCCTCACACTTCGGCTTGGATCCCCTTGTGCAGGGTCACAAGCCGGTTAGTGTGGTAACTGTGCCGCCAGTCCCAACACTAGCACAGCCTCCATCAGCGTGCTAACCATGGACCCTGGTAGATCCTGAACAAGCTCATAATTATCCTGTGATGTAATCTGAGATGCTGACTTTTAATGCATGAAAAGCCTGCGCAGCCGCGTTTTCCTGCCATCTTTCACAAGATGACTTTTTCATGCCAAAAATCCATTAACTCTGCTGTTAATTTGCTCGATTGCGACAATAAAGAGTCACACAGGTTGACATTTCCCTCAAGTGATTACTTTTGTAGCTAGGTTAAAGAATGGAGAGCCCTGGCCACTGCTTCTCTGTGTTAAATCACTGCTAAAAATGGGATTAGTCAGGTTGGAATGCCTGGGTAATCACTCATTCAGCAGCGGCCAGAGGAAAAGGCCTCCTTAAGGAGAAGGGGTGGGTTTTATATAGCTGAGAGCTTTGATTACTGCGCCGTCTTAAAAACCGCATCCGATGAGTAAAAGACATGCACTGGTCCTCCCCCACGTTTACTGGGCAAGTCGCCCTCCTGGGTTCCTGTAAATAAGTGATGTCACAGAGCTTAATGATGCCCAGACTAGACTCTGAGGGGGGAAAAAAAAAAGTACAAACTACCAGCTTCAGCACTACTTTGAGCACGTTGCCCAGCCGTCATGTCAACAAAGAATTACTTTTGCACACTGCGGCCCTTCAGCTGATGATGCAACTGAAGTCTGAAGAAGGGAAAACAATCTCTTGCTGACTCCGAGAAGCTCGTAACCCAGCACAGAGGAAACATCGTCCTCATATTTAGACAGGCTGCTCTGTCACTTACGAAGATGTTCAAATGCACAGAAAAAAAGACACACTTTCTCTGGGCTTCCTCCAGCTCTCCCTGACGCAGACTGGTAGTGACAGTTGTTTCCAGTTGCTACGTATAAAAGGGCCCATCATAAAGCCCCGGCTAGAGGAAACAGGATAAGCGCTTGAGCCAAGGCAGTAAAAAGCTCTCTGGGAACTTGAAAGCCACACAAATGAAGTCTGCGTCTGCCATCTGGAAACAATAAACAAACAAAACCCAGCAGCCAAACAAACACCCTGATCGCATGAGGGAGTGGAGGAGAGGGAGAAGAGAGGGAGAAATGGAAGCAAGGCTTGAGAGTGTGAATGAGTGATGGGGAGAGGAGGGTGTCAATGTTAAAAACGTGTGCGGCATGCATCATTAGCAGACACTGATGGGAAGACAGACACAGAGACAAGCCTTTGTATAAAACCTGCTTTGATGCTGGGGAGATGGCCCCGCTGTTTGAATGTGTGTGGTACCACTGAAACCTGGTTCTAATGAAGTACAGTGCTAACAGGAGGCCGCCTGTCTGCAACTTGTGCCAATGATGTGATGGGAAGCTCTAAAGCCGCTTCCAAACATGGAAAAAGACCAAAAAGGAACCAGCCAAGTGCCCACTAAATGCCCACTTAAAGTTAGAAATATTATTTTTGATCATGAAAATCCACTGAGGCCGTCACAAAAACATTTGCTCTGTTATCGCATTTTTATCCAGTGTGGACTCATCATGAGATATGTTGTTATTGGACAGAGAGACTTTGGGATCACTGGAAAAATAAGGTCAGCGAGATGAAATCAAAGGACTACTGATTTACCCTTAGTGCTAATCACTTATGAAATACAAAACAAAATGTAATCTGTAGTCCTAAAAATGCAGGAGCATATCCACAAAGTTATGCCAGGTCACTGACAGCCTTCACGCAAGAGGATCTATTGCTAATGAGTTGGGGTACAACAGAAAAGATGTTTTGATATCTTGAATATCGCAAATAAAGTTCAGAGTCTAGGTGCCTTAAGTCACCATATCAAGAACGATACCCAAGTTGCTGCTTGGTGGAGGCAAATCATTTCAATATACAGTGGCCAACTAGTCTAGAGCTAATCATGGGAACAAACCACCAAAGATCCAAACTCATCGACTTTCAAAAATGGTAAACGATATCAAGATTGGTGTGATATTAATTAGTGGACAAAAGGCATCAGTAAGCAGACAGATATCAGAGAGAGATCGAGCAAGTCACTTCACACTTATCCAAAATTATCTACAGACATGTTCTGACCCTTAGATATCAAGATACACAATAGGTTTACCTGTCATTTTGTCGTCGTCCGGCTGAAACTTGACTTTCAAATTACATGTTAACACATTAATCCAACTGAAATCACACTACATTGAACTTCTCATAACATGCCTGGATATGGTACAAGGTAGGGCTGAAACGATTACTCGAGTAACTCGAGTAACTCGATTAATAAAATTCCTCGAGGCAAATTATATGCCTCGAGGAATCGTTTAAATCCGGAACCATGTGCAGCGCACGGTGTTTGACACGGACGGTTATTTCTGTTGCGCAGAAGCGTGCTCTTTCCGCTCCTTCCGCTGCCGCGCGTTTGGTTCAATCATGGAGGGAAACGAGGACAGACAGAAGCTGTGTCCGAAATGGCATACTGCCTGCTATCTACTTACCTACTCAAGCAGTAGCTACTGCCTACTGACTACTCAAAGATGATTTGAGTATGCCGCGGCTGCCCGAGCGTTTACACACATACATACTAAATACCCCAGAATGCATTTCGTGCCGGCCGGACGCAGCGCCGGGAAAATTTAAAATAGTCCTACCACAAGCTACATAGAACGACTGCATACCGGACAAATTATATAAATTCATTCAATAATAATATTTTTTCTAGCGAGAAAGTAAGTGTTTACATCACGATTATGAGCCCAGTTGTTTGAAATAGTGGCTGTTTGTAAATTTGTCTCGGCGTTTTCGGAGACCGAAGCGTCCACTTGGTCGGTGTTTGCGTCTATTTACCGTAAACACCGGGCAGCAGCAGCTCCCCCTTCACGTTTCCAAATTATTGCGAAGTGTTTTCATAATCAACATCTACACGACACAAACCGGGCGGCAGTGGATGAAAAAAATCACACAAACATCCGTGTATCCATGGTGATAATGCTATACACCACCTGCTAGGCGTGTGATGAGCAGCAGAGGGCTGCAAAATGACCAACACACAACAACATGTAAATAAAAATGTAACACTTTTATATATTGAATAAATGTACATTTGCTTGTCAAATTATGTTAGTATCCAAGAATTATATTATTTCAGCCTATTAATTAAACAAGTAAAATTAGATCCAAAGCCTGGAAATAGTTGTGACTGGTTTAGTGAAAACTGCAAAGATCATTACCATAGCAATTAAAAGACCATCTGCAGACCTTGCCTTCAGTAGTTTCATGTGAACTACATGGTAAAATGTAAAACTTTTGGTTCCTGATTTATGCAGTAAAAATATTCATTTGAAAGACCTGGCCTATTTCAGTTTTGTGTGTTACTGATGGTTTTTAATGAGGCAAACGTGATTCAATGCAAAGTATTACAGTGAGAGCAAAACATTTCTTATCCGATTACTCGATTAATCGACAGATTAATCGATAGAGTACTCGATTACTAAAATAATCGATAGCTGCAGCCCTAGTACAAGGACAGTAGTCCAGTTAAATTGCCTAATCAAGCTATGATCATCTCTCAACTTAACTGTGTACAAATGTAATGATAGAATCTCAATTTTGGAAGAAATCATCTAGAGCCAAACACAAGCACACAGAACTACAAAGTAAGATCTGGGTCAAAATACAGGAGCCAGAAAACTACATCCATACAGAAAACTGAAAACTGAACCTGCAAATCTGCCTGTTTTTGGCTGCCTAGCACAGTTATTTGTTCGAGGATATAACTGTAATGTTAACATCTGCTTCTGTAAACTGTAATCCCAGCTTTCACTTATCACTTAGCTGTGCATATTGGGTCCTAGTTTTCTTACCCCTATAACTTACTTCTAACCAGGTCTTACAACAACTTTTCCATTAACAACACACAGTGAAAATTTTGTTCAGTATTACAACATGCAATATTTGTAATTTGTTGTCAAAACTGGTTAGCTCTGATGTTGGATTTGGTAAAAACAGTAAAAGCTTGCTGCCACAGATCTCACTTCTGTTTTGGTGTAAATTGCGACCCTGTAAACTGGTGACTCTCCGCTATCATCAGAGGAATGATATGAGGCTGCTGAAGGTGCTTTCACAGCAGTGAGTAAAAATAACAACCTCTAAGAAGTGGCTCCATCTAGTAACACCTTAATTAAATGCCTGGCTTGAAATTTTTTGAGATATTTCAGGGTTTCATCCAGGAATGTTTCAAAACGTGGGGGGAGGCTGTAGTGAAAACCCTGTGAATATATAACTCCACTGCAAGCAGATTTTGTAAGAGTTCGCCAACTTTGCATGCTTGATGGAAAATATTGAATCTGTAAGTTTTCATTATTCATATATAAATAGTTATAACCTTAATGTGTGTGATGAGCATGCGCAGGAAAACTGATGTAAAAAATTTGGACAGCGGAGGTGAAGCCGGGTATTGATATGTATGTTGAATTCTTACCTGGAAATAGGCTACAGATGCAGGATGGACAGATTCTGTCAGAGTGGCCAATCACAGGCCATGTTGCCTTCTTTCTGTTCTTATATCTGACAGGAAAGAGACTTGCGCAAAAGTCCCGATGTTGTATATTTTGTGATGTTGTCCTTTCCCAATAAATATAAAAACGCAAACTGGACGTCTAAATTCATTCAATGTATCAGCAGCATGTTATATGTTTTAATTCACAACACCAGCTGTAACAACATGTGCAGGGTTTTTCCTGCGTTCAAAATTGCGTGGCGGCCGCCTCCACCTAATTTTGTGCCGCCCCCAGCCAGAGCGATTGATTCCGCTCAACACAGCGTAAAGCTCCAGCTGTGTTGATTGAGCGATTGATGTCCCGATGCAGCAGCAACGTATTTTAACTGCAGTTGCAGCGTTGCGCCACTATAGAGGCGCTATATCAACAGCAGTGCACCGGAAAGACCTGAAGCATCTACCGAAGAAGAAACGGATCGAATCATGTTTTTTCAAGTTTTTTTTCCCGCTAGTTGGTGCTGTCGGCGTCCTGATTTTCGCTGGCGGATGGTACAAACAGGTAAATACTGCTTGTCTTTTTTGCATCCAAGCATGACGTGTTTATTTAAAAAAAAAAGTTTACTCTGTTTTTAGCGTTGCAGTTATGACAGGCAAAATCACCCAGTACTTTAAAAAGCGACCTCGCGAGGAGGAAAGTCAAGAGTCCAGGTGAAACACAGCAGAGACAAAACGCAACAGGCAGTTAAAATGCTATAATTCATGTTGGTGACAACGTGGACATTTGTGTCAGGTCTGAAAGTACTTCACAAGGGACTGGTGATCGCGAGGGTCAGAATGCAGGACAGGACGAGTCGGCGAGGCGAGGGTAATTAATTAATTAGTTTCCAATTAGGAGCATAACAACGCAAAGCCGACGTGTACGTGGTTTTTATTCCTCTTTCTAGATCTTCTCAAAAACACAGAGCCAGTGGCTTTGACATGCAATGGCTCAATCAATTTACCTGGCTCAGGCATACTGAGGAAGGCATGCACTGCTATTTATGCCAAAAGCACTGTGCCCCAACACAGCAGGCAATAGCTGCCTCCTTAGTGAGACAGCCATCAACCAACTACAGGCTGGACACATTAAAGAGACATGAGGTGACAGCCATTCACAAAGCAGCAGAAGAGAAGGAGAAGTATATTAAAGATGGTAGTACCTAAAAACACTCAACTAATAAAGTTACAAAAACTAAAATAACATAGTTTAGACAGTTTAAGAAATAATTGGTTGTCGTTTTTTTTAGGGAGGACACTGCAGCGTATACATATATATGATTGAAAACACTATCACTCTTCATGTCTGTATCAGAATAAAAACAAAAATACTTAATGCATGATGAATTGTTTTGTTTAAGGTGAAGACACCTCTGTGGAACAGACTGAAGGAGAGGCACTTGGATGTCTGTTGTAAGGTGGCCGTTGATGGACCAGACCAGGAGGCCTTGGACTACAAGGAGTGCATGAGGAGGTTCTACAGAATGAAAAAGAGGAGGCTGAAATGTTCTGTCTGGTTGTGAGATGTGTGGATGAAGTGTACTTTCAATTTAAAGTTGCCAGCTGATTTGTGTATGTATATAGTTTTAATAAATGAATGCTTTAACATGATAATGGTCACACTCTTTTTTTGAACTCTTAACTTAAAGTATGTTGCCTGTAAAAGAAAGTGAATCGGTTGAATTTACAAATACATGCACGTCATGGCGCATGGTCAGGATGGTGCCACCTCTGCCTCAATTTGAGCCAGGAAAAACCCTGATGTGTACTGGTTAACACTTTGGTCAGGCAGTATCTACCCTATCAGCAAATAATGTGCAATGATGTCAGCAGTAGATGTTTTCATATCTTTATGTTTTCGCAATTTACCAATGCAATATTGTCAAAGTCAAAAGTTATTCACCGTTTCTAGACATTATCAAATCGCATTTTATTCGTTTTCACTGAGTTGATAAAAGGGTGACTGATTCTGTTGAAGCCAACAAGTTGCATCTAATCCAAAATCTATTGAAGACGACATTGTGAACAGCCACCATGGTCCCCAAAGACTATTTGTTTTGAGACGTAACGTGATTTACACAATTAAACATTTCCAAAGTATTACAGTGCTTCTGTTTTCTCTGGTGTCTCCCACAAGAATTAAAAGGGTCTTTTTTGAGGAAGAAAAAGTTTATCGAGCTGATATTCAAAAAGAAGGTTTATAGATGGTTTCTCAGTAAAAACATACCGGACCTTTTGTGAAGACAAGTTCACAAGGTGAAACCTCACTCTGTACAAGAACAGAGATCACACGCTGATCTATGAGTCCTCATCACTGAGCACACTGTCAATACTGACACCGAGGGGTCACACCAAGTACTGCAGCCATGTGGCCTCAGCATTGACCCTTGTATTATTACACATAGTCCCACCTATAGGTGTACATGTACTTAAACAAACATTTTAAGATAGAATGGCAGGCAAAGACACACGCACACAAACACGCACGCACACACAGGCACACACACACACACACAAACAACACGCCTGCTGTGCCCTGTTAACAAACACTCTGCTATAAAAGCAGGGCTCTAACTCATTAGGGTGCTGTGGATCAGACAGGAAATGCTGGGTAAATTACACCTCATCGCCCTGGAACTACCCGACCATCACCATGGCAATGGGCCAAGCTAAGAGCTGTGAGAAGACCAACACCCCCTCATGAAGGCAGAGAAAAAGGGGGACGGGACAAGACAAAATTTTCCAAACTAAACTGAACCAGAATTATGAATAAATGTCAGTGATAAAGATGTTCTCCTGCAGGTTGAGGGGTAAACTGATCCCAAATCTGTATCTTTTTAACAGCCAAAACAACCCCTATGGCCTTTTGACAGCCAAGCTGACTCCAGGTCTGGAAGTAATATCCTGCCCACACACACATAACTTTGACTGCTATCCAATTAATGGTACATGGGCTAAACTGTACCAGCCCAACACAGTCTTTATTAGAAATTGTGAGTCATCATGGCTACAGTAAATGCCCTAACACTGCTTAATAAATGGATCAACAACACTAGTTACAAGGTATCAGGACAGTCGAGGAAAGTGGGTGGTCTTTCTGAGGTGGTCTTTATTTAATATTTGAAAAAAAAAAGGATATCTAATTACTCATAAATAGATGAAAGAATCTGTTCTGGACACTGATGAAACTATTTATAACCACAACCAGAAAGGTTATGACACAAAAATGAAATGAGGTAATATGGCTTCCCATGGCTGTGTCACAATTTCTTGACACCAAGCACTTAAAAAAGGATCATTTCACCACTGCACTTGTATTCCCTCACATCTGTAAAAAGCAAAAACACAAGTCTCCCTTTCATGTTATCATTAAAAACAGAGAATATTTCCACAGCTCCTCATTCGATCCGACCACCACGCTCAAACTCTAAACCACACAAACCACTCATTAGCCAAATCCACCCCACGTTTCTTGAACAAAATTCTTTTGTTGCATTGTTCACACATTCCTCCCCGGCCATGTTTTTACAGATGCAGGTCCATGTGCGCTCAGAGGTCCAGAGAAGTCCCTCTTTGCAGCCAGAGATGTGCTATTGATCAAAGGCTTCAGAGCTGGATCAGAGACACTTGTTTTGGTTGTGTTTTTTTTCTTTTTTTCTTTGGGGATACAGGGTTACATATCCATCTGTTGGCCGCATGGATCCACCTTGGTCAGCGCTGCCTGGGACAAGTGTGGGCCTCTTTTCTCTGCCATCACACACACACTGCTCCCTCAAGCACGTTTACTCAGCTGGTCGCCACGCCGGCCGCCAGAGCTTTGTTTTCACACAGCAACATGTGTTACTTAATGCTCTGTAACACATTTCAAAGGCAAGACTAGCTGGGTCAACAACAGGTAATAGAGCGATTTATTGATTTACTGGCTCGAAAAAGGCAAAGAGTAAAAAAGGAGTGTGTGCAGGCGCTGCTGAATACATCCACAGGCAGAGGCATCAGGGCAAAGATTTAGATTCTTTTTTTCGGCAGTTTAGCGGTGAGGCACTTTTGACAAAACAAACAATCCCTGCTTAGCTTTGACGCTAGTTTACAAGACCATAGACCCCCTTTCTTTTACATTTCAGGGAAGCTTGGGTATCACCAGGCAGTAGCCAAGAATCTGTCCAGCAAAAAGACAAGATAAACCATTAAATAGTCCAAGAAAGTCAAAGCCTGTAAGGTTTAAGGTTTCTTAGCCAACCTCCTCGCCCTCTCTGGTTTAAGAATTTGGTAACACAGTCCCCTCAGTTGTTTTCCTGCTTGATTGGATTATGGCCACACACCTCCAGCTCGGCTTCCACCACCAATCAATGAGGAAATGAGGTGTCAACACACTGGTGTTTATTCAGCACTCATTTATTTTTCTACCGGAAGCCAAAGCAAGCTGAAGCACAGAAGACACCAGATGATTGAAGGGATTTTCTTCTCAACGTTTAGAATTAGCGCTTATTTTTAATAGCATTACAAACAAGGGGGTCGTGGTACACAAGAGTCAATTACACTAACAAATAATAATCTCCTCAGTTTTATTTTGTTTTCTTTAATTGCAGCTCATTGTTAGTTCCTCCTTTATTATGAGATGGTTTTAAATGGAAATGAGCTCATTTACTCTATAATGACTAATGCATTTATAATGACACTTTAAACTGTTATTAAGATTGTATAGTATTCCACAATACTGCCTTTACTTGTTTCTAATCTCTTTCACAACTGAGAAGACAGGGCTTTTAAACTTCAGGCTGTGCGTCCATATGACCAAACTAAAAGAGCTGGTAATGGAAAGACACCAGGAAGTCGGTAATGCTTCCAGTCAGCATGAAGTACCATCAAAATAAAATTCTGCACAGTAGCTGCTGCTTTAAAACAACTGGGGCAATTGAAAATTCCCCCTCCCAATTCATGCCAAATGCCACTTTATAAACATTCTAGCTCAACTGCCAAGTGTCTGCGCTGCTTTATGCCCTTTCTCTTAATTGAAAACGTTATGGGGGTGCATTACACTTGAGGTTTTTATAAGCTGTGCTATAAAGCCCTAGCAGGCCCTGAGAGGGGAAACTGCCCATTAACTTATAAGGTCCAGGCCTTGGCTGTCTTAATTGACAACCTCTAGGCTACTTTCATCACTTGTCGACTTCATAGCGGCAGCCAATGCTTCCTCCAGGATGCTGTTGCATCTTTGACACGAGGGTGTTTGTGACAAAGAGCAGTCTGCCGCCAATGCCAGGGCGAGGGCTCTAGGCTGTCCATAAAACAAGCACACACATTCCTCTCCTAGTTCCAGCCATCTGAGGGTGCTGCGTTTAACTGTCTAGGTACTGCTTCCCAGAAACAACTGCCATAATTTAATATGAATCTTATTATAAGAGGCTTATATGTGCTTAACTGTAAGCAAGTCTTTTCTTCATAAAATGGATGCAATTTCCCAAAAGAAATTCAATTTTAAAAAAAGTTTTAAAAAAATAGGACATTAAAAAAAAAAGACCATTTAAATAAAGTGGCCTGGATGATCAGTTTAAAAGTAAGTAAAATTAGATCAAAAGTAGGAATTCAGCACAATTTGTTCAACACAACTTTGAGTAAACCATGTCTCTTGGTTTGCTGAGTGTGTCTAATGTTAGCAGAGCTAGCACCCCTAAACTCAGATCTTCCCTTCATACAACTTTATCTCCATTTTGTAAATCTAAATATCCCAAACTGCACTATGCTACACAGTGATGTCGTCAACAGGGTATGCAAACACTGTATACCCATTAGAAAAGTACGCACATTTCTGTAAACCCACTTAAAAATCTGTAAAGACACATAACAACCTGAGTTCTGACCACAACTTCACAGCTGTTTGTGGTAACTTGTTGCTTTTCAAACACTAGATCGTCTTCACCACTGAAGAAATTTTAAAACGACCTGTCATTCTTAACTTTTGGTCATATAGCAGACTCATCAAATCCAGTACTGTTCCTGAGATCCTGGATTAAAGCTGGACTTCACTTCTACAGTATCAGAATGGCAATGAATATAAGTCAAGCCTCTGTGGTTCAAGGTCAAAAAAATATTTTAATCTATTATGCCGTGCTGGTGAACCATGAATCCAAAATCTTATTATTGACAGAATGTGTCCACCTCCACTACATAGGGTGGTGATACAATCCCTTTCAGCTTGTTTCTATTGGGTCATCCCTCAAAACAGAGGACAAAGTATGTTAGCAAGAGGCTAACGGAAAGAACGCAACACAAATAAGTCTGACTATGATAAGTTCCATTTAGTGCAATTTTAATCAGACTAAGGCAGTAAAACACATTTTTTTAACAACATGTAACAAACTACGTGGTTGTTTGGAAACAGAAGGAGTCAACATTAACTGAAGCTACAACCCTGGCTAGTGGCAGGTGGATGCAGTACAGCTAAAACTGTTGAGGACACTCATACATAGTACAATACTAATACATTGTAAAATAATAACTCATTTAACTGAGTTGTAATTCAGGTGTCAACAAATAAGGGTGACGACATGTAATCGTATAGCTGACTAAATGTGCATATCTCCTGTTTAATTCTAATCAGCTCAGGCTCTCACTTCATCCATGATAGAGAAATACACATGAACACACACACATACACTACACAAGCACAAGCACACACACACACACACACACACACACACACACACACACACACACACACACACTAGAGTGGCGTGACAGTCTCTTCACACTCTGATTTGGCAGGATCATCAGCATTGTGCCTCTGGAAATTCATGTGCCCTGAATTAGAGCCACATGTCACAACATGGTTGATGAGGGAAGACACATTACTGGCATACTAAACCATCTTTAGTAAATTCAGAGTGTTCAAAGCTTTTATTGAACCTCATGTGACATCTGTGGAAATCTAATGACAGAGAGGAGCACATGGTTAGTTTGACTGATAACAACATGTCGCTTAAACTACATACTGTTGCAGAAATGCCATCAATATTTATACTCAGTTGAGGACTGTATTTTTAAAATTTTCTTAAAACAAAGTACAAAAAGATGGTGAATTTGTTAAAATTACAGCAGCTTTTAATTTTTCCTTAATGAAGCTCAGTCTTGAAAAATGAGGTCAATGTGAAAAACTGCAGTTCCTCAAGTGTCCAGGGGCTACAGATGCAGCATATCTCCCATTTATAAAAGTCCATCTTTATTAAGAAAAAATACATGTTTCAGCCTGGTATACATCCGATTCTGGTCTATATAGCCTATCTCTCTATTTGCATTCACTGTATGTGACATGGGTGTTTTTTTAGTAATCATTACCTGAAAGTATTGAAGGTATGAGTTTTGCATTACTATGGGAATGGTCTGACTTGACTGACAGACAGGTATACTAAATGTTTAACCTCAACTCTTTGCCTCTCGCCAGGCCATCTTAGAGTTAAGCTGAGTTAGCATTTTTAGTATGGCAGCAGCTATTAATATGCATAAAAAAACCTCTTCTTCAGAAACCAATAGGTTATGTAACTGAGACTATTCATGTTTTATACAGCCTATGTGTGTGTCTGGCCATATGGTAACTGAAGGTTCAACTTATCAAGGAATAATGTATGGGAAATCAGAATATAAACAAATTCTGCCAGTCATACAAAAGACAGCAGCAGTGTCTGCGAGCAACAACAGACTGCTTAACTCTGACAATAAAGAGGTCACCCTTTTCCAAGGTGATACCAAGTTACAAGGTCAAAAACTTAGTTAAAAAAAGTTGGATGTCATGACCTCCTGGACAGCTGTCCTGACAAGGACATTGCTAGGCAAGTTTGTCCTCTTCTTTTGAATATGCATAGCAAATAAAAAAATCTGACATGAGCCTATGGATGAGCACAAAGTAGACAGCCCAATAGCAGGACACTCAAGTATACTCTTGTCCACAGCCACATAAGGACGGGATTTATGACCTATACAGCAGCCCGTCACCAGGGTGTGCTGTTCTCGGGGTGGCTTCACCCAGCAAGGAGGAGGACGCTGTCCATTCTATGTACAGTCTATGGGTGTAACAAAAGCAGGTGTCACCAGACTCTTTAAATTACCAACAGACTATTAGTTTAACAAAACAATCTTACAATTTAAGTGCAAAGCAATATATCATTTCTCCTGTCCATAATTCAGCATTTTCTGCCCAAATGGGTTTTGTCATTTCCAGTTTAACAGGGCAACCATTTTGTTTCGTTGTGCTACTACTATTGGGTCTCGCTTAATAACAATGTTAGATGAATGTTTTGTGGTAATATGGCAGGCAGACATGCTGGAGGGCCCAGGTTCACAGAAAATAAGCATGTTCTACATTTGCAGGCAATTCATGTTTTAAGTGGTAGTAGGTCTGCAACTGATACTACAAGATCAGTAATATTATTTCATTGCTTCCTCCACAGTTACATATCTTCATACTGCTTTTGAAACAACTACAACAACCATGCCTCATTCACAGAAAAGAAAGGCACAGTTTGATAAGGCAACACAAGCTGAGGGTAGAACTACATTTATAGCTTAAATCAAGACGTAACAAACGCAGTTACGAGCATTTCAACACACTGCTTCGATCCAGCTCATACAACGGTGAACGCAGACAAGTTTGAGCCCAGAAAACAGCTGCCAACTGCTGAACTTTTACCCTCAAATACACAAACAAACAAACAAACCAAGTGGCATGAAGCGGCCGACAGCCACTACCGAGAGTTGGAGGGAAACTATTCGACCAAAAATGGCGCCGTTACATGTTTGCCTTTTGAGTTTTTCCACAAGAGAAACAACACAGACGGCAGAAAGAGAAATAAAGCAGATAAATTGACTTACTGTGGGACAAGTCGTCTCACCGCTCTGGTGATGTGCGCCGCCATGTTTCTTTAGGTGACGCGCCAACAGAGAAAGCAGTCATTGGGTGTAGAAGAAGTTCCCTCTTTCTCAGCGGGCTCTGTGATTGGCTACGGAGTGAAAGAGGGGCGTGGTCTGGAGGACTCCTACCACATGGGTAAGAAAACAGCGAAGGAAGAGTGGGACGGCAGTGATTCAAGGGGAAAGGGGGGGAATGGGAGAGAGATGAGGAAGAAATAAATGTCAACTAAATCCAAAGATGATTTCGTTAACAACTTAAAGTCACAGAAAAATACCACTGTTTTACATTAATTTTTAATTTTGTTATTGTTGCTGATAAATCCAAACTGTGTTAAACTCACAATTTCAGAAATGTCCCCGTTTTATATTACTTTAGTGTCCTTCTGCTATACTATATAACAGAAAGGACAGATAGAGGCAGGCTGATGCTTGAAAGAGAGAAAGAGAGAGAGAGAGAGAGAGAGAGAGAGAGAGAGAGAGAGAGATTTGAGCACCAGGCTCGTCACCCCAGGAGTTCTCCCTCACAGCAGTGGTGAATTACTACCACTACCATCAGCCAGGTCCAAGTGTGGAGCACGACTGACACGCAATATTTGCCATGATTAAGTCAGCAGGGGATTTGCTCCAAATGTCAGCATTCAGAGGGCGGCCATTGAGTTGTGGGTGTATTTAAATCTGTATATGCTGCTGGACATATTTTGCTTTATGAAGGTTGTAGAGCCAAATGCACTTGGCATTAGACCATAAATACAATAACAAGCATGTCTTTTTTGCTCTTGAGATCCCATTCTTGACATCACTACTATTTTCACTATCATCACTATTTTATTGTATTGTATTGTATTATATTATATTATATTATATTATATATGTATTTTTACAAATTTGCTCATCTTAAGAGGTTACATTTCAACAGCTAGGAGAAAAACATTTCTCTTCAGTCATATTTGTGATTTATTGACATGTTAAGCCTGTTACAGGAGGCCACGTTTTTGTAGTTGTTGTTGTTGTTTGTCTTTTGAGGTCACAATCTAAAATAGTTGAGAAACACCAAGGTGTGACTGTGTGAGCGAATAAATGCTGTATCCATTGTAAAGCACTTTGAGGGTCTCTGATAAAGCACTGTATGAAATCTTATGCATTATAATTAGTATTATTATTTACTCTGACTATTTTAATGTCATTTTGAACATGACATATATGTTAACATGTTTTTCTGTCTTCTCAAAAGGGAAAAAAGACAAAGACAGATATATGTAACAAAGAAATGACCTTGGGAAATGGCTACGTACAGCAAATCTACAACTATGTGTGTTTGCAGTTTGTCTTTCATTTTGGACCAGATAAGAGAACTTGGATTATTTCAGACAGATTTTATCTTTTAACAAAGGGGGCTTATGTGCGCATCTATTCCTACATGGGATCAAAAATGCAATAGAGTTGGAAAATTCCATCCATGGGTTACTTGGAAACTACTTCTCTCCCTCCCCCCTCCGTTCATCGAACACAATTGTTGTCTACTAATCCAGTTTTGATAGCATTTGGCACACTTTCTTTGGATCACAGCAAGATGCTCAACTTCCATTCTGGTCTCCCCTAGGAACCTCTGAGCCCAAGAAAGAAGCCGACACCAGGTCGCGCCAGAGCAGGGGGGTTCTCTGTGTCCTCATAGAGCAGAGAAAATTATTTTTTGATTCAAGTCACCCCTTTGCCACATGCACACACACACACACAGACACACACACACAGACACGCAGAGATTGTCAGTCTGGTTTGTTAATTCCAGATATATGCCGAATATGTGTTTATTCTTGTCAATCTGTTATGTTGTTAAATGTTGCAATCACCTAATGACCCCCCTGTAAGGCAGTAGAATATAAAATTTTATGTCAAAGGCAGAAGCTTTTTGCTTTTGTCCCCCCTCTGCACTCCCTGATCCAAATGGACAATGCATCACTAGGCCTTGATGCCTCAGAAGTCTGGGTTCATTAAAATCTTGAATGAGTGCCAAAGCTGTAGTCATAGATAAAAGGAATATGAAAGGATAACAAAATTTATGGATGGCAAGTCACCACCTCACCCTGGCATTTATAATAAACAAATGGTTTCTGTTTCCAATTTAAATTTCTCATTATACTGTGACTTTTGGAAAATGTGTTTTGATTTACCAACATTTTATCTGAAAAACGGTATAATTGATTAGATTTACATGGCTCTGATTTTAATGCTGATCGCCTGCCTACCCCGACAGCCCACCCCCCTACACCCTGGGCCCAACACTCACCAAAAGGGAAGGATCTGAACAGCTCCTGAGGCACATTCAAATCATAGAAAACAAACCTACATATCAAACAGTTTTTTTACTGATAAAATAATTGGCTTTAACCAGCATAGAATCCAATTCATCCCTTTGAAAGAAACTTCTGTGAGGCCACCAAACAAAAAATGGTGAGATAGACTTCACAGCCCGGGTGAGATGGACATCAATGCGCTGTGCCAGCAATGGCTATATTAACCCATGGCTAAATCCCATCACACAAATGTCAGTGTATCCGTTCTGAAACCATGACATTTAGATCCAAGGTCTCCATTGTGGTTTTAGAGGGAGCTGATGTTTGTCCATTCTTTGCATCCATCAAACCTGCACACACACAACCTCACAACAAAACACTCTGTACACACAGAAAGGTTAAAGATCATAAGGCTTTAAATATCTTATTTTATTGCATAATACATGATGTAACATTTGAGTTTGTATGGTGTTAATTTAGTGAAACTGCGGTTATTGTATTGTATCTTTCAAATGTCAAAAATGGCTGATTGAATGTTCAGGATGATGATTTTGATTCATGACAATGACACAATTCATTAAAGCTCCTATGAAAAGTTTTAGGTGGTTACTAAACAGACCTAAAGCAAAACGGACATATTTTTATGACTGGCAAAAGCAAACAAGAACCATCTAAGTAAAGATTGACCTTTTCTATACAGTTAAAGTCTGAAACCAGAAGCGGGGGTAGGTGTCATCTGAACTCACCAACTGACAAAAAAATGTGACACAAAATAAAGCTCCTCTAATGACTCGGTGACTTACTGCCCGGAAGTAGAGTGGGCCATCTCAATTGGAAGCTTGAGGGTTTGATCCTAGGTTTTGCCGTACACCTGTTGATGTGTCCAAGGCCTCAAGTGGCAGTACCAGTGGTGCGTGAATTGGATTAGATATTACCAAAAGATGCTTTGAATTGCTGCCTCTGTTGTCAGTGTTTAAATGTAGTGTGATTGCTTGACTGTTACACACAATGTAAAAGAACTTAAATCTGAAACTCCAAATAAGATAAATTTCATATATTATCATTCATTTTTTGACATATTGGAACTGTACCACTATGTATTTCTTTCATATTTGTTTAGAGACCACTTTGACACAAGTTGCCAAGATACAGCACTTGTATCTTAAGCTTATTTGCAATACCAGTCCTCAGATGAGTCCTTTAAATACAACTAATTCAAAATAGATAGCATGGAAAAAGTCAACAATCAAATTACATGTAAATTTCATATACTAAAATTATGTTGACAAAAAATTGACCAAAAAAGATCATTCCCTGTGAAAAGTTATTTCTTGCAAACTCGTAACTGTTTGGATTGGTTTGAGATGTAAACTTATAGAGTTATACATATTTTTAGCTTTGAGAATTTTTTTTTAGGATAGGAAGTGATTTCCAATCGCATTAGTTGTTTACATATATTTCTTGTAAATCAGAATGCATATACTGTACATTGGTGCACATACATTTGGATCCTGTTATAGAGCAAATTGCCGCAAATAAAACATAATTCTACTTTTTATCTATTGCTAAATTGGTTTTTCATGCATCTCCCTATAATTGGCTATGGCATCTTTTTTTCTGTCAGTCTTTTTTGTCAAATAAATATGTACTTTCTTGTTTGAAAAATATTAAATGATGGGGAAAAATATGCATTTCTTAATAGCACCTTGCATTATCTTTTTATTTAGTTCTTCTGTGGAAAAATAATTTCAAGCATAATGCACTGCATTCATACTCAGCATCTTTAATATGTCTCGAGCTATTTGACTTACTCGCCAAACATAACCACCATCAGGACAGGCCCAATCTGACACATCAGGACCACTCAGGAGTCATGTGCAATGAGGAGCAAAAGCCATGTTCAAGAACAGGACAATGTGTCATAAAGCTCACATGTTAAGACTGCAACACCTATAAGCCACTTGGCTTTAGATCACGAGATGTTTAATTATTGCCTCCTTACATTAGCTCTTACAGATCTGCCCCTCAGGCATCAGTTTTGGGGCCAGGCTTAGGGGTGGTGGGGCAGTGAGGGAGCTGGGGCTGGTGGAGATGGTGAGGTGGAATAAAAACCGGTCATTACTAGATCTCTTTCTTTCTCCCTCTACTCCCTCTTTCTCCTTCTATGGCAGTCCAGATCAGGAATTACAAATGATATCATGACAATTTTTCACGCTCTTCAAGCCAGTGATGTTTTACCGACTCATTTGCTATGATACCTTGTTACGGATCCAGCTGTGAATCAGGGACGTGTCATGGGGCTAGAAGCCCGCCGCCTGCTGAGTCTGGCCAATGACCTGGAAGGCAATAGGGGATGCCAGTGCCTGCAGCATGTGCTGCACTGACAAAGCAGCAGGGCACCGTCAAAAACCCTCTCATACAAACTTTGCAGATCACTCCGTTTTTAACAGATGAGTAAGCACTGGTACTGACTTTTTTTCTCTGCCCTTACACAAGGTTTATGGATTTCCCTTTGCGAGTCTGTGGCTCAGGCTGACGTGAAGCAAAACCCTTGCCCACAAGGGGAATAGTGTAGTGGTGGATCTTGGATCGAGGGATGCAGATAGCATGTGGCAGGGTCACTGCGCAGGTTAAGCAACAATTCACTCGAGTGTCTGTAAAGGAAGTGGAGTATGGTTGGAAAAGACCAGCGTACCAGCTAAAGAGGCCACACAATCCAGATTAAACTTTGGCCTTTCAACATACA